ACTGTATAGATTTGACTGCAGACTGATGATAGGTTTGCCATTTTCATACTCCTGATGTAAAACTGTATTAAAATAGATGGTCTGTTGTACCATGACTCCTCTTCCTGCTCTGTAGATTTCCTATTAAAGACGGTTTTAAACTGTGATTTCCTAGTCTGAAGTATTTTAATATCTTATTTATGGAATAAGAGTTTTGAAAAAGAAAATATATTTAAGTATGTTTTATTAATTTTCAGAGATACAGTTATAATAGGCATAATCTCTAGATTTTTTCCATTTCATGAGAAGAGGGAAGAATCAGATTTATAAATACTGTAGTAAAAATAATTTAAAAATAATCTGCTCTGCCATTTGTTTAATTGCTCAAGAGTATATTGAACTAGCATAAAATACAAAAAAATATATAAAAGAAACATAAATGTATGTGGTTGCTAGGATTAAAAAATGATTTGATGGCACATAATCAATACTTAGGTATATGTACCTTTATTCTCGGAGGTGCTTTGAGCTCCTAGCATTGTATGATTTAATAATATCTTCAGTAATGTTTTATTTGTTTACCTAGAAAATAAATGTATTTGCAAATCTTCATTTTCTAGATTTCCTTTTGAAAACTGGGATTAATTATCTTCCAATCTAAGTACATAACTTTGTAATAATTTATCAAGCAAAGATTATAAAAAAATGCTTTGCTGGATGCTACTTCAGATTTAAAATCTTAGAGTGAAAAGATTTGTTCACTTTCTTCCTTTGAATTGGTTGTTTATTGATGTAGTGGCATGGTTTGGAGTGAAAATGGAATATTCCAGACTTCTCTGGAACCTTCTGTTTCCACATTTTTAAAGGTGTAAATATATTTTGTTCCTGGATAAATTTACATACTGCAATTGCTCCTTTTATATAAATTGTTACAATTTAAGGTTTTTTTGTACATGTATGCAGATCTTTGCTGAACTTATGGTAGTCAGATATCTCTACAGTATTAATCTTTAATCAGACTACATTAATTAGATATGTGTGCATAAATGACCTACTATACTGCGATCGTATCCACAGTGATGCATTGGAAAGAACATATTTCTTGACATCCGGGTAATAATATGTCTCTTATCTCCCTCTCTAACAGAAATTAGATGGTTTATCCCAGTAGTTTGCTTCATTAAGACTTTGTTCTTCTATCAAGCTTTCCAAGACGGCTTGCTTTGCTTCCATCTTCCCCTCCCCCATTCTCTCTCTCTGTGTGTGTGTGTGTGTGTGTGTGAGAGAGAGAGAGAGAGAGGAGGGGGAATTCTTTAGAATAGTACAGCCCAGAGGAGAGGAGAGGGGAGGATTGTTCTTCACCTGCTTATAAGGTTCACCATTACCCGGAAGTTCTTTCTTGTAAGGAGGTGGGGGTCTTTTCTCCCTTGAATGCAGTGAGCATCCTCCAGCTTCTCTGTGCCGCGTCCATGGGGTTTGTCTGAGAGGAGTCCACAGAGATGGAGAGTTGCATTCCCCTTGGCGTTGACCCAAACCTTACACATTTGGGTAAGAAGGGGAGGTATAAAGATTTTTCCCTCCTAAAAGCGGGTGGGTAGTAATGAGAGAGAGCGGAAGAAGAAGAAGAGGAGGGGTGCCTGGGCGGCTTTTGTGCATGTGATTACAGTATGTCTGGATGGATTGCCATGCTGAACGTTGCTTAGAATGCTGGTTGTTGGAACAGAAAATGGATTCAGCCTGGGATTTATATTATTAAGTACCAGTATTAATGTGCATTAATTTTCATAAGATCAATTGGACTTGGTCCTTAGGAAGTATGTGTAGATTTTGTATTAACAAGGATTTTCTTTGGGGGGGGGAGGTGATTAGTTGGGGAATTGGGATGGACAAAAAAGTCTAGGATTTCAATTATGAATGGTGTTGGGTGTTGGGAAGGCAGGTGTGTGTGAGTCAGGGTGGATGTACTTTCTTTGTAGAGTGAATCGCGTTCAGAGATGATGAGGTAGGGAGACAGAACGAACTAGTGTTTTATTTACTGTGCATGAAGAAAATGTGTGTATAAAGCTGTGGAGATTTGAATGGACTAGACAGAAGAGAAGGAAACTTTGCTTTTTAAAAAATTATTTGTACCTTTGCTGTACATTTACCTTTTCTTTGTACCTTTGTATATGATTTTTAATATTGATTGCACATCCCTGCCCTGATGTGATTTTAACCCCATGCTGCGGGGTTTTTTTTGTTTTAAATACCTTGTGGCTATGCATTTCTTCCAGCCCTAGAAATTTTGCAGACTAGATTCATCATTGGGGTTCTTTTCCCACAGAGTATTATATGCTTAAATTACCTTTATTTTAAAATAACTGTACCTAAAGTTCTAAAATAGTTACTAGGAGCCAGTGAGTTTTATGATTAAGTAAATATAAGAGTATTCTTTTTAAATATATTCAGTTAATTTAATTTTAATTTTTAATTTTAGCAAATAAATGTTGATCCCGTCCATATAGGAAATCCCTCTGTGGCTGATCTCTAAAATGAAGTACGTAGTTAATTTGACTAGCATTTTAAATTTTTATTTAGAACTATTCCATGTAATTATTTATCAAATCTATAATTTACATTGCCTCCCTGGTAGATTGATAAATCCTTTGGGCTGTAGGTAAATATAATGGGTGATTTAACACAAAATGATTCAATCAGACAGATCCACATTTCTTAGTTTTGAATTATGCCTTGAGATTGTACAAAGGGAATTTAAAGGATTGAGGGATATATGCTACCTATATCATATTCCAAAATGTTTCTATTGCTGCTGGTGAAATCATTTGTGAACTCAGCTGTAAATGTTGGTATCTGGGTCAGGTGCATTATGGTAGATAAATCTGGCTATTTGTATTTTTGCTTTAGAAAGGTACAGTACATAGATCAGGAATTCAGAAAACTCTGATACCTTTAGCAGTATGGAAGAATGTCTGGCAGTGTTTGAAATCACCAGTAGGGGTGGCTGTGGTGTCCCTTAGAAAAGAAATGAAAAACAATTGTCTCTTCCTAGCAGAACTTAAACATGATGGGTAAAATGTGATGCAGTGTCACAGATGATGCTAGTACCATTCTGGAAGTTCTAGTGATACTCTGTGTTTCAAAATAATGATTTTATGCCAGCCATTCAGAGGAAATTTATCCCCTCCAGCCATGCATAACTTCTTTGTTACTTTGTAAATAGCAGGACATGTATAATGCATCACTGTATAGAATAGAAACTAAACAGAATAATTAAAATTATTTTTAGGCTCTTTTCATATATGGGTTAAATAAAACTCATCTGTGTTTCATGTATCTTTTTAAAGTCAGCTGTTGTATGTGTGCCTCCATTAGCAGCAGACCAGAAATTTTTGACTTGTAGCTGAACCCAAATGCTGCTGTTGGCCAAAGGCCAGGATTCTTTAAGGAGGCAGGATCTTTTACTGAATAATATTAAACACCAGAGCTGTGCATGTTTTGGAACTATTAATCATCTCTAACAGTGTTATTTATTTCTAAGTATTAGTAGCAAATTAGAATATCCACAAAAACCTGTGTTAGTTTTGTAGTTAATAAGAGATCTTCACCATATGTTTTATCATCTGTATTTGGTTGCAGCTTTAATTCTTTCTAAAACAAATGCAATATATTGTTGCTTGAATCCAGTATTTATAGATTTAAATGTATAGCTCAGTTAAAAAAGTAGCCTGACTCTGTGGCAAACTGGATCCCCAAGTAGTTAATCACTTAGTCTAGCATGCTGTGTGAATGCAGCTTGTGTTCTTAATTGATGCTTGAATATGTTATATGAAACCAGAATATTTAGTAAATCATGGATTATTTAACCATACATAAGCATCCCCTGTGGAAACAAACTACACTTTTTTCAAAGTGAAAATTGGATACATCTCAGCAAACACAATCAATTCCTGTTATATCAAGGAATATAGAAAAAAATTAAAATTCATTCCTGGTTTTTATTTTCAGATAATCAAAATACTGTCTTTTTCTTTTTTGTAGATGCTTTCCTACATACAGTATTTTGCATTTACTCTTTTATTTTGATGTAAATGACTTTGGGCCCTAATAAGTATCAGTAGATTTTTAATATCATTATTAAATAAAGAAAATGGAATGAGTCTTTTTTCAGGTGGCTTTTAGATTATATGAGTTCTTTACCATTTAAATATAGTTAAATATGTAAGTGAAGTCAACATTATAATGGCTAACAATCTGTCTACCCTATATTTATGTAATCCCACCCCACTCATTTTGCTGAAAAACTTTTATCCAATTTTAAGCACAGGTAGGTATAAAAAAGAAACAGTATTCTGCTAAGTGATGGGGTATAAGTTGAAGCTGTTTTATCCTCTAGGAATATCACACTATTAGTTTGTAAACAATGATGAGACATGAGATATTCTTTATAGATCTGAAGTGTAATTTTGTAAGGGACTTTATTATAGAATAGAGCTGGAAGGGACCTTTGAGGTCTTCTAATCCAGCCCCCTGCTGAAGCAGGAAAACCTACCGTGTACCATTTCAAATAAGTGACTGTCCAGTCTCTTCTTAAAAACTTCCAGTGATGGAGCGCCCACGATTTCTGAAGGCAAGCTGTTCCACTGGTTAATTGTCCTCACTGTTAGGAAGTTTCTCCTTAATTCCAGGTTGCTTCTCTCTTTGATCCGTTTCCAGCCATTGTTTCCTGCCCTGCCCTCTGGTGCTTTGGAGAATAATTTGACCCCCTCTTCTTTGTGGCAGCCCCTTTATGGCAGATGGTAAATGTAACCGTTTCTGCCTGAGCTCTTGCAGCGTCCAAGAATGAACTCTTGGAAATACTGGGCTTTCTTTTTTTATAAAGGAAGTATACCGAGTAAAATATTTGATGTTTTACAAAATAAAGTTATTTCAGAAATAAATAAAACATTTAAAACATTTCATCAGTTTAATATCATTTTTATACCATCATAAAATATTATATGGTATTTATATGACATTTCCTGAATGCTCAGATATGTGTGTTATAGTAATTGGTATCACAGTAAGTAATAGACATTATTCTAATATTAAAGATGACGTTGAAAGAATGTGGTTGTTAATAGCTAAGTAACAAACCAGTAGCACAGCCTGAATTTGAACTAGAGATTTCTTGATTTAAAATAAGCAGCTTTAATTCACCACAGCAATTTTGAACTTTTTATTTAAAATGTAGAAGGGTCATAAGATCCAGTTACTTTTTGACTTAGCCAGAAATAATGTTGTTAATTAAAAATGTGTTCATGCTTTATGATTATTCATGGAATGTTATCTAAAAGTTTTGAACCAGATATTTTTAGATTAGTGCGGTTTAGATGTACTATTTGTTAATGAAGTTCTTTATTTGCTTGTAGAGCTACTGCTTCTTCCACCTAAGAATAGAAATTGGAAACTAATTTCAACTTCAACAATGGAATATTGAATAATTATTAATCAAGCATGTTGTTTTCTCATCAGGGATTTCTTTAAGGTATGTTAGAAGGAAGTCTTTTTTAAAGTCTACATTGTTTTCAAAAGTTCTAGGAGCAGCCAATGATTGTAGTCTTGTCAGTATTAACTGAGAATATCATCCAGAATGACAGTGAATGTAGCAATAGACAATGTAACATTTAAACTAAAAGTTATGATTACACCTTTTACTAAATTAGTAAAGATAACTTTTTTCATTCTGTATTGACTGGGCCTTTGTGGTCTGTAAACCATGGTCTGTATCTTCAAGCTTCATGTGTTGTTTGAATCCAGCCAACTGCAATTTTTCAATAAACCATGATTAAACAAGCAAGATATTGTACTATAGGTCTTCATGTCCTTCTAAAGAATGAGTTAATAATAGGACCAACCAAAATAATCTTAAGGTCCCGGCAATCTCAGCTAATGGCTTGATAGCTGATCTGATGAATGGAGGTAGAAGATTTATTCATGAGTTAGGCTGTATTGATCTCATACTGTATATAGCTGTTCTTTAAATCTCAAGTGAAATTTTCTTGCCTAGCATTTGCCTTTCCCTTTAAGCACTGCAGTTACACATGAGTAAATATTTCTGTTGTAACATGAGGACCTGGAAAATCCTAAAAATAGGCAGAAATCATGGTGCTGAAATTTAGCAGGAAAATGGCTGAATTATGGTCACATGATTTTTACTCTTTTTTCAGAAATTTGGGGGAAATGTATAACTGAAATGAGGCTCGTTGCCACCAAATTTTGGTTGTGTAGTCTCAGAGGCCACATGTTTTATGGGTTTAACATTTGAAATTATATTTTCACACAATAGACCTACCCAATATAATATTAACTATTGTTTATTTAATCCAAATTTTTGCTTCACAAACTATGAATTAAACACAAGTTGGATTTGCAAAAGCTATTGCTAAATACTGCCTAGTGTGTTAATTAGTAATTTGTTAATATCTGAACATACCATAGTTATTGTCTATTATAGATAAACATTTAAACTGCAATATACTCTTTGAATTGTGCAAGCCTAAATATATCAGTACTTCCCCCCCCCAGTTTCTTTGCATTTGTTTTTCTTCCCAGATTGCATTTTTTTTGCCTTTCTTTTACTTCTTATAAAAGTGATAGAGCATTTTCCTTAGCATTGTTTATCCGTTTACATTGTTTCAGTTTGACTAATTTCCTAAAATAGTGCATTGTGCATTGTTAAATAACTAGAATCTTTAGATTGGATTGAATAAAAAAATAGCCCCAAATAAGTATATAAATAACTTCCAACATTTTAAAGCTTTAGATATATTTTTATTGTACAATGTAGTATGCAAACAAAATATTACGTTATTTTTTTTTAAAGCTGTTGTTTATGTATACAAGTGAGAGGCACTTTAATTTTAAAAGTCAGTGTGGGAATGTCATAGGCCCAGTTGGCTTTTACCTCAAAGGTGAGTTGTCCATCACATGTTGTATGTTTGCTCCTGTTAGCATATGCTCTGGATTTCCATTTCAAGTAGCGTTAGCAAAAGAGCTGCACCTGTGAATTCACATTTTCTCTTTTTGCAGCAGGTTGGGGGGAGGCGATTGCTGGACCAGGCTATTAATAATATTTTGTTACAGAGTGGGCGAGTTGTTAAAATTAATTTTCTTAGCATGCTTCAGTTGCTAATTTATTTTAATTTTACCGAGTAAAGGTGGCAGAACTAGGTAAAGCAAGCATTGATAGAATTTCATGGACTTCTTTGATATTATTTTCTTTTGTCTTATATGTCAAAAATAGAAAATGATATTCACAGAGAATAAGATTACAGAACGCAAGATTTTAGAAAGTTTAAGTTTAGTTTATGGATTATATATTTATGTTTATTTTGTTGTATTATTTATGCTTTTGAATCATTAGGGATGCCTGGCAAGTGCCTGGAGTAGCCCCTGCAGTTTTCTTGGCAAGGTATTTCAGGAATAGTTTGCCATTTTTGCTGAATGATTTCTAAATTTGCTGATTGAAAAATGGTCTGAATATGGGATAGTAGAAATCTTTGCAATGTAATCTTAAAGAGGGGAGACGGATAATCAATTTGTAATCACTACCAAGAAGGTCGGAAGTCACTTCTTTAATTATCTTTTTTCTTTTTTCTACTTGTAGTGCTTTTTGTACTTTTTCTTTCATCTTTTTTTATTCATTCTAACTTTATTTTCATGTTTATCTTTGTTTAGTACAAATCTTCAATAAAAATTATATCTTAAAAAAGGGAGTGATTTACCATTCCTTCTTTTCTGAGCTAAAAGAGAGTGACTGGCTCAAAATCATCCAGCCAACTTTGTGTCTAAGGCAGGACTAGAACTCAGATGCTAGGTTTCTAGCCTGATCCTTTAACTATTACTTCCAGTTGGCTCTCTTGATATATTCTACACCAGTGATGGTGAAACTTTTAGAGACCGAGTGCCCCAAAACTGCCCTGGCCTGCCACCACTCTGCTCCCGCCCCCACCTCGCCCACCTGCAGGGCTACCCACCGCCTCCATGGCCTGCTGCAGCATAGTGCCCAGGAGGCCCTGCAGCGCCATGGTGGCCATGTGCTTGGCTGCGCTGGTCCACGCGGGCCGCACCAGGGGCAACTTCCCTCCGGAATGGTGGCTGGTGAGGAGGGGGCTGCAGTGGGAAGCAGGGCTGGGGCAACGGCATGCATGCCCACAGAGAGGGCTCTGAGTGCCACCTCTGGCACACGTGCCATAGGTTCGCCACCACTGTTCTACACTATAATACCTCAGATGGGCTTACAGAATGTGTGCAAAATCCAGGACCTTTGACTGCCAAGGAATGAAATTTGGGGAACTTGTGGCTGCTTCAGTGTTACTGGCTTCTGCTGCACTTCTACGTTGCTTCTACTGTCATGTGATCTTCATTTTTAGTGTTTTGAGACAGATTCTCAGCCAGTCTCACAATCCCTTCTTCCCTCCCTCCTCATCCAGCGGCAACCACTAACCTTCCTGCTTGAAAGGGAGACATTTATTTATTTATTTGTATCCTGCCTTTATTATTTTTACAAATAATTAAGGCGGTGAACATATCCAACAGACCTTCTTCCTTCTATTTTCCCCAGAATAACAAACCTGTGAGATGGATTGGACTGAGAGACTGGCCAGGAAGCCACACAATTGGTTTCATGCAGGACTAGAACTCACAGTCTTCCGGAAGCTTTCTAGCCTGGTGCCTTAATCACTAGACCAAACTGGCTCTCCAATCCGGTGTTCCCTGCCAGATTCTCACAAGGAAGCTCAATGGGGAAGCCAGCAGAAAGTTAAAAAATTGCTCTTGCTTTTTTGCCTTCCTTTCATCATTCTGTTTCTCTGTTTTAAGTAGGGAAATGTCTCTGAAGAGATGATCCAACGGGGCATTGATTGTCAAATATTATATACTGATTAATTTTGTTCTGCATTTAATGATCACTATCCTATCGTTCTATTCACATTAAGGGATATTTCTACCAAGTCTCCCTTCTGTTTGTAATCCCTGCATTGTATCTTACATATTTCCCCAAAAGACCTTGATAACATGACTGTGCCAACTAGTTTGGGGCCCCAATGGAAGTGTGGCAGTTTGGAGGTGGGTATTAGAGTAGATAATGTCTCACCTCCTTCCTATGCACATTTGGTTCCCTCTCTATCCTGGTTAGTTTTATTTTACGTGAATTTTATTGTTTTAATGTTTATAGTGCATTTTAGTTGAAGCTGTTTAGAGTCATCTCCTGCAAGATGGATGGCATACTAGTTTAATAAACAAACAAACAAATTGTCATAAGACTCTGTTGGAGTACACAAGGCTCAGGATGGATTAATTATATATCTAATTAATTTTGTCCCCTTTCATGTGCAAGAATGATACTAAAATGGCATTGGCATTTTCTCATGTATGTATCCATAATGCTGAGAGGTTTCTAGCAGGCTTTGTACACAGAACCAATTCAGAAATTAATTGATTCAATTAGTCAATTGCCTCTAAAGGAATTGCTGAAAGATAGTTGTGTAGCATTTTCTCTGTAGCTGTAGGGTAGGCAGTTCCCGGTCTCATTTTGCTTCCTGGCTCATGAGATGTTTCTTTGCTTCCCAGACTATAGATACCATGATGCTTTGTTGCTGTTCCCCCCATTAGTTTCAGGCCACTTAGCAGAGGGGCTTTGCTGCATTCCAACAGAGTGGCAGCTGGGTTTGGGATGGGGGTTGTTTGTTTCTTGCCATAAAAATGAAATGCAGCAAGGGAGGAAGAAGAAGGAGGATGGAGTGTTTTGCTATTTTTAATGTTTCCCCATTGGCTAGTTAGAGGAGTACTGGCTCAAGAATAGGTGAAAACATTTGCTGAGTGCACCATAAAATTGTGAAAATACTCATAATAGTTGGTGGGATGGTGAAACTGGCAATTTTGTGGAGGAGGCTTCTGTTTTTTTCCACAGAAAAAAAAAGGCAGAAGTAAACTTAAGCACAGCTTGCCATGCAAATAATACCATCTCAGTGAATAATCTTCTGTTGATTTATATCCAAGGAATAACTACTGTATGTCAAATATTCTCTTTATTGAATAATTTTTACATGTAGTGATATAGGATATCTTAATTATTTTTTTTCCAATACCAAGTACAATATTTATACATCTTTATTCTCCTTTACAACATATACTACACTAGTTTTTTTTCCTTTTAACTCAGATTCTGCATACTCCTATTGAATTCTAAAATAATCCACAAGTTTAACTGAAGAACTGCAGCATGTTGGTTTTCTCATATCTGTTCTTTTACTTGCTCTTTTTAAAACCAATGTCTCAAGGCATCTATAATATTAAAAACTTGACACAGTAACATGGATTTGGATTGTTTTATAAAAACATTACATACATTAATTGATTTAACTGAAATGTGTACTACAGTAAAAGATTTTGGCTTATGCATTGATGCTGAGTAGTTAAGTCTTTGCTGAAATACTTTGCTTTCAGCATTTGTAAATAAACTTGACATGTGAGTATAAATATCTAGAGGGATTTGAATAGATTCCATTAACTCCATTTGCTTGAAGATGTGCTGTTACAGAGGCTGGCTGATTAAATGAACTTCCATTGAGGCATGGATTTTTCTTTTTTTACGTTTGAAAGCTTGCTTTTAAAAAACACCTCAGCCTCAAACCACATAAAAAATCTCAAGCACTTTGGACAGTGCTCGGTCATAATACAGCATACTAGCAGGAAATACCAGTTTATCTGGTTTTAATTATTAAGCATCCACAATGCACATTCAAAACATAAGAATAAAAATGCCTCTTTCATTTAATTTATAAGGAGCAATTGTGGTCAGAGCAAACACAAAGGGAGTACTTTCTGAAAAAAAATGGCTGCTAAGTAATTTCTGTTTTTTTTTCAAGCAATATAGATAGAAGCAGTACTGTATAATTAGGATTTTTAGTCATTAGACTGTACTATACATTGATCCCTTAGTGTTATGTGACTTTAACCAATCAGTGTCACATTTGTTTGTGTTCATTTTCCTTTTTTCTGCAATAGGAAGCATTTGGATGGAGAAATAATTCAAATTACAAGGTTCCAAGCTTGACAGGGTTCTTGGAAACCTGAAAGAGGGAATCTTATTAAGCATACAATTTGTAATGTAATACAGATAAAGTAGGAGACAACAAAGTGTGTAAGTTCCTAAGCATGCATCAAACTTTGACAATGAATTCATTGGGTGAATTAATAACTAAGAATTGCTGAATTTAAGAAGTTGGAAAGGGAGGAAATATTTAGGTCAACCAACTCCACTCATATGTCAAACCGCCAAGGGATTTGTTTACAGTAACACCATGTGATATTAAACTCTTGAAGCTAATAATCTAATGTGATCTATATTGTGCATAATTCAACTTACTGGCTCAGCGGTAAAAATGTCTTTAAACAAAAAGCTAGGTTTCTGTTGCTGGGATAAAGAAGGTAGACTAATTAACTGAAGACTGCAGTTTTGGTGCCTGCTTCATATTTCACCTTTTAAAACAAACCTTCTCTCCCCCCCCCCTTCCTTCTTGTTACAGGTTGCTATGGGAATCTTATGATAATCTGAGAGGAAGTAAATCCTGATAATATTGCAGTTATTCATGATGTGCCTAGAGTGAAGAGGAAGGAAAACACTTCATATATCTAAGTGCCAAGGCTCTGCTGTGTCATGGCTACAGACTCTGGTGAATCAGCCAGCACTGAGGAATCAGAGAAACCTGATGGAGTTTCTTTGGAATGTATGAATCTTTCTGCTGATGCTACTTTGACCATGGAGGCCAGGACCAAAGAACGTGTTAGCACACCTGCCTCTGGGGCAACTGTAGAAAGAAAAAGGTTTTTCCGAAAGAGTGTGGAGATAATGGAGGATGAAAAGGACTTGGAACTTACTCCACGCAATGAGCAAGAACAATTTATCTTGGGGGATCAGAGAATGATCCATCTTTCCGCCACTACCCTTGTGGCCGAGCAAGAGGCCAGAAATGAGCAAAACTCAAAGGCGATTATGGAAGCCACGAAGGAAAGGATGAAGAAGGAGATAGAAGAGGAGGCAGAGATGAAGGCTGTGGCTACATCACCTGGTGGAAGATTTCTGAAATTTGACATTGAGTTGGGAAGAGGAGCTTTCAAAACTGTCTTCAAGGGTCTGGACACAGAAACCTGGGTAGAAGTTGCTTGGTGTGAACTGCAGGTTAGTGTGGATGAGCTCCATTAGTCAGTGAGCTAATTGAACGCTCTGATTTAGACATTGAGAGATATATAGATGTGCCAAACTTTATGGCTGCCTTGATCATATTACAGATGGTATGCCATGGCTCTTAATGTTAATATCTGCCAGATTTTTGTATTATTAGAAAAGTAGGACTTTAAAAAAAAAAAAGTTGTTACGGTTGCACGTAAGTATGGTGGCAATTTTAATTAATGCCTAAAGGGCACAGAGAATTTTTAATTTGGGGGGATGAAATCCTGATCTCTCAACCAGTTCTCTTAGCTATTTCACATTTTCATACTTCTTATTTCATACACTGGGAAAACCTCCAAAGTGAGCAAATCCCCCGGAGAACAAAGTCCTAGTGGGAATGCTACAGCAACTAAAATTTCAATTATGTATACTCATGAACATTTTGAATAGTTTTATTTACGAGATTGCAGTTTATTGTAGTTTAAAACAATTTAAAACATCAAATGATTGAATTCATTTTCCAGTTTAGGAACTCTCCTAAGTTGAAATTCTTTCATACAAACTTTGATACTGTATTTCTTTTTTCATAATTTCACAAATCAAGTGAATTAATTGAATGTAGTTGTTTTTTTAAAAAAAGAAATTAAGTTCCCAATGATTTAAGCATGGGTTTGCAACATGTAAATTCAAGTTTGTTAATAATGCAGTATAATGTGCAAATGTGGATTTCTGATTTGTTAGTAATCCATTATATAGTGGCTGACTAGAATCTGTAACCAAGGCTTGTGAGTGGTCTCTTCCTGGCTTCTACCCAATAGAAAAAGGTAGAAGAAATAGCCATAACGTGAAATACTCCTATATTATCTTGCTGGTGATTTTACCACTGCAACCACAATATGAAGCATTAGGAATTTTGGGTATTCATCCACAATAGCCTAAGTATGTGTCAGACCAATATTTGCTTGCAATTAAGAAAATTAAAAACCAAAAAGTATTTTAAATTTAGAAGTTGGTCCTGCTTGGTTTCGTCAGTCAATTTAACAGTTGAAGAACAGCTGGTCACCTGATAATGCTGTGTTGGCAGTTTCTATCAAAGGGTATAGTATCCTTCTTCAGGAAAAGACAAAGTGGGAAAGTGTTGAACTATAGATGGGGAAAAACCATGAGACTTGAGTGCTTGTGGTTAGGGTTAAGGTAGCAGAATATGGTTAAAGATAAGTCTGACCTACATAAACAGGTACCACTTAACCTGAATGAAATATCTTATATTGCACATGCTGTAATCATAAGAGAATGCAAGGAAATGGGCTAATAATGCTGTGGATGAGTTTATGTGTGAAGTTTTTATCAGTAGGGGGTTGTGATTTTTTTTTTTTTTTTTTGCTTTTTCCCCCTGTACCTGTCCTTCTCTATCTGAATTCTTATTTGGTCCCAAGTTTCCCTCCTAGTACATCTAATATCTTTTCCAACCCCTCTGTCCCTGTGGGCCATCTTATAAGCAGCTTGCTAAATGTTGGGTTCATGCAAATTGTTAACATGGCTATTATCTGAGACCTGCATAATGAAGAAAGGCTATTTATTTTGAAAAATGCCACTGTTTCTTTAGATTTTGCACTATTTCCTGATCCTTTTATTTTTCCACTGCAAAAGGAAAACTGCAAAAGGTCATTTGCATTGATGCTTGCCTTACATTCTATTTGTTTCAGATAGTATTCCTATAATTTGTAGGAGAACGATGCCAGGAAAAAAAAATGTTTCTGTGTCCTTAAAGTTTTGTCTAGAAAAAAATGTTGCAAGATGTAAGGATGAGAAGAACTCACAGTAGTTGATGATACAAAAATACTGTTTTTCTTTGCACCTTGCTATTCTCCCCATCTGTGCTGGCAAAATGTTACGGAGGATAAAGAGGGTGACAGAATTTTTTTGAATGGTGTAGTATTAGAAAGTGATCAGTTATTTTAATGCTTGATAAGTCTGCTGTTAGCTGCAATACTTAAAAGAAATCTATAGCTTTAAAGCCAGTTGCTTGTGTTCAAAACTTGAGAATTTCTTGGAAGCAACTGACCAGCCACTTCTTCATTTCCTGGCGATATATATTCATGCTTTATTTAAATACGCTCACTCATTGCTTGTGTTTTATTTCTGTTTTTGTTTTCATCATAGAGAATTGACTTGAGCAGCTGTGATTAAAAAAAAACAACAGTATGTACTTGTTTTTCCCTATATACCTGTCAGTGGGTGGTGGAATAACTATCGTATGCTTCATAATTGGTTTAATTTCTTCCACAGCTAATTCAGCCTAACCTTGTCAGAATTTTCCATGCAATGTTTCTAAACATCAGAGCTTATATTATGCTGCCTCATCACTTACAATGCTCAGACTTACACTCTTGTCACATTATCAGTTACAGTGCTCATTGATTGAACAGTGTAATCAATATTCTTAGTTGCACCGAGATGTTAAAGAAGCTATTTAGCAAGGCTGTGTATCTGAAGGATCTTATATATGACTTCGGGTTAGAATTTTAGTTATTGAATTACTAAAACCAACTTTAAGACTTCTTTCTAGAAATAAGCTCTCTAGGAAGAAATTAAATTGATTTTAGGTGAGCATGCCAGGTGTATTTTTGTCTGTGTATTTTTATCTATTTCATTGTTGTAATATAGGATGTTCAGTCTTTTGAAGCTGGGAGGCACATTTTGAATGAGATGAGCATTCTGACAAAGACACATTTAGAATTTATTATGTTTGTATAGAAAAGACCTGTCAAAAACAGCATTTTGTTGATGAGATAATAAGGACAATACTTCTTTAAAAGATATATTTCTATGTATTAGCCCTTACTGTGGCTAAAGAACTGATATTACAGCATTAGAAAGATAAACATATGGCTCAGTTTACTCAATGGATTGAAGACCTGCATTACCACATAAGAGCTGATTGCCTATAGACGTAGATTTTGTATAGACTAGTACAATGAACTAATTATATATGCACTTGAATAATATTTGCATTAGCCAAGCATATATAGATTTCTCCATTTATTGCTATAATCACATATTGTAACAATTACTTAATTTTTAAATAATTTTATTAAAATTTAGACAAAAATAAAAAACATCTCTCTTATCTGTAAACAAATTCTTTAAAACTTCTTCATTCACCTCTAATTAGCCAATGTCTATTAAGAGTTACCAGAAATAACAACATATATATTTTAAGCTCAATCAAATAAACCAACTTCATACTCCTTTCCTTACTTTTAACACCAGCTTATTACTTTCTATGAAAATAGGACAAAAGATCCTCTCTTCCCATATTTCATCTCTTACCTTAAACAAATCTTTAAAGCCTCATCATTTGGTTCTGGTGAGCAAAAATCCATTAAGAATTTCCACATACAACATATATTTTAACCTTGGTTAAATATATCAACTTTGTATTCTTTCATTTTGCTTTTAACAATCTTGCTCTTTAATCTCTTTAAATAGTGTCCCAGAATTTGATTTCTTTTCATTTCTTTTCTCTGTTTTCTTCAAAATATCTTCAAAACTTTAACACGTCTCTTTTGTAAATCCAAAATAAGAAAGTTATCAAAGTCACTTTTCTGGATTAAATTAAAATATCAGTCAGTTTCATTTTAAATCTAGTGTAACATCTTTTTCCATATCATTCCTGTAATCTGTCATTTTTAAATCCCTATTCAAATAGCCTCAGTCTACTTTGTCAATATAATCTGTTTCTCTTCTATAATCTCGTTTAATTCCATTTTTATAATTGCAGACAATTTTAAGAATTAATTTCTGAGCGCATTGTTCCCAAATATTCTTGAATTCTTCCAACATTAAAAATATTTTGCTCTGTTCTGTACTAGTGAGTCTCTTCTCCTTTAATTATAACCTTTATTTCTGTCTAGTTCCCTCTAGTGTCCAACCTTCCTCTTATCATATTTTATCTAATCGACAGCATTTTTCCATGGGAAGGGTTCTGATACTTAATTTCAAATTCTACATTTTTTAAAAAATAATAGAATTCTAAAAACTCACAGGAAGGATTCTTGTACAGGCAGTCTTCAAGTTAAGAATATATGATTTAAGGACAACTCTTAAATACGAATTACTTAAAATGGCAGCCATTCCTTTCTTGAGTTGATGAATCACTAAAGCCATGCAGTGCTTTCAGGAAGCGTTTTCAATACATAGCCATTCTTACCATTCAGAGTTGCTCTTTGAGTTAGACGGACAGTCTCTAAAATAAATGTGCTTCAGCTTTTAAAAAGGCAAATGCTACCCTAGGATGCTTTTCTATCTTTCAGCATAAGATAGTTCACATGTACTAGTTAGCCTTGCTGCTACATTTTGTACCCATTAAAACTTCTGAAGACTGTTTAAGAACCCATAGCAGTGATCAGATAGGATGTAATTAAAGCTGTCAGGAAGATTGTTATATTATTATACTGTAATCACCGATACTGACACAGGTTAAAAATCCAGAGCCATACTTTGTGTATACAACTGATGATAGAGGAATTCAGAAGTTAATTTATTTGCCCAGCAGTTTCATAATTCAGTCAAATACAGGAAGGCTGATTCAGCTGCCCTTTTGGAAGAGGCCATTTCTTGAGGAGGCCCATAGGCCTGGTCCTCAATCGATCAGACATTGTAAGAGTAGCTATTTTACATTAGTGCAGGGTATCTCTTACAGAGTTCCATATTTTTAGGGTAAAGCTGCCAAATAGTTTTATTGATTTACATGCAGTATACGGTTTTTAATATCCCTGATCTATCTAGGCTTCTGAGTTCAAATATAGAAATTGTGATTTTTTTTAAAAAAAAAAAAACTATTTTCCCCAGGTGAAAGAAGCCCATTAAACTCACCTTGGTTAATCTCATCCTTGGGATCTCGAATAGTAGGTGATAGGCTGTACTGGTTTATGTTACTGTACAAGTTTCCCAGATTTTATTCAATCATTGGATTGTGTTTTATCATGGAGTTAGTTGATTGGTTGGAAAAATAGTCAAGCTAGCATATCATTTCTTGTGGACAAAGGTTATCCAATGTGCGTACAGGATGGGTGATTTTTTTGTAGATGTGAAACACATTTTTTTTAACATCTCAGGAGGTGTTGTGATACCAGAAAATTAGGATGCGACCTAAGGTTTTGCCTTCCTTGAAGTGGTGAAATAAGTTTCTTATTTAGGCTAAAATTAGTAATGGATAGAGGAAGATATGTTCTTGAGTATGTAAAATACAAAGCAAGTATAATATACCCAGTATGCACATTATCTATCATATAGCTTGAAATTGCTTCTTTTATTATTTAATTAAATATTTGCACCTTGGGGAAAAGCCTTACGTTTATTACGGAGTCATATTGAAGCCAATGTTCTCCTAGCATGCATGCAAAAAACAAACAAACATGTATGTATGCAAGTACAAAAAGTACATACACGAAGAACACATCTGATATTCTTTTTGTTTTCTGGAGGTGGGTCTGCTTTATTGTGAATCTTCTTTTTGAGTTCTGCACCAACTGAGCTAACTGATAGGATTGCTTTGGTCTTTATCTGCTCATGGAAAACAGGGTCAGAGTCAGGAGTCAGCAAATAGATCTCTCAGAATTCCAGCTATGGAAGAGTAATTAGGTTGCATAACTTCTGCCAGCATATGGTGACTTTTGCATATATCGACTTTACAGTAATGTGGTAGATTCTAAAAGGGAAGATTGCAAAATTTGAGTTGGACTATGCTACCGTTTGATAAATATGGAGTTGAGTAAACTGGATGCTCAAGCATACATCAATAGCTCCATATTAAGAAAGTGATATATACTATACCCCATGGCTCTATCTTCGTCCCTACATTGTTAAAAATATTTATGGGACGAGAGGTTAGAAAATATGATTATCAATTTTTCACATGATACAAATACACAGGAAAAAGGACACTCTCGCAGTTCAAGAGGATCGTGACAAGTTGGAACAAAGGACAAAAACCATTAAGTTAAATTTTAGGGACAAATACAAAGTCCTTCATTTCAGTAGAACATGACTATGAAATTGGATGACCATACTGGGTGCCAGTACATGGCTTGGTGGATAACAAACTGAATTTGAGGCAGAAGTCTGATGTATTTGCCTCAATACTAGTGTGAATGTAACGAGAGATAATCATTCCTCTCTATTCTATATAATCAGACCAGACCTGGAATATTGCATCCGGTACTTGGTGCCAAAATTTAGGAAAGATAGACCAACTGAAGTATGTCCATAAAAGATCAACCAACATTATAATGAGAATAATTAGAGGCACTGGATATATTTGGTCTGGAGAAGAAAAGAATGTGGTAAGATGTAATAGTTCTACAAACATTTGAAGATCTTTGATGCACAAGAGGAAGCAGACTTGTTGAGTTATTTCTCAATAAGACTGGATAAGGAACTGTAATCTTAAATCACACTGATAGAGATTTAATTTAGATACCAGGCAAATTTTGAAACAATAAAAGCTTCAGAAATGGAATTTCTTCAGAGGGTGGTGGGCCCTTTTTTACTGGAGGCATTTAAACAGATACTGGGTTGTCTGTCACTTAAACTACAGTAGCCAGTTCCTTCACTGGGCAGGGACATGGACTAGATTATTTTGATGGATCTTTCAAGGCGTTCCATAATCCTATAGGATGTGATGGGATAAATGTCAGTTTATGAAGAATTCATCAAACTAATGTCAATTTCATTATTTCCTCTCCAAATTTCCAAATGAGATAAACATTTTGAAGTGGCAGTCCTTAATTCTGTAAGTTCCTGTAATGAGGCAAAATGCTACATATTTTATTACTGGGAATTATTTTTATTTAATTTAATTTATTTTATTATAATTATTTTTATTACTGAGCAGCTTTATTTGAAGCAATAATGAATATAATAAAAAAAATTTTTAAATAACAATGTATTTTAGATTTTTTAGCTTTTAAAATTATTTGTTGCATTTCACTCTTTATTAGGGTCATAGACCAGCCTAACAAGGGTGAAATACAACAAATAATTTTAAAAGCTAAAAAATCTAAAATACATTGTTAATTTTTTAAAAAAACAACTGAAAGTTTATATATATATATATATATATATATATATATATATATATATATATATATATATATATATATGTTTTTAATAATTTTGAATATAGGAATCCCAGGTATGGACTTTAAAGTCAATCAAACTGCTGAGTTTTCGTTAACAACCTGTTAACATCATCAGAGCCCTTTGTTCTGATGATGTTAACAGGTTGTTAATGAAAGCTCAGCAGTTAATAAAAAAAAGCCTTTTATCTTACATTCCAGAGCTCTTTATTTTTATCTGATTGACTTTAAATATATATATATATATATATATATATATATATATATATATGTGTCTTTGGTTGTTCGGGTTTTCTCCCGCGTAAAATTGGAAGTGTCTTGGCGATGTTTCGACGAAGTCCCATTCGTCATCTTCAGGAAGGAAGAAACAGCTAAGACCACACATTGCTGCTCGAAGCACGAAGCTGAAAGCACCAGCCTGAAGATGACGAATGAGACTTCGTCGAAACGTTGCCAAGACACTTCCTATTTTACGTGGGAGAAAACCCGAACAACCAAAGACCTACATACAAATACCTGCGAAAACCTCAGAAAATATATATATATATATATATATATATATATATATATATATATACACATACATACAAACTATAGATAAAAAAACATAAAAATTATTATATGGCTGTCTAAATCTCTCATAATACAAAACATTTTCAGCTAACAAATATGTTTAGTCTTGTATAACAAAAAAGTACACAACCAGAGCAAGCCTGCCTGCCCCTATTCCTGAACAATTGCCATCAGCATTAAAGCATGACAGTATATTAAAACAGTTCTTTGGTGTTCTACTTTAGCATATCTATTACTTTTATCCCCAAAAGGGAATTAACTCCCTGTTGGTTGGAAAGTAAGCCAAAAATATTGCACAGGAACAGCATGAATATATAGTCTCTTGAGGGCTTTGATTGGTGGCACTAAATTGGGGAAAAATAAGAATCAATTATGGTAGAGCTTTGCACTTGATCACTTATCCATGTCAAATTATACTAGGCAGGTAATTTGTCATATCTATTGCTAAATTTACTCTGATATTAGGAGGGTATAGGTAGGTCAGTGGACAGGTAAGTATTGTTCCAGGTTCTTCATTTCTGAATGATGGGGTGTTTTACATAATTAATTTTCTATAGAAGAAAGCATTCTAGAATATAAGGGCAAAAGATTAGTCACCCCGACAGAGAGAAATAGAAAGTTATAATGATAAAGAACTGTATGATGATTGCAGTACTGTTTTGCTTATTACTTTATCTATTCAGTCACTTTGTCCAAGTGGCACACTCTTGACACCAAACTTCATTGGAAAGAAGGTTGTCTCAGTAGTAGACACATTGTGGGAAGGTAATTTAATGGAACGAGGTGGGAAGTTTTACTCAACCATTTTTATATGAGATTGGAGGAAATATAGAATATATTGATCTACCACCAATATCTATAGTTTCGTTTTTAGCTGTCTTTTGTATTAATTTGTCTGTTGACAAAAGTACGTAACACAGACCCATTTCATAATGGAAAGAATACAAGAGGACAAAGACAATTCTAATGCAAATATCACTAACTGTTTAGGTTCTCGGAGACGTTAGTGACTCTAATGAAAGGAAGAATTATTTAAATAATTTTTCAAAGTGGAACAAATTGGTTTCATACTTTGGACTATGGATAGGCTGTCTGCAGGTTCTCTCTAAAGAAATTAGACCTACCTTGCTGTAGTAGTTCCTCTTTTTCCCAGTCAGATGGACAAGTTTATTAGATGAATAATAGGAAACAAAGTACATATTTCCAGCTGCTAACAATTCCCATAGCAGGACTCAGAATTTCTTGGAGTGGTGTAGAGTAGAGGAGTAGAGTAGATTAGGTTTTCTACCTCCAAAGATCCTTTGCAAAAATTTCTGAATCGTTGGGATACAGAGAATAGCAATAGCATTTAGACTTAGATACCACTTCATAGTGCTTTATAGCCCTCTCTAAGCAGTTTACAGAGTCAGTATATTGCCCCCAACAATCAGCAGCTTTGCTCAGGATAAGTAAGTGGAAGGGGAATTAAGCTCGCCTTCCCTCCTAGTGAATTGCCTTGGACTGCTGTGAAATATGGAAGCCTTCTACCTTCCCATTTCCTTTCACTGACTCAACAATTATAAGCATGCTCGTTGGAAAGATTTTAAAGGATTGTGTGTAGAAATGGGTGGGTTTATACAGAGCCTGTTTAACAAACCAGAGTCAAAATGGTTTGGTCCCCATTGTCATGAAAAACAAGATCAAATGCAAGGCCCAGTACACAGATTCTCAACAATTCTGCAGCCTAATGGAATAGATCCATTAGACTGATATATTGAGACTATGCCAAGGAAGATGATTCGTTTTCATTTATTCTCAGCTATGTCAGCAAAGGCAGGAAACAGATTTAGTTTTTAGTAGGACTGTCAAAAAATATGTCACAGATTTTTTCTCAAGTGACATGGCAAAAAAGAGTCTATTCAGTCTATTCATATGTCTAAATATTTACCAGCTCAAAAATTATGAATAAAAATCTGTAGATTGGGACAACACATAAAAATGAAAAAAAATATTCTACAAAACATTTACACAATGACTGAATGAACTAATTCGTGAACATACATCATGCTCTGATCAAAAATAAATGGTTTTGTAGATTCCAGTTCAATTTTGTTCCATAGTGTCCTTGCATATTTTCTCACATGTTACACTCTGAATGATTAGTTTTAATTTCCTGGAGAAAGAAATGAAAATGCTGCACTTCAGAATAATGCAGACCTCTACTCTTAGTGGGTGGTGTAGCTTCCAGTGGAGGTAATCTTAGGGAATGCAATGTAACTATTGTCTCTACAAGGCTCTTTGCAGTAAACAAACTATACACCCATGTAAACATCCCTACAGTAATAATGACAGGGAACTAGCTTGAAGATCTATCTTTAGAAACTGAACTTGAGAGCTTTTATTTACCACAATCTGGAATACTGCTTTATAATGGTAATATATTCATTTCGTTTGTGCTGATTTGATGATTATATGTTGTCACTAAGCCTTTCTGTAGCTTGTAGGCTGACTTACAAACATGAAAGTCACTGGAAAGAAAACAGTAAACATGCTAGAACTTTCCATTACCGGTCGAAGCACTGAAATATTCATTCTGATTCTTCCTTAGGAATCTGCCCCATCCCCCCCAACCCCATCCCAAAAGGAATGGGCTTTCACAATGTGATTATTTCAGGAAATTTGTATTATTTCTCCAGATTTTTTATGACTTTTGTGCAATGAATATGGGGCTTTAAAAGATTTGTTGCCCTAGAATTGAACTGATTATATGGTCATGATGTGAATTGTTAAAATGGAACAAAAAAAGAACTATAAATAATGGAGTTGGGGAATAAATGAAAACTGACTAGGTGTAAAATAGACATAGTACAATTAAATCAAATTTCTTAACCTTCCAAAATCTAAGCCACAACAAACATGGTAAATAATTTTGTGCCTTTGTAGAATAATTTCTATTTGCTTATGATACTAACAGAAAAACAAACCGGATTTCCTAATCTGCATGTTATGATTTAAAAAACATCATTGGGATTGTGTGGGATTGTTAACTGTGCCATTAGCACAGTGAAATTGATTGAACTGTATGCACTGGCATGTTGCTTATTCCCAGGTGAACCAGGAATCTTGCTTATCATTGTGTGCAAAGAAGGCCAAAATCAGTGTTTCGCAAAATGAGGTGCACAATATTTTAACCACAATATGATTAAAATGGGTAATTAGTTTTATTTATCTGACTAAACCCCTGATTATTTCGAATTATTAAAAATTGCATTAGTGACGAAATTAATTAAAGGTCTTTTTCTTTTTGTGTTCTTCTGTAATTGTTTTAAAGCATACATGAAATAACTAAGACTAGGTTAATTAATGGAATATTTTCAAGAACTCTGTGTAAGAAAAACAATGCTATTGTGTCGTAATAGGGTCATAACTATAAAAAATAAGAGGTATACAAACTTTTACTCAAAAGTTGGATTATATGAATCAACTGTATTCTTCAGTGTTTCTATTATGTCTTCATTGCCCTTGTATACTTTATTGTTATAAAGGATTTAAGTATTTGCTGTTCTGACTTATACCAACCTAGCTATCAGCTCATCAGCATGCCATTTAGATGACTGTTTATTTTGGCTTAATAAAGGGTAAGTGATTATATTGGAAATCAGATGATCTGCAAGGAGGAAACAGAAACTAGTTAAGGAAATTGGCTTCATTGGTAGGTGAAAAGCATTTAAATGAAAACAATACTTTGTGTTCTAAAGCTATTGGGAAATTTTGACTTTACAATAGTAGTTGCAAGAAATGACTCAAAAATATATATGGTAAAAGTCTGATACAATTTTACTGTCAATCTTAGAGCAGCATATCAACACGTGTTTATTAAATATATTTAAGAAGTATCACACTCTTCCTTTGTTTTGGAGAAGTTTAAAATTGTTAAGAAAATTAGTCCTTGATTTACAACCAGTTAATTTAGGGTAAGGTGGATTTTTTTGGTCTCATTTGAAGCATGAGTTTGCTTATTTTACTGAACTGATCACTGACATCAGACATTAATACTTACAAATATGAAACCACATCAAATGTTTTGTGTTTATAGCTTGGCTATAAACTAACTCAGTGCATTTTTCATTTTTATACTAGTTCTTGGACTTATCTCCTAAGGTGGTGGCACAGTGATTAAAATGCAGTACTGCAGGCTAACTCTGCCCATAATCTGGAGTTTGATACTGACAGGGCTCGAGGTTGACTCAGTCTTCCACCTTCCAGGGTCAGTTGTTGGGGGCAATATGCTCACATTGTAAACTGCTCAGAGAGTGCTGTAAAGCAGGGGTCCTCAACCCCTTGACCATTGCCCACTACTGGGCCTGCCACTCGCACAAATGGAGCTGTGCGCACGCTTTCCCGCCACTCGTGCAAAACCATCCTCTCCCCTCCTCCCTGCACTGGTCTACAAAGCCAGAAAGGTTGGGGAACTCTGCTGTAAAGCATTATGGGATGGTATATAAGTCTTAAGTGCTATGGCTAATGCTATTGCTAAGACCACATAGATACTGGTGGTCAACTTATTTGAAAGCATCTCTGTTCTTCCAAGCCATTGTGGGGCAAGTAGACAATTGCTGATACTGGAAAAGATAGATAGATATCCACATATTTTAGCAAAACATTTTAAGGAAGAATAATATCAGTTACTGTGGGAAATTCATTGGTCCTCTCGTTTGACTTTAGGAAGATATTTAAAATAGCAACATCACTTGAGAATACAAGAAACAGGACCACACATACACGTAAAGCAGAGATATAATCTGGAAACAAAGATCTTGGGTTCTCATGCCAAAGAAGTTGCCTTCTAATTATCTTGAAAAATCTCTGTGTAGAACTTCAGCTCTTGTTTATATAGATGAAAGATAAAAACTACTCGAGGCATGTTTCTTCTTTGTTTTGATGAAAACAGGTTTGACTCTTTCCTGAATGGAACAAGCAGTTCTTGACTGATATGTTTCTAGTGATTTTCCCTGCAGCAGATGCTTTGTTTATAAAATTACCATTGTGGGATTGAGACCTAAAATAAAATCAGCTGTGAACATTTGTGGTGGGTGAAACCTCCATGTTATTTTGCACAAATTCCTTTACTATTTGCATACATCTGTTTTCACTACAATGTGTGTAAGAAAAGAAAAAGTTATATGTCTGTTGTAAAGCTTTCATTGTCTAGAACAGTGGTGGCGAACCTATGGCACGCATGCCAGAGGCAGCACTCGGAGCCCTCTCTGTGGGCACACGTGCCGTTGCCCCAGCCTCGCCTCCCCCCACGACCCCCTCCTCACCAGCAGCCCCCCTGGAGGAGAGTCACCCCCGAGTGTGGCCCACATGGAGCAGCGCAGCCAAGGACATGGCAGCCAGGCAGCATAGACAACATGCACCACTCCACACAGTTGATGCTGCGGGGTGTGGGCAGAGGGCGTGGCTGCCATGGCGCTACTGGGCAATCTGTGGCAGGCCCTGGAGATGGTGAGTGGCCCTGCAGGCAGGCGGGGTGGGGGATGGGGTGGGGTGGAGCAGGAACGGGGCAGGGGGTGGAGCAGAGGCGGGGCCAGTTTTTGGGCACTTGGTCTCTAAAAGGTTCACCATCACTGGTATAGAAGTAGGATTTTTGTATAGTGAGAATTTAAAGAGCATGCTATTATTTTTCTGCAGTGATGCCTAAAAGTAGTTTCTATTGGGTGAACTATTGTAGGTTGTAATGCATATTTAATTTTCATGCAATTTATATCTCAATGAGCTTAAATAGGTGAAACAGAAATTTCTTGTGCGGCTTTAAGAAGCTTTTATAGTCATCCTGAAGTTAAACTTCATATTTAAAATATAGTATAAAAATTGCAATTGTGTAAGTGTGTGAGAGAAGAGAAATAAAGCATGATATCATTATGTAATAAACAGGTAGTCCCTAAAATTGGCCTTCTCAAAAGATATGTCAATGAATTTGCAATTTGCTACCTGTTTTTTAAGCAACAAAATATAAAAATCCAAGTTTTTGTTAAGGATGAAAAGCAATTAAATTATATTTTATAGTTCAGTGAAGGAGAAACTTTTTCCTGTTCCATTGCCAATGACTTTTTGCTGAATCAATTAACTATTTTCATTTATTTGGGGGTAGGTGGGTAAACTATTGCTTGCTTGTAAATGCTGTAGGATTTTTTTTTAAATGTGGCATCTCAGCTGCAATATGCTATGTCAGTGATGGCGAACGTTTTAGAGACCGAGTGCCCAAAAACCGCCCCCCGCCCACTCCACCCCTGCCCCCGCTCCATCCCCCCGCCCTGCTTCGCTACACCTCACCCCACCTGCCCACAGGACCACCCACTGCCTCCACAGCCTGCCAGAACAGATCACCCAGGTGGCCCAGCAGCATCATGGCAGCCATTCCCTCTGCCCGCACCCCGCAACATCATCTACATGCGACGGGGTGCAAGGGTGGAGTCTTGTCCCTGCTGCCATGTGCTTGGCTGCGCTGCTCTGTGCAGGCCGTAACTGGGGATGACTCTCCTCTGGGGGGCTGCTGGTGAGGGGGCCATGGGGGGAGGCAGGACTGGGGCGACGGCGCACGTGCCCACAGAGAAGGCTCCGAGTGCCGCCTCTGCCATGCGTGCCATAGGTTTACCACCGCTGTGCTATGTGATCCATCACATTCCCTCCATATGAAGTATCTACTGTTACTATTGGCTGAGAAAAAAATGCTTTGACCATCCCTATCACTAATTTTTTGGTATTAAAATATTTTTTTCTAATGAGTAAATTGAATCAGGACATTCAATTTGGGAAGCACTGTTCTAAACTTAAAAGTATTCCTATTGGATATTTGTCTTCTAAAAAAATAGATTTTATGTCCCATTTATTTATTATATCCCAGGAGAGAATTATTACTGAAGCTAGGAAACTAATTTTAATGCTCTGCTTACATTTAATGATAAACCCTTTTTTTTCCAGTTACCCTTATTTTCTGTAAACAGTGTGGCAGTACATATAGCTCATTAACTCCATATTATGTGAGCAAATGAAACAAAACAGAAATAATTGTCCATTACAAATAAGCCAAGGTTCTCTTTCAGGAATAAATCAATGTTTTTTTGTTGGTTTACAATCCTAGTTATTTTGTGAGCAACAATCCAAGGTTCTTGGCTTCAGTTTCACACAAAATTCTGCTTTTTTTCTTATGCGAAGGGAAGAAGAAAGCAAGACGCAACAAATGAACACTCTAGCAAACTGCTGATTCTTCATAAATAATTTGGCAAATATTTCCGTATGCAGCTTCATTCTATTCAGTTGCATTCCTTATGTTCTATTTCATTTCTAAATAGACTGAAGAATTTCCTGTTTTAGTGAGATGCATTTGAAAACTATTAAATTACCTCCCCCTCCCCATCAATCTTCAGATCATTTGTAATCAACTCTTTGAAAATGTGGTTGTGGTTTTTAGATTATTTGTTTTTACAATTAAACTTAAATTTTATTGGGAACAGATTACTGCAGGTGAAGTTTTGTTAAAATTAGTTGAAATTGTCTGCTGTGATTTACACAGCTTAAGAGCTATTGATCTTCTGAACATTACTAATAAAGTTTGATTTATGATCAGCTGTAGAAATTTCCTCATAAAAAGCTGTACCAATAGTTAGTAGATTGTATGTTAAAAATAATGGAAACATTCAAGCATACATTAATCTGTGTGGTTTAGGGAATTGCATTAGGACAAGCATGCTGCCAGTTCAAATTATATTAAACAATTGTTAATATAAATATTTATTCAATTTACATAAAAGTGTGATTGATAATACAATGTGGGACAATGGACTGTTCAAGGTAGTTGGCACTTAACATACTACTGTGGAAGAGCTGAGGATCTTTTAAAGTAATAATGATATTTATGATGTAGCTAGATGTCTAATTTTTGATACCTATTTGCTGATGTTGCTATATAGCAGTGGTTCTCAAGCTGTGGGTCGGGACCCATTTGGGGTCGAACGACCATTTCACGGGGGTCGCCAAACAACGCAGTCCGCCATTTTTTCCCCCTTTTCCTTAGCTGTGTTACTCCCTTTTATTCTATTGGCTTTTGAAAACCAATAGAATAGACTCTCTTGAATAGAGTCTAATTCTATTGGCTTTCAAAAGCCAATAGGAATTGTCCAGGCTGTCTCTGCCCTGCTGAGCCCGCCAAAAGTCCATTCTGCAAACGGTGCTGCACCAGTTGAGTAGTCCTCGACTTACGACCGGTTGAGTAGTCCTCGATTTACGACTGGTTGGGGGTCGCGGCATTAAAAAGGTTGAGAACCACTGCTATATAGGAAACATAAAAATCAAACTGAGTATTGATCTGAATCTGGGAGAGAAACTAGTTTCTCTCTGAGGTTGGAATTATAGATTGGTCTGCCCTAGGTGATTAATGGATCCAGTTGGGGTTCAGAGTGAATTTGGGGATTGTTCTTGAGGTCCTGCTGCATAGTCTTACAAATGGTCTGGTGACCACCTGGAATTAATGTCCTTTGGACTCAAGGCTCCTGTTTGAGGAGCAAGTAACCATCATAGCTAAGAAGTCCTTCGCACAACTACAGTTTATGTGTCAGTTGTGCCTGTTCCTGAACTAGAAGGTCCTGCTCATAGCCATTAATGCCCTCCCAATTGAACTGCTGCAGTGTGCCCTTGAAGATGATTTGGAAGCTTCAGATAGCACAGAATTTCAGTGTTAGAGGCTTACATGGAAAAAGGGATACCAAATGTCCAAGCTGGCTTAAGAAAATGCCAAGGAACATGAGCCACTATTGATGATGTATGCTGCATAATTGAGAAAGCCAAACAATATCCCAAAAAAGTTAGTATGTGTTTAATTGATTGTAGAAAGCCCTTCAGTTGTGTTGATTGTGTCAAGCTGTGGAACATGCTTAGGAAAATGGGAATCCCAGAACATCTTATTGTCTCAATAAAAAACTTATCTATAGGTCAAAAAACCCACAATACAGACAGAACAGGGTAGAATGACATTGGCAAAGTATTTGGGGGGAAGAAAAGCTTGTTTCCATCTATTCAGGCTTCCTAGAATGGGGTTAATTTATTTATTAGTAAAGAATGCTTTATGAGGTACTTTTATGTATCAAAATTGGAGGAAAGGGGCTTGTCACAAATAAAAAGATAAGAAGCTCTGATATTCCTTAAGGTACCAGAGACATAGTCACCCAAGTTATCCATCTGATTTTTTGCTAATTTTCTTTTCTTACAAATTTTCTGGTTTTGCTGGATGAGTGTGCTATTAAATTTATGCTGCGCATTAATGCAGAGGCATCAAGAGTCTTAGATTATATTCATACATTCATTGCTTTGAGTCAAATTTAGCTCCTGGTGACTTCATGGACAACATCCATACTGTCTTCTTGGCAAGAGTGTAGAGGTTATTGGCCATGGGTTCTTTTTACAATGTTCCAGTCTAATTGACAGCTGTGGAATTCCGTGGTGATCTTCCATCCAAACCCTACTGGAAAAAGAAAGCTCATGGGGGCCACATTGCTGAAAATGTACTCATCTGCCTTTCTTAAATTTCTAAAGACAAGAGGTGGCTAATATGTATCTGCAGCACTCATATCATTAGAAGCTAAGCTAATAGCCTAACTTTATGGTGCCTAGTAGAGCCCCTTCGCCAACTGTATATCATTGTAACTTCCACAATCCAAACTTCTAAGGTCAGCTCATCAAGTCCCAAAATGTGTTTATAAATATCATCCTGCGACTAGAGTCAGGCTTCATGAAAGGGAGAGTAGAGCATGGGTGACCATACTCAGGTATTAGCTAAGACTATGCTTGTTCCCCCTTGGCCTTGCCCCATGAGTGATGATTTTCAGTCCACATGGACACAGGAAGTGGCAATTGAAATCTCATCCATCGGCTTCTCTCTAGGTCTTCCACTCAGCATGGGATATGATCAGGCCACAGCACTCATTAAACAGCATGTAGCAGACACAGAGCGCCAATTGGATATAGCCAGGACCCATTCTTTATTTGCTATTGAATCCCAAAAGGTACTCTGCCTCCCTTATGGCACTTAACTAAACATAAAGTACCTAAACTTTGTATTGTGCACCAACTGTGCCCTTTTCCGGATCACAAGGTCCTGCGCTCAATCACTCATGTCCTGGTGATCTCTCATTTGAATTTTGCAACATGTTCTACATGGATCTACTTATGAAGTGTATTTGGAAGGTACAGTTGGTCCAGAATGTGGCAGTACAGACAGTTTTGGAGACTCCTGGTGTAAGGACCCACCCCACTTTGCATCTTAAGAAGACAGAACTCTTGGAATAATTCTTCCAACAGGAATCCTTTATTAAGAGAAAATGGTTGCAGGCATGCTAGACAGGACTTGGGGTCCAAGCTCTCCCATTCAAGGTTTTAAGGGGTTCCCCAGTAGTCCCACCCAATCAACCCCCCTTCCAGTGATAGTTTCAAGTATCACAATTCCACTCCCTTTCTTCTTTTTCCGTCTGGATGGAGACTTCAGATAACTACATGAAAGGCAATTACTCTCCTTTGGTATGCTAACACTTCGAGGTTACAATAAACACACATTCAGCATTCAGCTCTTTGAAGTGTACTGAAGGAAGTGAGGGCCATAAAGCCCCCTTGTTCTCCCCCTTCTCTCCCTCTTATGGCAGAATCCAGAGAAGGCAGAATTGGGAGTTTCTATATTTGATAATTTAAAGATGAAATATAATTGGATTCTGACACCTGGGATGGCACATGTAGCACCACTGTTTTGTGAGCTGCACTGCCTGCCATTCTGTTTCTAAATCCAATTCAAAGATTAGTTATTATCTTTAAAGCTCTCTGTGGTAAAGGTCCAGGATATCTGAGGAACTGTCTTCACCCAATGGGATTAGTCTGTGCCATTCATTCTGTCAGAAGAGGCCTACTGTGGATCCCATCAGCCAAGGAATTTTGGCTGGTGGGGTCTAGGAGAAGAGCCTTTTCTGCTTTAGCCCCCAAACTTTGGAACATCTTGCTACCAGAAATGAGATCCACCCCTTCTCTTATGACTTTCAGGAAAAACCATAAAACCTGGCTATGCCAGGTGAATGAGTAGCTCTAGGGTAGGGGTGGTTGGTGCTGTAACAGTGAAGACCCCATCCCTGTTCCGTTCAGATGCATTGTTTAATGGAGTGGATTGCTAATATTGATTATTTGCAGGTTGTGGGGAGTAGGGGAAAGAGAAAGGAAGAAAACTGCTTTGTTCATGTTGCAACTTTTTAGATGTTTCTTTTTTTTCTCTTTTTCCATGTAAATGTTAATTTAAACATCACAACTGTGGTTTGTTTAATACAGTGGTTCTCAACCTGTGGGTCGGGACCCCATTTGGGGTCGAACGACCATTTCATGGGGGTCGCCAAACAACGCAGTCCGCCATTTTTTCCCCCTTTTCCTTAGCTGTGCTACTCCCTTTTATTCTATTGATTTTTGAAAGCCAATAGAATAGACTCTCTTGAATAGAGTCTAATTCTATTGGCTTTCAAAAGCCAACAGGAATTGTCCAGGCTGTCTCTGCCCTGCTGAGCCTGCCAAAAGTCCCATTCTGCAAACGGTGCTGCACCAGTTGAGTAGTCCTCGACTTACAACCGGTTGAGTAGTCCTCGACTTACGACCAGTTGGGGGTCGCGGCATTAAAAAGGTTGAGGATCACTGGTTTAATATATCACAAGTATTTGGTCTTCTTCAGTCTGTGTTTAAAGCAGAAAAGTGAAGTCTTTATACAGCCTGCTTCTAAATGCTGCCATAAAATAGATAAAATATCAGTAGCTGAAGTGTTACTGTAGCTACAGATAACTTAATGATTATGGCACACTTTTTCATATTTTTAGGATAGGAAGCTTACCAAAGCAGAACAGCAGAGGTTTAAAGAAGAAGCTGAAATGCTGAAGGGGCTACAACACCCCAACATTGTTCGATTTTATGATTCTTGGGAATCAACGGTTAAAGGAAAGAAGTGTATTGTATTGGTAACTGAACTGATGACATCTGGAACACTGAAAACGTATGTATTTCCTGATTTTTCTCATAAACAGAGTAAATATTTGCAGAAATTTTTTTGGAATGTTGTTCACAATTGCTAGTAGTATTTTGAGCACTAACCATATTGTTGTTGAATTATCAGTTAGCCAGCAAACATGCAGCAATCAACTATGTCGCTTTATAGTTCTTCTAAAATGTGTCAAAGTATCCAGCTGACTGAATTGTAGTTGCTTGCTTATATAAAATCTGTTTCATGGAAGTACTGTGAGTTAAGAAGTGTTAAGTTTAAATACTCTATGAGTCCGTCAATAATCATTTACAATAAATTATAAGATTATTTGATGTATTTTAAGCCTATCTTATATGGTGAATGGAATAAATAAAACAATAATGAAGGGTGATAAATTGTGAGCTAACACTATCATTTTATGACTGATTTAGTTAGTAAGGCTGGAGGGATTGATGGAAGGATTAGGAAAAAATAGAAGTCACTTGGCAGTGTTGAAAATGAAATTATATATATATATATATTCTTCAGTGTTTCTAGAATTACTGATTTCAAGCTAATTTATGTCTTAACATTTTTAATTTGCTATGTTATGCTTATATTCTACTGCATCTAAATGATTCGTAGTGATTTCAATGGATTGGTTATAGTCAGTCAAGAAAGGATTAAGATGTATTAGGATGATTATATTGTAAGTGGAGAAGCCCATTAAGTAAATAAAAATTCCTTATAAAAGATTGTTATAGATTAGATAAAATTTATGCCATGTAACTTTTGTCTTTTTATTTTTTGGTTTTCTTCCTCTTACCCAAATATTGGTAAAAATGAATTGATAACTTCCTGAATATTAAGAATGCTCAGTAAGAAATAAGATAAAAGATATTAAAATGTCAAATATTTTCATTCCTGCATTTGGTGTATTCAGAGTTTCTGCTAGTGCTATTGGTTTTCTTTGTAAGGAAGATATATTTATAATTACTGTAGGAGGATTGTCATAATCAAGTAAGTTGTGTATTGTGTCTTTCCTATGAATTGCGTAGCTCATGACCAAATTTTTGTATTAAACGGATAGATCAACTAACCAATTTTTTAAATCTGTAAAACAGCATGGATTGGGATACAATTTGTACTGCCACAAAAAAAAAATTGTAATAAGATGTTTCTTTACTCTTTCTCTCAATCTATATACTACTAAAATTCTTCTGTCTGCTTGTAACTTTTAATTTGGGTAAAGCAGTGCATCGTTGTTGTTAGTTGCGAAGTCATGTCCAACTCATCACGACCCCATGGATAACGTTCCTCCAGGCCTTCCTGTCCTCTACCATCTTCTGGAGTCCATTTAAGCTCATGCCTCAGTGACTCCATCCAACCACCTCATTCTCTGTCGACCCCTTCTTCTATTGCCCTCAGTCTTTCCCAGAGTGCATCATAGGGCAATGATTTTTGAATCAACATACCTCAGAGGGACTAACATAAAAAAAAAAAAATCAAATTCTGGAATCCATTACTCCCGTGGGATTGAAATTTGACAAAGTTGTGGCCGTTTCAGCACTGCCACACTGCTGCGGTCAGCCATAATCATGTGATCGTCATTCCAATGCTCTCTGCCAGCTTCCCAAAAGGAAAGTTGATAGGGAAGCCAATAGGAAGTCAGAAGTAACTTCTGCTCACACTGTTTTTTTGCTCACCCATGGTCATTCTGTTTCTCTGTTTAGTTTAGGAAAGCTAAATTAGTTTAATAATGATAACTTGTAATACAACTCAGGACTATGAAGTTCCTGAAATAAGGGAGTGTAACATTTTATGAACCTCTGAGGGTTGATCATGGTACATGGACTAACTTAAAACTATGTCTGTATCAATTTAATGCATAAATGCTTTTTCGTTTTCTGCAATCATACTAATTTCTTTACAGGTATTTAAAGCGTTTCAAACTCATGAAGCCAAAGGTGTTAAGGAGCTGGTGCCGACAGATTTTAAAAGGGCTACATTTTCTGCACACAAGGACTCCTCCTATCATCCATCGTGATTTGAAATGTGACAACATCTTCATCACAGGACCTACTGGTTCAGTGAAGATAGGGGACTTGGGACTTGCCACCTTAATGCGCACCTCATTTGCAAAGAGTGTTATTGGTGAATATACAGTAAATGTGTTTGGTATTTCTATTGGACAGCTGCTTGTGCCATGTCTCTTTGTCATCTATAAAGACAGGAATCTGCAATGCCCTATAAGGCAAAGTTGCTTTACAATATATAGCTATGAAAATATTCCAAAATTAAAATAGATGTCAAAAGATAAAAAAAGACATCAAGCAGCAGGAAATATTAGTGATAGTGCCTTTAACCTGCAGTCACAACATAAAGTATATGAAGAGCTTTTTCAAAGAGACATATTACCATGCATAAATAGGCATGGGACTTTCTGGGTCTCATTATAAGGAACACCATATCCATTAGTCATGCTTCAGACAGTGGGTAGAAATGGAACAGAATGTTTTGTATTAGTCTGATGAATTAGGTAGATGTTAAATTCAGATGTTAAATGTAAAACATTTCTCCCCACCTTGAAAGGTTTTAGCCAAACAGAACGCAAAAATCTTGCAAGGGGCCTTGGCAGCATTTCTCTCCGCCTCCCCCCATGTCTAATACAGTAGATTAGCATAGTGTAACTACTAGGCACACTCAGCCTTAATTGAACTGTTTGGATTTTTTTCCTCGTATTTTTCTTTAAAATAAGAAAAAAAAATCCTTCTTCAGCAAATGCTACTTCCTGTTTGTTTGTAGGTAAGAATCCATGCTTGGAGAATGAATTCATTATTAATATATTGAATATTACAAGATAGAAATAAGCATCTTTTGGGAAATATTCATTGAGTGACCACAATCTAAAGTGGCTGTAATAACACATTGGTCTTTCCCATCTTTTATTTCAGGAACTCCTGAATTCATGGCTCCTGAGATGTATGAAGAACATTATGATGAGTCGGTGGATGTCTATGCTTTTGGAATGTGCATGTTAGAGATGGCAACTTCTGAATACCCATATTCTGAATGTCAGAATGCAGCTCAGATCTACAGAAAAGTAACCAGTGTAGGTGCACGATTAATTTCTTCAAGAGAGCAAACCTGTATAAGATGGGCCTAAAGCAAATAAGCCTATTGGGCTAAACCTGTGTTGGTCCTTTTGCTATACAAAGCAATTACCAGACCTACTCTAGTATTTTCTAGATTTTCCTAGATTTTGCTGTTTGTTCTAGAATAGATAATCTTTTCAGTTGTTTCACTCCCTGAAAAAATACAAATTGCTATTTCATACTCAAATGGCAGAATGTACAAATTAAGCTTGTATTTTTTTAATGGCTATCCTAAGCCAAAATTAAATGGAACAGAAACAAAACACATTTGCAGCCGGCTTTTGTCTGAGCATCAATCATTGTTGCTCCTTGTTCTGAAAGTTTACCAACTGCCTTCCTAAAGTCAGTATTGAATCATCAACTAACCCAACAGTCCTCTGCTTGTTCTTCTGGCAGCTAGTACAGATTCTTTCATAAAAAGATCTTGAGTAAGGGCTTTGTTTCAGGTTTATAGTGTTTTCTTCTCTGACTATTGTGTACATTTGATTCTGCTGGTATAGTAATCAAAATGTACAAAATAGAGTTATGAAGCTGGACAAAGCAGTTATTATAAAAATCAATAGGATCCTGCCTATTTTTGCTGAAGTTGTTCTTCCATGTTGGTTTTATTTATCACATCTTGTTATGAAATTTCCCAGTTGGCTTTCTAAAGGAAACACTTTCAGAAAAATTCTATTAACAAACACTGCCTTGTGCACTCTGCTGAGACACTCTCCTATACAGGTTGCATTGTCCTGTGTTCTGCAATAATTTTATTTCAAAATGTGACCTACAAAAAAAAACTTCCTCGTAGATTGTATCCCATAGGCTAAAATACTTTTTTCCTGTCTGTGCTGCTGGTAATGACATCCAGAATTCTTTTGAAGCAGATGTCTTGCTTTATTTCAGGATAGGGCTACTATTAGTCTGTCTAATTGTATACTGTATGTTAAATATTCAGAATAATAGATTACTGAAGTTTGCTATCCATAACACTCCTTTATTCTTTAGTAAGTATATTTTTTTATGTGAGAAGTATATATGTAACTATTTCCAAAAAGAGATGATCCTATTATGCTAGGGGTCCCTAACCGACAAGCCCTGGACCGGTATAGCGGGTGAGCAAGCAAAGCTTCATTTGCATATGTGTGAGATCTAAGTTGCATGCAAAACCATCCCATCCCAGTCTTCAGTTTTCATTCCAAAATTGATCCCCAGTGCCAGAAAGTTTGGGGACCGCTGTATTATATCATTACACTGGAATAACTACTCATCAGTACAATAGCCATTTTTTTTTACATTTTCAATATTTGAAAGGTAAAGACAATGTGTTCTCAAATTATAATGCATATTTATCTGCTCTGAAAGGGCCATATGTGCATACATATCCCCCATTCCCATGCAGAGTTAAATACAGTTTTAAAAACCAAATGTATGAGGAGAATTTTTCAGAAGGAATTAGTAAAAGCCATCATCTTAGAAAATAAGGAAATCGTTTTTACAAAGATTCCTCTTCCAAAAAATTCAGAGCACTGCATATTTTAATAATGTTTACAAAAACATCAATGTGTTTTTTTTCCCCATCTTCAGGATTGAGGCTAAGAGGGAGGGATTTGCTTCCAAACACCTAATTGAATTTCAAGCTAGAATAATTACTGTATTACTTAAGTATTATTATTATTTTTGGTCCCTTTCTTTCTCCAATGAGTACAGTAAAGATATGGTGATTGCCTGAGAGTCAGATAGCATGTACTTCTAAAGTTAATGACAGGGGAGAACAAGTTTGTCAAATAAATAGCATTTATTTGATCCTTTTTATTTGATCCTTTTCAATCAGATCTGATTTTAGAAGCAATAACTGGCATTTAAAGGATTCGGGACAGACTGAAATGTTTTGTTTTAATATATATGTGTGATAGCTAAAACTATTTCTACTATATTGGCTGTTTAAAGGCCTTCTATTTGTAACTTTGGGAATTTTCCATAATTCTGTACAACTGTAGAAGAGAAATCTCCTGTGTAATTTTATTAACAACTATGTCTCTTCTCTTCTAGGGCATTAAACCTGCTAGTTTTAATAAAGTGACAGACCCAGAAGTAAAAGAGATCATTGAAGGCTGCATTCAGCAGAATAAGTCTGAAAGGTGGGCAGATCCGTTTTGTGTCTCTCCTTACTTGCTTTGAATTGTGCAAATTAAGAGATAGTATTTGAGTGTTAATAGCAATTTGTTGGTACTGGAAAAAAAATGATTAAGCAAAACACTCATGCTTTAAACACCTGCGTAAGTCCCTTTGAAGTCAAAAGGAATGAAGCTATGAAGCCATATAGCAAATGGGATTTGCCTGGCTCATTTCCTAAAACTATGGCTGTTAAGACATATATAGGGAAAGTATTGCAGAAACAAAGAATCAGTCAAAATGAAGATTCTTGATTTTGTCTAGTTTTTATACAGTGAAAAATGGTGGGATTCTGCAATCCTCAAATTAATGCAAAAAGGGCTAAGGTTAGTAGATGAGATATTATGTTGGAGTTTAAAGAAAATCTCCATTTATCTTTTCCCTGTAGCACAGAAAAATGCAATGCCTACTTGAATCACTGCAAAGGACTGTTACATTGGAGACCTGTTGCTTTAATTTATAAAGCCTTAGTAATAGAGAAGGAGATGCATGAAACATTAGTCTGTCTCTCCTCCCCCTCAGTAAGTTGATCTCATTTCTCATGCCTCTCCCTTAATAGCTCTCTTCCAACTTGGTCAGATGATGGCACATTTATAGAAAGGTGCTGTATCAGTTTGAAAGCAGCCCCAAATATCTATGATCCCACAGTATTCACTGTCTTTGGAAGCTAAGACAGTACTTCGCTTTCAAACTACTGGCTCAGCTTTAGTATATCTAAAGCTTCAGTGAAATGTTATCTTTTTAAAAAAAAAACCTGTGTGGAATTATGTGTTTCTCCTTTTGCAGGAATTTCTGCTTCACCATCCATCCTGGGCTTCAAAGCTTTAAGAGGGTTGATATCTTAATGGCTTTTCAGGTCCTTCTCAAAAAACAAAACAAAAACACTAATATTTGATCAGAAATTCACACATCATAGAATAGTGGATGGGTAAAGGAGGAGAATGGATGGAGGACTATTTCTCCACTATTATTCATCCACAGAGAGCCACCTGGCAGTCCTGTTTAAGCTCACCTGGTCCCTCCTAAGGAAGAAGGACTTGGATGAACATTTACAGGGCTGTGTGGCAGAATTTATTGAGCACCTGATACATAAAATCAATTCCTTCTCAGTTGGAGCAAGTCCATTAGAGATGCTCAGGGAATAGACTTATCCGGTTATCTGGGAGCAGTTTGATCTTGTTGGCCTTGAGGAAGTGGACAGAGTCCTTGAGGCTGTTAGTGCAATTACTTGTTTATTAGATCCTTATCTAACCTGGTTGGTAAAAGCTTTCAGAAGTGTGACTTGCAAGTGGATCCAGGCAAGGAAGTGTTCCCGGTTCTATTTAAGGAAACCTTGATCTGTCCCCATCTTAAGAAACTGTCACTGGATCCCACTTGTTTGGACAATTTCCATCCATTTTCCCTTGTCCCCTTTTTAGAGAAGCTGGTGGAAAAAGTGGTTGTGCTACAGCTTCAAAAGGTCCTGGATGAAACAAATTATCTGGGCCCCTTTCATTCAGGTTTCAGGCTTGATTATGGGACAGAGATGGCATGGGTCGCAGTAGTGGACCAGAATGGGCTACTTCATCCATCGTTGCTCTTCTCAGCAGCTTTCAATACCATCAACCGTGGTATACTTTTGGGCCAGCTACAAGAACTGGGGCTGAGCAGTGCAGTATTACGCTGGTTCAGCTCCTCTCTTCAAGTTGGTTCCAAGCAGTGTTGATAGGGAGTGAGAGGTCCATTCCATGAGTGCTCCTTTGTAGTGTACTGTAGGGCTTGGTACTCTCTCCGCATCTTTTTAACTTCTCATGGAACCCCTGGGTGAGATCATCCAATGCCATAGGGAGAGATATCATCAATATGCAGATGATACCCAACTTTATATCTCTGTCTCTGGTGACCCAAGTTACGTATTGTGGCTGCCCCCTTGCAGTACCTGGAGGCTGTGGTGGTTTGGATGGGGGATAATAGGCTTCAACTGAACCTGTTAAAATGGAGTGGTTGTGGGTTCAAGGGTGCTTGGGATCTGGGCATTACCATCTTTAGTTCTTGATGGGTTTGCTCTACCCCAGACAGACTGGTATACAATCTGGGGTTCTCCTAGATTTGTGACTCTTTCTCTATGAGTAGGTGACAGTTGAGTGTAGGAGAGCCTTTTGCAACTTTGTGTTGTGTGCCAGTTGTGCCCTTTTCTGGATGGTGAGGCCCTGCGTGCAGTCATTCATGTCCTGATCATCTCTCAGTTGGATTACTGCAAAACCCTCTACGTGAGCTACCCTTGAAGAGTATTCAGAAGCTACAGGTGGTATAGAATGCAGCAGCAGCGCAGACACTTCTAGAGGCCCGTTGGGTGGCACATGTGAGACCACTTTTACACAAGTTGCACTGGCTGCTGTTTGCTTCTGGGTCTAATTCAAGTTCTTGGTCTTTAAAGCCCGGTATAGCATGGGTCTGGGGTATCTGAGGAGTCATCTCACCCTAATAGGATTCGCCTGCCCCACTCATTCCAGCAGAAAAGGCCTACTTTGCATCCTGTCTGCCAAAGAATTTTGGCTGGCGGGGTCTGCTGTGGCCCCTGCCCCCTGGAATATTTTCTCACTGGAGGTAAGGTCTGCCCCCACACTCCTGCCATTGTGGAAGAGCAGAAAACTTGGCTCTGCTGTTTGACTTGGGACCCGGCCCTGACAGGGTGCCCATCATCTTGGTAGTTAGCTTTTCTATTTAACTCTCCTAATTTTAATTGCTTTGTATTTATTCTTTACTTTTTTTTAATATTGTAAGCAACCCAGCGTCGCCATTTCAGTGAGAGGGCCTTCATAAAAATGGAATGAATAAAATAAATAATAAATGGTGCAATCTCTTTATTTTATTTTTCTTTTGCCTAGAGTGGGGTAATTTCTGTTTTCATCTTTTTATCAGACCTGGCGCTTCTTCAGCCTGCTTTTGGGGGATTGGGGAGTAGAAGTGACAATGGTATGATGGAAGTTCCTTCTGACTCCCGGAGCTGTGGGACAAAGGGGAAATCCCTAAGAATTGTGTGAAAGTACCCTTTTGTAAATGAGAGAGGCTCCCAAAGAGCCTGTTCAAGGATAAGAGAAAGCAGGAAAGACCTGTGGCATTTGCATCCTCCCACTGATGCAAGTCTATTGCAATACGCAAGTGGTGAAGAGAGCAAAGATTGTCTCAGATGCTCTCCTAAAGGAGTTCATTTGACTTCATCTGACTCTTCCTTTGAGTAGATGGTGTTCCTGGATTTGTTTTATTTGTATTTAAATTATTGCTGGCTTTTAATTTCTTGTGAATCCTATCGGGGGAAGGATATTTGTTCCAAAAGATAAACTATATATATATTAAACGATATAGGTACAGGTAGTCCTCGACTTGCGGCCACAATTAAGCTCAAAATTTCTGTTGCTAAGTGGGATATTTGTTAAGTGAATTTTGCCCCATTTTATGACCTTTCCTGCCATAGTTGTTAAGTGAATCACTGTGGTTGTTTATTTAGCAATGCGGTTGTTAAGTGAGTCTGGTTTCCTCATTGAGTTTGCTTGTCAGAAGGGGACAAAAGGTGATCACCTGATCCTGGGCCACTGCAACCATCATAAATACGAGTTAGTGGCAAGCATCTGAATTTTGATCACGTGACTACAGGGCTGCTGCAATGTTTGTAAGTGTGAAAAATGATTATAAGTCACTTTTTTTCAGTGCCCTTGTAACTTTGAACAGTCACTAAATGAACTGTTGTAACTCGTGAACTACCTGTATTCCAGTTTTGGGCTATTTCTAAGGGAAGAAGTATAATAATTTTGAAAAGAAATGCTCAGCAATTACAATAATACGTGTTTGGGATACTGAAGGAACTTTCAGTCATCTTTCATACTGTTTTATGTTCAATATATTTCAGGCTATCCATCAAAGACCTCTTGAACCATGCTTTCTTCGCGGAAGACACGGGACTCAGAGTGGAGCTGGCAGAGGAAGAGGAGGATGGGCTGCATCCCTCTTTGGCTTTGAGACTTTGGGTAGAAGATCCCAAGAAGCTGAAAGGAAAGCACAAAGACAATGAAGCAATAGAGTTCAGTTTCAATGTGGAAACAGATATCCCAGAGGAAGTGGCTTGTGAAATGGTGGGTGTTTTTGGTCATTGCTTTGCTTCTTTCTCTTTTGCCTTATAGTATACGTCATTTGCAGGGGAAGTATTTATAAATGTTACTCTCAAAATTGGAAAATCTCCATTTTATAAAAGAGCTACAGTTAGAAAACTGTTCCTAACAACTGATGTAAAAGAGGAAAATGGAATTTGGATAAAAGTCATGGTGCTGGGGAAGGAAACCTTATCCTTAATAGCTTTCTTCTGCTGCTTGTCAAGACTGTTATTCTAGTTTAGCTGTAATTTTCTGTTTGCAAATGGGGGAAGCAGGAAACATCCCCATTTTCTCACTTTTTTTTTTAACAGTCTAGAAGAATTATAAATAATTAAATTGATCCATTTTTATATTCCTTTTTTCTGCCTTTTGTTGCAGTTTTGTTTTATTATCTTTTAGCTTAGGGTTATAAACAATCTTGTTAATTATTATGGGAGGTAGTTTATAAATTATGGATAAATGAATAAATTCATTTAGATTCACAAAGATTTATCATGCTGAGGCTGTTAATTGCATTGTAATATCTAAAATATATTCATTGATACTTTGAGCTTTATTTACAAGGCATGATTCTTTTAGGATACCTCATAAGCTAAGAAGGGCTACGGGGCAGGTGAAAACTATTTGTTTTCTCATATATATATATATATATATATATATATATATATATATATATATATATATATATATATATATATATATGTATAATTTTCATTGCAACTTTTAATCAAGAAGATAGAAGCTAACAGAAACTTAGAAAGTAAGAAAGAAAAAAGGGAAATAAATAAAAGAAAATATAAAATGCAAGAAAAAAATAAAGAAAAAGAAAAGAAAGAAAGTAAAAATATAAGAAGTGGCTTCCGGTATTTGTTGTAGCAGTTATAAGTATAAAATATTTTGATCTCTCTCTCTCTCTAAGGTGACATCACACTACTCTTCTTTCTATAATCTATCCTGTTTGATCATCAAAACCATTATCATATTCATTTTGTTCATTTTTACACAAAAAGTCCATAAGATGCTTCCAGTGAGTAATAAATGTAATAATGTCTTTTCTCTAATCAAAGAAATTAATTTATTCATCAACTTCATTAACCATTTCTCCATAATAGGTAGTATTGAATCTTTTCATGACTGCGCAGATAGTAATGTCGGTACTGTGATCATATTGTAACAGTTTTCCATGCCTTTTTTTCCCAGTTTATCCATTAATCCTAAAAGAAAAAGATTGAGCATTTCCAACATATGTTTGATGTCCTTTTATACCTTCTAGGGCAGTGGTTCTCAACCTGTGGGTCGGGACCCCATTTGGGGTCGAACGACCATTTCACGGGGGTCGCCAAACAAGGCTGTCCGCCATTTTTCCCCCCTTTTCTTTGGCCACACCCCTGGCACCCGGTGATATATAAGTGGTTGGGGGTCACCACAACATGGGGAACTGTATTATGGGGTCGCGGCATTAGAAAGGTTGAGAACCACTGTTCTAGGGAATTTCTCTGGCATCTTGTATCAATGATACATCATTTTATAAAAATTATCTTTGAGATCATAACACAATGTAGATTTCAAACCTTTTAACTATATATTTTCCCATTGTTCCATCTGTGTATTATAATCAAATTTCTTAAATCCTGGTACATCGGCAATTTATCTTCATCTGCCATTTCTTTTCTTAACCTTGTACCTTGTAAGTTTCACTTATAATCTTAACTCTCATAATTCCCTGATCTGATCTTATATCTCTGTTCAATATCTCAAGAGCTGAAATGAACAAAATTGGAGACAATGGACATCCTTATCTTGCCCTTTTTGAATCTCACAGTATTTTGTTAATGCCCATTAACAATTATTTGTGCTTTCTAAGAAGTATAAATCGACCTTACTCATATAGTAAAATTATATCCAAGTTTCATATATTCCAGAACATTAAATCAAAAATCCACTTTAAGGCTTTCTCTGCATATCGATGCAGCTTGTTTTTTCATTATGTTGCTCCAAATATTCCTAAATATTCAAAGTGTTTCTAATATTATCTCGCACTTCTCTTTTAGGTAAAAAAAAATCTGTAAAATTATTCTCAACCTTTTGGCCAAAATCGTAGTAAACAGTTTATAATCATTATTCAGTAAATATATTGGTTGATGGTTTCCTGTTAAACTCAAATCTTATCCCTTTTTAGGTATTAATATTATATTAACCTCCTTCCAGCTATCAGGAATCTTTCCATACTGCAAAATAATATTCATCGTTTGTTGTAAAAATTCATCTTCAAAACATTTATAATAAGAGGCAGCAGCCCATCTCGATCAGCTATCTTTCCTGTTTTAATCTTTGGAACACCTTCATATAGTTACCTTATTGTTATAGGTCCATTCAAAGTTTATCTCTGATCGTTAATCTGTTACTACAGTATTTCTTTCTTGACACTTTAATATCACTTCCTTTTTCTTTTCACAGTTTGTATGCCAACCATCTCCTCAGTTTATGTGGAAATTCAAAATTTATTTATTTTGCATAGTTCATCTTTATTTCCATCTCTCTTACTGTTAACATAGATGATTGTCTCTGCAGAAGCTTAATTTAATTAATGATCATCCCTGGAGATTTTTTAAAATTTTCACCCATTTTTGTCTCATCCAGAATCATTTGCATTTTCTCTTGCCTTTCCTTTTAAGTTTCTCTATTGTGTTGTAAAAAATAACTTATAAAATTTCATCCTTCCTTCTCTACCTTTATTAAAATTATTCTCAAAACCTTCTACAGTCTTCCACCACCAATTCTTTTAGCAATAGCATTTCATTCAATCTCCACCTAGGAGACTGGTCTGGTTGTCCTCGCTGAATAAATATTTTCCTCATCAGCTAAGCTTTTGCCAAATTTTGATTACCATGTTTTGAGGTTAAAATAAGCAAGTTACTGTATTACTATGAACAGTCTCTACTTTCCTCCTTTTGTTTTGCTTCTTTTTATCATCCTGTGCCCAAGAAAAGAAAAATGTGTTTAGACTGTAGATTCTTCATTTTGCCTCACTGTTGCCTTGGTTTTGTTTTTATAAAACATTTGGCCACAGAGGAATCTGACAAATGACAGCTGATGTTACTGAAAGGAGACATGGCAATGCATCTGTTCATTTCATATAAAATATATGCTGGCAGAAGGCTACTGCTTAAGCATCACCTACCCACCAGCCAACTGTGAAGTTTTGTAAGTGGTCCCATGATCCCTTGCCTCATGAAATGGATCTTTAATGCATTTTTTGGATCCCTTTTCTGTTTTTTTTTTTTTTTTTGAGGGTAGATTGGGTTTACAGACCTTGCTCAGCAGATGGCAATTAAGACTCTCTCCTTTAATAGTTCCATTTAGCACAAGAGCAGTGCTTGAATGCTTTCTTTATCTGTGTTTTCAAGTCATTGTGCCCTAGTTTGCATATAAAACAAACCTGTAAATAATGGATTTGCATTAAGCTAAGAATAAACAAATGAATAAGATAAGAAATTGCAAATGTAATATACCATTATGTAGGATCCCAGTCAGTATGTCCCAGAAGTGCTTTATGAATATTTCAAGTATGTGGGAAGTAATATTTGGCACATTGCAGATGTTTTTGTGATATGCTGGGGTTATTATACTTTAGTTGTAGTTGCAGAATTTAACTTGTTCTGTTTAATAAATTCTAAGCAGTTACAAACGAATGACTTATCTACTATAGGCAGTCCTTGACTTAATGGCCACAACTGAGCCCAATATTTCTGTTGCTAGGTAAGGCAGTTGTTAAGTGAATTTTGCCCCATTTTATGACCTTTCTTGCCACAGTTCTTCAGTGAATCACTGCAGTTGTTAAGTTAATAACACAGTTTTTTAGTGAGTCTGGTTTCCCCATTGACTTTGCTTCTCAGAAGGTTGCCAAAGGTGATCACATGATCCTGGGGCACTGCAACTGTCATAAATATGAGTCAGTTGCCAAGCTTCTGAATTTTGATCACTTGACCATAGAGATGCTGCAATGGTTGTAAGTGTGAAAAACGGTCATAAGTCACTTTTTTCAGTGCCATTATAACTTTGAATGGTCACTAAATGAACTGTTGTAAGTCAAGAACTACCTGTAATTGTTCTATTAAAACTGAACTTTAAAAAAGTAAACTTTTGGGGAATAAATATTCAGTGATGATGATGGAAAAAGAAGAAATTATCATAATATAATAGTAACCCATTTCCAGTAGTGAAAACCAGAAAGCAGTTTTTGCTACCAGTTCAGCTCTTGCCTAAATCAGCAAATGCTAGACAAACAGGCCGAGAAACTGCAAAGTAACTGAGAGGTGAACAAAACTGGAAAATAAATTGTTACTACAAATCTAGACCATCAGAAAGGGGATTTCAAATGAATATGGTTCAAATTTTAAAACAGAAATTCCCAGAATGAATGACTACATAAGAGGTGTTAAGGGATCAGCATCATGTGGCTACGAAAAGCAAGGTTTTCTCTGATACTGAGTTGAATGGATCAGAAACGATAACTGGGTGTTAACCAAACAAGCTGAAATTACAGATGCTGTGAATTCTGGACAACTAATAGCAAATGATGTTATGAAAACCATACAAATGTAACTCTGATCTTGGGAAATAGAAATGTTGCAGCTCACCAGTCAGCATATCAATTGGCTGAGAAGATAAAAAAGTCAAATGAATCATAAAGAATATTCCCAACATTAAAGCAAATAACTTTTTGCTTTCTTTGCAATCTTTGTTTTTCCTGCTTATTTGCCTAAAATTAACCCATATTTGTTTTACAAAAGTCTAGAAGCTGGCCAAGAAAAAAAATAAGAAGTACCTACATATAAAGAAAAAATAAATACATATTAGAAAATTTATGGAAAACAATTCAGTAAAAGAGTGGTTTTAAAAAGCACAATAGATTAACAGAATTGGAAAAGCATTTGTTGGGTAAGCAATGGAAAATGTACTGATATGAAAATAAATGGTTCAGATACAAATGAGAAAGATTGAAAACTAGAGTGCCTCCTGCCCCCTCCCCAAAAGATAAACTACATGGTTTTTGGCTCAAAAGTCAAGTCTGGAAAGTCTGTACTACAGGCTAGCACACAGCTGAATGATCTGCAAACAATAAAGAATGGATGACATCTGGAAGAAATTTCTTGTATAGAAAAACAAGGGGGGGGGGAACCTATTCTGACAGCCTCAGGCCTATATCTTGAGTGCCTGCTTACAGCACTCAAACTGTTTACTGAAATTATACTAATATATGATAATTTGAAAGAAATGGTAATAGTCTCAGTGGAACACAAGGGGACTTTTTATCAATCGTAATAAAAATACTTAGGATTAATAGAACCTTCTGATTTATTGCAGGACAAAGTTAAAAAAAAGTTTAAATTAAATCACTGAGCAGGGTAAGAGGCTCAGAAGCGACCCTCTCTAATTTTTCAGGCTGTATAGGAGAAGTTGGGGTGGAGAATAGTACTTTCTTATTTTAAGATTGATATCAGCCTTGCAGGGTAAACCAAATAGAAATCACGACCAAATGAGCTAATTCTACTTTATTGTAAAGCTACATTGGCAGAATCTGGCAAGTCTGGAACAAGATTTACAAATCAATGCCACCAAAGATAAAATTGAGCATATTTCCAAAATACCAAATGCCAATTATTTAAAATTAAGAATAGTACTCTAGATTGTATCTTTAATTGTAACATCACTCAGAAGATAAAAACCATGATAGGATTGCAAAAATCGGAAATTAAATTGGAATTTGAAGAGAAAATACAGGTTTACAGTTTGTAAATGCTACTACTATATGACCATATGCCTGAAAATGTTTTGCAAAATAAAAAGATTAAAATTGTGGAATTTCAAAGTCAAACTAATAGCCACTTAGAACATAAGATGTACCAGTTTTTTTTTCTGGCTGAGTCATTATTGATTCCTGCAAATTGTCCGGACAAGACCATAATTTTTTTTTTTGCCAATATTTTTGGATTGCTTTCTTCCTTGGCCCAAAGTCATCCAGATGCTTTGGATCTAAGGAGGACTAGAAACCACTACACCAAAGTGACTCTCACACAAGATATTACTCTTATAGAAAACAGGTGTGGTTCATTGATATGGCAATACTTGGAGGCAGTCAAATTGATGAAAAACAACTGGAGAAAATAACAAAAGATCATGATTTATTGATATTTTGAGATTGAAAATGGAAGAAAAAAATGTAACAATTGTAATTGGAATCTTTAGTGCAACATTAAATGGGTTCACCAAGTATTTAGTAATGTTAAACTTACTGAACTTGGTACCATTAATTTTTCTAGGGTATTTGCAACAACATACATTTTATGTTGATAGCTCTATGATTCTTAGCTCCTTTGCTAAAACCTGAATCATTGCAATCGCTACATAATCAATTAGAATGACAGACATGAATAATATTGAAATAGCCTCCTGGCTGCTAGTTAGCTAGATAATACCAAACTGAAAAGGAATTTTATATCTACTTGTCTGTTCATTATTACAGTACTTATTGTTCATCTGGAGCTCTGAGCAATGAGTCCAGGTCCAATTTGGCATTCATGCAGGGTAAGGTCTGTTGCCATGGGATTCTGATCTCTAATGTGCAAATACAGATTAGTTTTAATTGCGAAACATTGGTGGATAAACTTTGAAAGACTAAATTGATAGGTAACAGAACTGACTTTATCTGAATTTTTGTTTTTGTTTATTTTTTTTTTTTTAGGTAAAGTCGGGATTCTTCCATGAAAGTGATTCCAAAGCTGTGGCTAAATCCATTCGTGATCGTGTCACCCTAATCAAGAAGACACGGGAGCAAAGGCAGGTGGGCAACCTGGAGGAAAGGAGGGACTCCCAAAGTCAGCTTCCAAGTGGACTCCCCTTACTTCAGCCACAAGGCTCATCGTTCACCCCACCTTCTCAGCCAAGCAAGACGGAGTGTGAGGAAACAGAAGTTGATCAACATGCCAGACAACACATCCTTCAACAAATGCAGCACAGCTTTTCCCTCACTGGTAATGAGCAATCCTAGACACTTAATACACACTATTTATTATTAAATAAACAATAAGGGTTTCATTTTGTTCAGGAAATGTCCTATCTGAGGTGTCTGAGCTTTTGGCTCCTTTTTTGCTGCTTTATTGACAGTCCTTTAGCATATAAAGGACTGTGGTTTCTTTCTGTAGAATTTAACCTGGGCCGAATTGTTAGCTAATATATATTATGGGGAGCTGAAGTTAATGTTAATGAAGGGAATTATTAATATATTATGTGGAACTAATGAAGCTATAATAATGAACGAATGCGTTCATATGTTATCTTTAATGCATTTACATTTTTGAAGAGCAATAGTAGCTATCCAGAGTAGCTTTTCAGCTGCTCATTTAGAAACTTTCATTACTTTCACAAATTACTTGAAACTTTATTGGGAGGGAGCCTGTTTTCAGAACTTTAAGAGATAGCCAGTTGTGATTATTGAAAATTGCTGCTTCTTTCAGTTGGTTTCTATCTTTTATTTCTCTGATGGCAAAACGTGAATGAGCCATCTTCTCAAACTTGCTAGTCCTTCATTCTGTTCAATACCGCCAGCATAAAGTCATTTTAACTGCTAAGAGTCAGTTGGTCTAGTGTTGAAGGCACCAGGCTAGAAACCAGGAGACTCTGAGTTCTAGTTGTGCCTTAGGCATGAAAGCCAGCTGGGTGACCTTGGGCCAGTCATTATCTCTCAGTCCAACCTATTTCACAGGGTTGTTGTGGGGAAAATAAGAGAAGGAAGAGGTATTGGGTAAATCTGCTGGTACGTTATTTATGAAAATAATATTGATAAAAAATCTATTTAAATTAAATAAAAATAAAGGAGAGCTAAGCAGAGACAACTCCCTCCCAATAGACGTTTTAGAAGAAAACTATGACAATGAATCTAGAGCAGTGAGCTAGTGTCAGTGTCAAAGCTGAATTCACTGAAAAAGCATTTGCGACTTCATCATATTCTCCACCACGAGAGTAAAGAGCAGAACAAGTTGCTCCCTGGAAGCTGTTGGATCCTGTGGATTTCGTCTGAGGAGCGTTTTTCTCAAACTTGAAACCACAATAGTGCTTTGGTTAAGATGTGGAATAATGAAGTTTCAGCATTTAATGTGACAGCTCCTAAATTCCCCCTGTCTTGTGTCAGTCAGTGCCTTGAATGCTTCATGGTTCATAGAGCAATTGCATGCTATGTATGAAATGTGAGGGCAGAAATTTGCAGGTCCCAAATGAATCCAGCTGGACAAAATGCATGCTTATTTATAGAGCCTTATGTCACAGCAATTAGGCGAATGAAAGTAGTAATTATTTTCCGCCTGGTTACATCCATGGAATCAGTCCAAGAGAATTCTGATGGTCCAATAACCAGTAACTGTGTCCAGTGTTCTGATACTGTCAGGCCTGCCCCAGTCTACTCTCTCAGGAAAGTAAGATTCGTGATTCCATTTGGTTGAAGCAGAGGAACGTTTACTGAAAGAAACTGTTTGCAGTAAAGTCAGGTGGAATCTGGTGTTCCTGTGCAAAATACAAAGCTATTCTTTTCCTTTCCTACTCCCTCCACCCATGACCAGTCCCCTGGTCAGCCAATGCGATGCCGGTAAGATGTTTTGAGAAACTCTAAGGTGTCAAACTGGTAACATTCCATTCTCAGGGCAAACGGTCTTGAAGATCCTGGTACAAGCTAGTTTAGGAGAGATCTGGTCTTCTTCCATTGTCATCCCCCCCTCCCTATTTCCCAGGTTTGAAGTTACAGCAATAGCACTCTATAAACCCCCTTCCTCCCCCCTTCTTAGTGGCAGGACACCAACAGGGCACAGACCAGTGATGGTGGACCTGACAGATACAATCTGATAGCCACTGTGAGCAGTTTACACAGTACTTTATGAATAACACTTTTCAGATTTATGTTGGGTTTTGCTTCATTTTAGGCAGCATCATACCTAGAATTCTTCTGTAACATCATCAGTTTTGTTGCTTGATCCCTTATAAATAAGTAAATTCTCAGTTCAATTTGTACTGTTACTTGTTTGATGCCTTCCTAGCTTGGCTTCTAAGGGCTTTTAAGGATTCCGTCCTGTCCTGTCCTGTCCTGTCTTTTAGATTGTTTAAAAAAGGATGATGAAGCCACTACTTAAGAAGCTTTTATTAGACAATGCTGACTTTAACAACTATGAGCCAGTATCCAGTATTTCATATCTAGCCAACCTAATAGAGAAGGCATTAAAGCCTCTGAAGATTTGCATATAATGGATTATCTTGAGCTTGAGTTTAGACCTATATGTATTATAGAGATGGCTTTGGTCACTCTCCCAATAAATATAGCACGTTTTTTGATGCTGTACTTATTTAAACAGATTAGTTGTATTAGATAGAATTACTGTTGTGGCAATTTTTAAAAGATAGACTGGGGTATTCCTCATTTTCCTTTCCTAGGAAGAAGCTTTCATTTTGTTGTATTCTTTCTGAAGTAAATATTTTATGCATATATAAAACTGCATTGCCTGACAACCCAAGTGTTTGTCTGAATGAGGTAGAAGTGGTTCTGATTTATTCTGAAAGAATGAACATTCTGCCTTTTCTTTCTTTTCACACTGACACAGCTGACAACTTGTCTGAGAGAGGAGCAGGATCAGTTATACTGTCAGATGCCTCTAGCCAACATAATCTGGCATTTTCCTCGGAACACATGATGGGCACCCAACAAGTCCCCAATCTCTCACAAACTGAAAACAGCAGTGCTCAAGGACAAATATATACTTCTCAACAGCTGATGGGGCATTATCAGTCCAATGCAGGGGTAAGAGGCCTATTGTCTTCTTCATAACATAGTAATTAAATATTGTTGTATTAAGAAAGTAGCTTCACCTGTAGGAAAAGGTAGCAGAACTTGGGGATGGAGTAAAAAGAGGAATCAGCCTAGAATCTCTATGTAGCCACAAACAGACTAAGTTCACCCCTCCCTTGAATTCTGCCAACCCTTATCTAGTTGAGTAGGCATGAGCAATAAATCAGTTTAATTGGAACTTCATGTGTGGTCCTCCTGACATTATCCCAGAGACATGTGGTGTTTCAGTATAAAAAGTTTTGGTCCCAGGAAAGGAATAAAGGTGACAGCTTTAACTGGGGGTGCTTTTGTATAGATTCATCTTGTGAACCAATTGCACCCTTTCCTGAACTGGAGGCCTTGTTCATGGTCCTCCTGCCTCAATCACTTCCCATTTGGATTACTGAAATGCATTTTATACAAGGTTGCCCTTGAAGACCACCCAGAAGTTACAAGTGGTCCAGAATGTTATGGGATGTGCAGTGATGGGGCCCCCTAGTTTTACCCACATTATATCCTATTGTGCAAATGGCTCCCAGTTTCCTTCCAGGTGCAATTCAAGGAACTGGTTATTACCTTAAAACCCTCTTATGGCACAGGACTAGGTTATCTGCAGGATTGCTCTCCCTAAGGGCAGAACAGGGTGGGCACACTCCTAGTGCCCTCCCTTAAATGTTGCCGTCTTATGGTACTTAGGAAACATGCCTTTTCCTGACAGTCCCTGCCCTATAGAACACCCTTCCCCCTGGAATGTGTTAGACTCCCCCCCCCTCCAATTCTTTTAACTTTCCAAACAGCATTTAAGACCTGGCTTTTCCCCTCAAGTGCTGGCATAGGGTGAGACCGATGAGATGAACTTATTGTGGGCTGCATGTTAAAATGTAACTATGGTGTTAAATTGTTTTTTTTTTTAAGTATTTATGGTTTTAATTTTTTTATTGTAAATAGAAGTTTTTTATATTGTTTTTTATATTATATGTTGAGACTCTAGAATAGTGGTTCTCAACCTGTGGGTCGGGACCCCATTCGGGGTCGAACGACCATTTCACGGGGGTCGCCAAACAAGGATGTCCACCATTTTTCCCCCTTTTCTTTGGCCACGCTCCTGGCACCCGGTGATGTATAAGTGGTTGGGGGTCACCACAACATGTGGAACTGTATTATGGGGTTGCGGCATTAGAAAGGTTGAGAACCACTGCTCTAGAAAGAGTACAGAGAAGAGCAACAAAGATGATTAGGGGACTGGAGGCTAAAGCATGTAAGGAAAGGCTGCTGGAATTGGGATGTCTTGTTTAACGAAGAGAAGGATGAGGGGGGACATGATAGCAGTGTTCCAATATCTCAGGGGCTGCCACAAAGAAGAGGGAGTCAAGCTATTCTCCAAAGCGTCTGAAGGCAGGACAGGAAGCAACAGATGGAAACTAATCAAGGAGATAAGCAACTTAGAACTAAGGAGAAACTTCCTGACAGTTAGGACAATTAACCAGTGGAACAACCTGCCTCCAGAAGTGGTGAATGCTCCAACACTGGAAGTTTTTAAGAAGAGACTGGGTAGCCATTTGTCTGAAATGGTATAGGGTTTCCTGCCTGAGCAGGGGGTTGGACTAGATGACCTCCAAGGTCCCTTCCAACTTTATTATTATGATTATGATTATGATTATTATATATTGGCTGCCTGGACTTTGGCACAAATGGGTGGTTATATAAATGTTCTAAAAAAAGAAAGGCCCAAGAACATATTTTGGTTATTAATTCTGAACCCTAGGAAGATATCCTGTTTTCCCTAGAGAATGTATGAGAAAATGTATAAATAGGCCAGATGAGACCAGGGGATCTTGCTGAAGCACAGACAATTGTTTTGTTTTTCTAAGTGAAGCCTGTTAATTATTCTTTATACAGGTGCAGCCAGTGTTGCCAACAAATGTGGCTCACCCCAGTGTTTTACCATTAATCCAGAGTCAGCCTTCTGGTCTACCTACTCACAATTTGGCACCTCCTGCAACTCTCCAAGCCCAAACCTCTCCTCTTACAGCTCAGCAATTCCCATCAAGGATGGTAAGGTTTTTCACTAATGAACTGTATTACCTAGCAGATTTTTTTCAAACCATCACTGAAAGCGTCCCATAAGTTCATTTTAACCATCTGAATCATAAAATGGAGGCAATCGTTGAAAGAAATAGTGGAGTATTGCTTCTCATTAAAAGCCAAGCTACATAGTACAATTTAATGGGTATGTTTGGTATTTCTGATGGTATTTCTCAATAAGTAGCAGTTGTAGTAGCAGGATGAAATTTAATTCTCCCTTTTATTTTCTCTGCGAAAACTCCAAGCTGTAGTTCCAGAATTATTCTCCTGGATGTAAATAATGGCTAATCCCTGATGGGAAGAACAAAGAAAATGAAATTGTAAAATTAGGATTCAGGAAAAAATGCTTAGGTGTGAGGTAAAATGGGTAAGTATCGGTAGTTCTCAACTTACAAGCAGCTGCAGCTATTTAAAGTTAAACAGACCACCCAAAAGCTACTTACTAGCTGGTTCTGAAGTTCCAACCCCCCCCAGTCACATGACCACATTTTGGGTGCTCAGAAAGAGGACTGCATTTACAATGGTTTGCAGCATCCCATGATTACATGACCATGTTTTATGGCACTTTTGCCAATTGAGTTCATCACGTAGGTGACCTGCTTTACAACCATCCATTACAGTCATAAGTCAAGCTCTACCTATATGTCCCAGCTATTTTTGTATATTATCTGATTATATTTTTTAATCCAGTTAAATTATACATCTCTGCATTATAAAATAAGGCTTGATCCAAATGGGGGTCTAACTTCATTAGCAAATACACCTGAGTATCAATTTCATGTCACTAATGATTGCCAGTCTTTTAAGCACTCTTTTTGTGATATTTCATAGTTCTGTGTATCAGCAGGTGGCAGCTCCTAAATGACTTTGCTGGGCTCCAAAAATAAGTAGAGTGAACACTGTTTAGTACTTAGAAGAGAATACCAGTAACGTAGGTTAAACTGGAAGCAAGCATGCACACCCAAAAGTTCCCAGAAGAAAGCAGTAGCAATGAACTTCTGTATTGGTGCCAGGAAAACTATATGGATGTGTCTATAAGGTCATCAGGAACTAAGCTTGACTTAAAGAAGACTTTATCTTCATAGTGCAGTCTTTATTAATATATTAAGATTTATTGTTCCATTGTGTGTTGGCAAGATAAATTTTTAGCTATTTGCTATCTCCTGATTTTAATAATACTAAATAATTTGGAATTGTCAGCAAACATATCCTTTGTTATTCTATTTTAGCTGCCCAGAATCTTTTGGCCAAGAACAAATTTAATAAATAAACAGATAATAATGAAACATTAATCCCAATACAGATATTTAAGAAACCATATACAGTTATTTGGGAAACAGCCATCTGTTCAGAGTATATTTATTTACATAATCTTGAATCTTGTGATTTGTATTTTCTTTCTAAGATTTAAAGATGGAAATGGCAAAGAATTATGAGAAGTGCATTAAATTAGGTCTACTTTAGGGAGACTTGTTTATATTAGTCAAGTCATACTGATTTCACTTGGTGTATTCCAAGTAAAAATAATCTGGTTTTCATCCATTAAACCTTTATCAATTTATATAATTTCACATCAAGTACAAATTATGGATTATATGTAAATAAGTATGTTTTTTAAAATGAAAGTATGCTTCCAAATAGTGCAGCTGGCAGTGAAAAAGAATCTGAAGAACTTAATTATTTCCTTGTCTTTCTTTTTTTCTGCGAACATTTATGTGCCTGAAAGCTTTTCCACTCTCATTTATAAATCTAAAGACTTGTGAAAAAGGTTGTATTTCTGGATGCTACAGAGACTGCTGTCTCACTACAATGCATACTGCCAGATGGGACTAACATTCACAAATAGCAGTTTTTGCTCAGACATCTCAAATATAAAAATGTGAAAAACTTTCAGCATTTCCTTTTTTTTTTTAGAGCACAGTCAAGAGACATACCAATTGTCCATTTAAAGTAATTCTTTTAAAACATTGAATAAGTGTTGCCAAGGTGATGGAATTTTACAGCTGATATTTTTAACTTGTATAATACATTCTATATAGCGGCTTTTTATATATCCAGTTCTGTTTGAAATGATGTTCAAAAGATTATTTTATGACATTTTATCCAATGCATTATATTCTGTATGTTGTTACTTTGTATATACAAAGTTCATTGTGAAATGATATTTAAAAGATTATTTTTATGACAACACTTTATAGGATAAAATCTTCATACAAAAATGATCACTTTATCAACATCTAAAATACTTTTTTTTTTTTACCAGCCTCCAGATTCCCAAGTATCCTATAGTGCAGAAAGTCAGACTTTGGATGGATCCATCATGGGAGTTCCTCAGCAGATGTTGACAATAACTTCTCCTCAGAATATACCTGCCTCACAGGTGGGAAATCAACACATGCCAACAAGCATACAGTTAACCTCTGCTGCTAGACTTAGTAGTCAGGCTACAGCTGCTGTGGGATCAGTGGAATTAGAGACTGCTTCTGCCAATTTGGTATCTGCCAGTCAGTCCCCTGTGCTACATGGGCAGCCTTCAGTTCAATTTGTCAACAACATGCAAGTTCTTCAGTCGGTTCCACAAGGTGTTAGACTTATTCAACAACCCAAGCAACTTTCCCAGCAGGTGCCATCAACACAGCAACTACAGCAAGTTTCTGAGCAGGTGGCATCTATGCAGCCAAGTCAGCAAATAGTTCCACAGGTGACATCTTCACAGCAGGTTTCTCAGCAAATTGCAGCTATGCAGCAGATACCCCAGAACCTAATGGCAATGCAGCAGTCTCAGCAAGTTCCCCAGCAGGTAGCATCCATGCAGCCACCTCAACAAGGGGTGCCCTTGCAGCAACCACAGCAAATTCACCAGCAAGTGATGCCTATGCAGCAGTCTCAGCAAGTTCCTCAACAAGCGACATCTGTACAACAAACCCAAGTTGTTCCACATGGAGCTTCTACCCAGCAGATTCTAGAGCAGCCTCAGAAAATTTCCCAACAGGCAGCCTCCATACACCAGCCTCAGCAAGTTCCTCAGCAAATTCTCCAACAAGTGGCATCCATACAGCCACCACAGCAAGTCACATCAGTGCAGCAGCCCCAGCAGAATCCTCAACAAGTAACATCCACACAGCAGCCCCATCATATTCCTCAACAGATGCCACAACAAGTGACATCCATACAGCAACCACACCACATCCCTCAGCAAGTTCAACAGCAGGTGACACCCTTACAGAAATCACAACAAAGTCCTCAACAGGCAGCATCCGTACAACAGCCTCAACAGGTTCCACAACAGGTGACACCCATACAACAGCAGCACATTATACAGCAGATGACACCCATACAGCAGCCACAACAAGGTCCTCCCCAGGCAGCGTTTATACAGCAGCCACAGCATATTCTTCAACAAGTTCCACAGCAGATGACACCTGTACAGCAACAACAAGGTCCTCAACAGGAAGCATCTATACAACAACCGCAGCGCATTTTTCAGCACGTTCCACAGCAGATGGCACCCATACAACAGCCACAACAAGGTCCTCAGCAAGCAACACCCATACAGCAACTACAGCATATTCCTCAGCAGGTGACATCCATACAGCAGCCACAACAAGGTCCTCAACAAGAGGCATCTATACAACAACTACAGCATATTTTCCAGCATGTTTCACAGCAGGTGGCACCCATACAGCAGCCACAACAAGCAACATCCATACAGCAACTACAGCATATTCCTCAGCAGGTTCCACAGCAAGTGACTCCTATGCAGCAACCACAACAAGGATCTCAACAGGCAGCTTGCATACAGCAGCCACAACATATTTCTCAGCAGGCTCCGCAACAGGTGACTCCTATGCAGCAACCACAAGTATCTCAACAAGCAGCATCCACACAGCAACTACAGCATATTCCTCAGCAGGTCCCTCAGCAGATGACACCCATACAGCAGCCACAGCATATTCCGCAGCAAGTGGCATCTATACAGCACCCACAACATATTCCTCAGCAGGTCTCACAGCAGGTGACACCCATACAGCAGCCACAACAAGGATCTCAACAGGCAGCATCCATACAGCAACCACACCATATTCCTCCCATACAACAGCAAAAGCTTATTCCACAACAGGTGACACTTATGCAGCAGCCACAACAAAGCTCTCAACAGGTGCCATCCGTACAACAACCACAGCATATTCTTCATATTCCACAGCAGGTGACACCCATACAGCAGCCACAGCAGGTTCTTCACATTCCACAGCAAGTGACATCCACACTGCAGCCACAGCAGGTTCCTCAACAGGCAGCAACCATACAGCAGTCACAGCAGATGGGAACTGTTCAGGCACAACAAGGTCCTCAACAAGTGTCATCTATACAGCAGCCACAGCCAGTTCCACAGCAGGTGATATCTATACAGCAGCCACAGCAAGGACACCCACAAGTTCCACAACAGGTGGCATCCATGACTCAACCCCAGCATTCTCCTCAGCAAGTTCTGCAGCAGGGGACATCAATGCAAATGGCACCGGGGCTGCAATCTCAGCAAGTTGCCAATCAGCAGATGGGATCCCTGCAGATTCCACAGCAGGTAGCCTCCATGCAGCAAGTTACACAGCATGGGGCATCCTCGCAGCAACCTCAGCTGGTTCCCCAACAGGTGGCATGTGGGCAGCCAGCTTCACAATCTCAACATATGGTGCCCGTTCATCAGGTCTCCACTGTATCACAACAAATGATGCAGCAGGTCTCACAGTGCCCAGAAATATCCCTAGATACTTTGGGGCCTCAACAAGAGCAGCATATTACTCAGATACACCATTCTACAAATCAGCATCCTTGTGTAATGCAACATATGTTATTTCATGTGCCTCCGCAACAGCAGAAAGAAGAGCAGTTTGTTCTCCATTCGAATTCCAAAGATCAGTTGCCAGCTGTCTCTCAGCAAGACATGGAAATGCATCAACAATCTGAATTCTCAGGTTCAACTTCAGAAAAGGTGGCTTATCCCATCCAGACCCAGTATCAGTTGCAAATCCAGGAACAAATGATATATCCAGCACAATCCCCACACAAGCCACCAGTTTCAGAGCAGCTGAAACAGCAGCTAGAGCCAACTAACCAGCTGCAGGGTCCAGAGCAAGCAGCATGTCAGATGCATGTTACTTACGCAGCACAGGGCTCAAATCAGGCGCCGTGCCCAGAGCCATTGGTTTATGCAGGTTCTGGAGGATATTCAGGACATTCTTTGGACCAGTCAGCATATGTTTATCAAGGGCAGACAGCATATATAACTCAGCCAACATATACTGCTCAACCTCCAGAGATCCAGCAAGCTCATTTAGCAGTACAGAATACTGATCAACCAGGTTTTGCTGTGCATTTACCTGATCAATCTTTACATCTGTCGAAGGATGGAGATGCTGGCCATATGGAATTGCAGATTTGTTCAACACAATCCACAAAAACCCACGACTACCCTTCTGAGTCACATCTGCCTGAGCCAACAATATATCTTACTCAGCAAGATTCTGGCATAGGCCACCAGCAGCTGCATCCACCACATGTGGCACATAAAATTGCAGAAGGACAACAGTCAGAGCCACAAGCATCTTTTGTCTCATCTCAGCTATCTTTCACGCCACAAATGCAGCCGCAGCCTTCTTATCAGGAGTTTAGCCAGCAGCTTATTACTCAGTCGCACAAAGCCACAGTCCCACAGTCTGCCCTAGAAACAGTACAGACTATAACTTCTGTATCAGAACTGCCAGAACAAGCTTATACAATGCAACAATCTTTAGATGTGTCAGGAATGTTGAATCATGCTCCTCTCCTCCAGCAGTCTCAGACATTTCAACCAGTTGACAATAACCAACAGTTTATTCCTCCACCAGTACAACCAACATACATTCAACAGCAGCCAGTATGTCAGAAGTCAGTTTTACCTGCAGAATTGATTGTCCAGGAGCAGATGCCTTCTAAGAATTCTATTGCAGCTTCTTTGAACCAGCAAATAGCATTTACTGTTATGAACCAACCGAACCAAGAGTATCATCAAGGAGAAGACATCCCACAGGTATGCCAGTTATATATACAGTGAGGCAAAAAAGTATTTAGTCAGCCACCAATTGTGCAAGTTCTCCCACTTAAAAAGATGAGAGAGGCCTGTAATTGTCATCATAGGTAGACCTCAACTATGAGAGACAAACTGAGAAAACAAATCCAGACAATCACATTGTCTGATTTGGAAAGAATTTATTTGCAAATTATGGTGGAAAATAAGTATTTGGTCAATATCAAAAGTTCATCTCAATACTTTGTTATATATCCTTTGTTGGCAATGACAGAGGTCAAACATTTTCTGTAAGTCTTCACAAGATTGGCACACACTGTTGCTGGTATGTTGGCCCATTCCTCCATGCAGATCTCTAGAGCAGTGATGTTTTGGGGCTGTTGCTGGGCAACACGGACTTTCAGCTCCCTCCAAAGGTTTTCTATGTGGTTGAGATCTGGAGACTGGCTAGGCCACTCCAGGACCTTGAAATGCTTCTTATGAAGCCACTCCTTCGTTGCCCGGGCGGTGTGTTTGGGATCATTGTCATGCTGAAAGACCCAGCCACGTTTCATCTTCAATGCCCTTGCTGATGGAAGGAGGTTTGCACTCAAAATCTCACGATACATGGCCCCATTCATTCTTTCCTGTACACGGATCAGTCGTCCTGGTCCCTTTGCAGAGAAATAGCCCCAAAGCATGATGTTGCCACCCCCATGCTTCACAGTAGGTATGGTGTTCTTTGGATGCAACTCAGCATTCTCTCTCTTCCAAACACGACAAGTTGTGTTTCTACCAAATAGTTCTACTTTGGTTTCATTTGACCATAGGACATTTTCCCAATCCTCTTCTGGATCATCCAAATGCTCTCAGCAAACTTCAGACGGGCCCAGACATGTACTGGCTTAAGCAGGGGGACCCTGGCAGCATAGTGTGTTACTGATAGTTGCCTTTGTTACGTTGGTCCCAGCTCTCTGCAGGTCATTCACTAGGTCCCCCCGTGTAGTTCTAGGATTTTTGCTCAACCTTCTTGTAATCATGTTGACCCCACGGGGTGAGATCTTGCGTGGAGCCCCAGATCGAGGGAGATTATCAGTGGTCTTGTATGTCTTCCATTTTCTAATAATTGCTCCTACAGTTGATTTCTTCACACCAAGCTGCTTGCCTATTGCAGATTCAGTCTTCCCAGCCTGGTGCAGGTCTACAATTTTGTTTCTGGTGTCCTTCGACAGCTCTTTGGTCTTCACCATAGTGGAGTTTGGAGTGTGATTGTTTGAGGTTGTGGACAGGTATCTTTTATACTGATAACAAGTTCAAACAGGTGCCATTAATACAGCTAATGAGTGGAGGACAGAGGAGCCTCTTAAAGAAGAAGTTACAGGTCTGTGAGAGCCAGAAATCTTGCTTGTTTGTAGATGACCAAATACTTATTTTCCACCATAATTTGCAAATAAATTCTTTCCAAATCAGACAATGTGATTGTCTGGATTTGTTTTCTCAGTCTGTCTCTCATAGTTGAGGTCTACCTATGATGACAATTAGAGACCTCTCTCATCTTTTCAAGTGGGAGACCTTGCACAATTGGTGGCTGACTAAATACTTTTTTGCCCCACTGTATCTATATTTATATATCTATATATCTATCTGTAGATAGATAGATAGATGGATGGATGGATGGATGGATGGAGACATAGTTATATATCCTAATATATATCCTAATTTTTCATTTTCAAATTTTATTTCATTAAGTAACAGTCATTTGCATTAAGGGAAAAAAGGATAATGGTGATATTGGAAGCAGACCTTTCTATTTGCTAATTTCTCTAATAAAATTATCTATAGGACTTTTTCTTTTTTGGAACTGGGTTCTGGATTATGAGTTTGGGATATGAACAATACGGATTTATTCAGATGTTGAACCACAACATGTCATTTAGATCACATTTTCTTTTCTGTGAACTGGTATTGGATAAAAAAACTCTTCCAGAAAAAAAGTAAGAAAAAGGAAAAAGTTCTACTTGGCTTTCTTTTTGCTAACAGTTTCACTAATTAGGTTTGAATGTTTCTAATCTGTTTCACAAACATTATTTGTGAAGTTTTAAGATAAATGGACAGGCATGGTTTTCTTGAGAGTTACATCATGCTCTCCTAACTTGAAAAGATTTAAAAATGGTATAATCCAACAGCTTGTATGGGGGGGAGGAGTGAGCATTCCCATGCCTTTTTTTGACTCTGTGCCCCTGCCAACATGTTACTTGATTGCATTTGGTCCTATTTGCTGCATCATCCTCAATTTCTTATCTCAGTATATGATTTGTCTTCCTTATAATCCTCTCCCACATAATATAGTTCCAGTTGCTTTTGTGTGTGGCCCATTCCCCTATTTCATGGTTCTTTTCTCTGGTACATGACTTCTAATACCTATCCTTACTTTAGAGTTTTCTTTCCTTCTTGCTGACTCTGTCCTTTTTCTTTTTAGCTGCCTGGACATTTTGCCCTGTAACTTAAATTGTACACAAGTATCACATCTCAGTTATCCTGTCTTCTTAATGATACGGTTCACCATCTTCTTGGATCCAGCTTAAAGTTTTAATTTCACAAAAATTGCTATCTCATTCCTTAAATTCCTTAAAGAACACTGGCTTGAGTCTTGAATCCCATGCAGACTTTTAATTCTCTTAGCACTTAGATTATTAATGAGCATTAAAAAATAACACACATATATAAGGGGTTTCATTGTATTATAAATCACTGGCTGTAGCAATCTTTGGATTATGTTTCTGTGTACCTTTTGTACTGTTGCTTTACATATTTGTTTTTTGTTGGAATATTTTGGCTAGAAGAATTATCTTTAGTCTAATGTTTATGTATCTGAAGGCTAAAATTACATAAAAAGTCCTGCATACTAGAGAGCAGTTCCTATCTAATTTTTGAGTAGAAAAACAGCTCTAAGTCAGGGCAGCAGTATTATTTGTACTTGGATGAAGTACAGTAAAATCTGAGAAAGTTACAAACAATTCTTTCCTTATTAGTGATTTGTAGCCTCTTGTAGTATCATTTAACCAACAGTGTGCCAATATAAAAGTAATGAAGAGGTGATTTATCTTGTCACAAAGATGATGATTTATAGGAGGCTGTAAAATAATAAGAAAATTGCTACAATATCACAGTTTAAGTAGCTAAGAGGAAAAAAGCAAGCACAATACTTTGTTAAAACTTCCAAGGTGAAATATTGTTCTGGTTTATCTTTGATACCTTAGCTAGTAAAGCATAAGCATATGCTATATCAAACTCATAAACCATTTGCATGTTCTACAGTTAGTTATTTTCTAAAAGTTCTATTCTATTCAGGGGAAATGAGCAAATGCTACACATTGGTTTACCCACTCTCTCCTCACAGGTTTCCATCTCAGTATCAGATGAACATGAGCATCAGTCAGCAGTTCAAAAACAAGAGTCTATTCAAGGGTGAGTTTGCTCTAAAATTAATTCACTTGGTTGTCACAGCAGTAAAGAGGGTTGGATTTCAACTCACATTATCCAAGAGTCAGTATAGTAAAACTGGAGACTCTTAAGTGGGGGAAAAGTAGCTTAGAATATTGTGTCCAAATTTGGTGAACAACTATATTCTTTATTCATAAGTGAAGAACTGAGAGGACTATCAGTGTATCCAGAAACCAAAGATGACTTGAGAAGGAGTAGTAACAGTGACAGTTCTCAAAGACTATGAGAAGAAAGATGAAGTGTTTAGGTGGTTCTTTTAATCAAATAAAATGTTAAAAACACAACGTGGATTCTTTTTACTGAAATAGTTTAGATCAGGGGTGTCAAACTGCCGGCCCATGGGTCGGATGCGTCATGACGAAACCGCCCCCATCCCATTACCGGCAATGGAAAAAAAGTCGCAACACATTGTGACACGTCACATGATGTTGCGAGTTTGACACCCCTGGTTTAGATGGTAACTATGAGAGGGGTCTCGGAGTCCTAGTGGGCAATCTTTTAAATATGAGCCAGCAGTGTGCTGCAGCTGCCAAAAAAGCCAACACAGTGCTAGGCTGCATTAACAGAAGGATAGAATCAAGATCACATGAAGTGTTAATACCACTTTACAATGCCTTGGTAAGGCCACACTTGGAATACTGCATCCAGTTTTGGTCACTACGATGTAAAAAAGATGTTGAGACTCTAGAAAGAGTACAGAGAAGAGCAACAAAGATGATTAGGGGACTGAAGGCCAAAGCGTATAAGGAATGGTTGCTGGAATTGGGTATGTCTAGTTTAATGAAGAGAAGGACGAGGGGGGACATGATAGTGTTCCAATATCTCAGGGGCTGCCACAAAGAAGAGGGAGTCAAGCTTTTTTTCAAAGCGCCTGAAGGCAGGACAAGAAGCAACGGATGGAAACTCATCGAGCGAAGCAACCTAGAATTAAGGAGAAACTTTCTGACAGTTAGAACAATTAACCAGTGGAACAACCTGCCTCCAGAAGCGGTGAATGCTCCAACACTGGAAGTTTTTAAGAAGAAACTGGACAGCCATTTGTCCGAAATGGTATAGGGTTTCCTGCCTGAGCAGGGGGTTGGACTAGATGACCGCTAAGGTCCCTTCCAACTTTATTATTATTATTATTATTATTATTATTATTATTATAGATTAAGCATTTTTAGAGTGTGTCTTTAACAATTCATTAAACACTATCTATTTTAAGTTATTAAAAAAGTCTTTTTGCTGCATTATTCAGTTTCAATACTTGGCCACTTCTCTGACTACCTATGGTAAAATTACCTACTGTATAGTAAGCCCACACTGTTTTTCTACATACTATTTCAGCAGAACATAAGGGCAATGGGCAAAACTAATGCCTTCCCTGTCCTACATAGCTATGTGCTATCTCCCCTCATGTGCATTTTCTTTTGTTTAGAGCACAGCACAAATATAATAAGCTGCCACTGAAGAAAGTTCTAATTCTCCTGTTTCCTAGGTTGGAATGTAGTGGGAGAATGGGAGGATGTGTGGATATATACCCAAAGTTGCTTTGAACCTGAGTGAAATTTTATGGCTGTTGTTTTGGCCTTGCCATCACTCACATAGCCCTCCCTACCTCTATCCCAAAATTAAGAACTTATGAAGTAATTATTGCAATGAGGACTTTGTGACCCACAGTAACATAGATTAAAGACAATATGTTTTAATCCAGTTTTAACTTAAATTGCATATTCTTTAAACTTGTAAGTGCAAAATATCCCTAAAACAATGATTAGATTAGTCTGAGAGCAATTATACTTTTCTGCAAAATCAGATCAGTGCCTCTAACGGATCCACTTTGCTGGATTCAGCTTCTTTTGCACTGGATTCCCTGTGTGAAAGTGTGCTCAGAAAACTGCCACCCTCGAAGTAGGAGGTCAAAATCTTTCAATTATCCGCTAAGCAAAATCATTTCCTTTCCCATTCTGCCAGCGAAAGAGCTTTGGATTGGAAATTTTCCACGGGTAGAAGTTGACTTTCCATGCATGAACAGAATTTCCTAGGTCCTGCTGAGTTTAGGATGTTTTATAATACAAATAAAGAACCAATTTGGCAGTTTTCCAAACATAATAATTTATACTGTTTCTTTGTCAAAAGCATTTTAGTTCAGTAGTTATATGTGTTCAGTATAAGCTGTAATGGACATTTTTTATCATTTTTAAGTTACTGAACAAGTAGTGCCTGCTATAGTCTATATTTTATCTTTCTTATATTTATTGGTTTGGCTCTGATTTAAGCCATATTAAGCCATAATATTGGAAATTAAGTTTTATACTTATTAATGTTTAGAAAGTTTAGGAGATACGGATATGCCTGTGTCCTTAAATCTCTGTTTCCTTTCTTTCCTTTTTGTTTAGCTCAGTTCCCGACCTTCCAAAGGAAGCTGGGACTGGCTGTGACCTTCCAGGTGGGAATGGTAAGCAAGACAAGAGCAAACAGAGAAGGACCTCCTGTGCCCGACCAGAGAAGGGAACCAAATTTCAACTCACTGTGCTGCAGGTTTGTATATTTTCAAACTTCAGGCTTTTAAACGGATATAAAAACATAATTGCTGGCCAGGTTTCCTGCCTCCTCTGACCTTATTTTTTTTTTTTTAACAAAGAAATTACCAAAGCATGCTGTGAAGCAAAGCACTAGCAAGTAGCATCATTTTTCTTGAGAAAAAAAAAGGCCACTGGGCTTCACATAGCACTTATAGGAATACTTAATAAATAAAAACAGTGAGCAACTGCACCCCAATGCCTTGCTTGGAATGTGCTTAAAATAAAAGCCCAAGGTAACTTTGAGAAGTAGAAGACAAACTTATCTAATAAGTAACTGTTTTATGACTGGCCATTCTGTAGTAGGTCCCAATTTATATGTGGGCAAAATCCTCTTTTAATCACCATTTTCTGACAGTGCTCGTTTCAAAATTACAAATAATTCACTAACTCCAAAATGCTGCATGATCCTGGAGAACAGGATGTAGAAGAGGAACAGGGTTACATAAGAGCATATCTTCAAATCTTGTAACAACAACCAACTTTAGAGATTGTTTACTGAGCTTAAGTACTAATGTTTTTACAATTCTGGCTGTTGCTTGCAGTTAAATCAGTGATTTAATGTTGCCATGCACTCAGTAAAGTAGGTTCTACATATTGACTGTATGAAACAGTGACCAATTTTAACTGACTCACAATTGGCTGAACTTGTACATTAAGGCAGAAGTCATGTTTTGTAAATCATAGTGCTTGAGTTCATTCATAGCTAAGCAAAAACAAGACAAATCACATTAAGTTTTATTGTAGGTAGTGAATTATTTTCTCTTTCTATCAAGAACTATTTATTTATTTATTTATTTACAGTATTTATATGCCGCCCAATCCCAAAGGACTCAGGGCGGCGTACAAAGTTAAAAGCAATGATAAAACAGTAAAATAAAGCAGTCATACCACAGTCATACCGCGAGTCCGATCATATCCCGGCCCCCCCCGGGGACATCAGCCCCAGGCCTGCCGGAACAGGAGGGTTTTAACAGCCTTCTTAAAGGCCGGCAGGGTGGGAGTTGTTCGAACCTCGGGGGGAAGTTGATTCCACCAGGTCGGAGCCACCACAGAGAAGGCCCTTCCCCGAGGGCCCGCCAGCCGACACTGTCTGGCCGACGGGACCCGAAGGAGGCCCACTCTATGGGACCTCACCGGTCTCTGGGAACTATGTGGCAGAATGCGGTCCTGTAAGTAACCTGGCCCTATGCCATGAAGGGCTTTAAAGGTAATAACCAACACCTTGAATTGCGTCCGGAGACCCACAGGAAGCCAGTGCAGCTCGCGGAGGATAGGTGACACGTGGGCGTACCTCGGCGCGCCCACAATCGCTCTCGCGGCTGCGTTCTGAACCAACTGCAGCCTCCGAACGAACTAGTACTTTGGCTCAATCACTTCTAATTCACAGGCAATATTTCAGACATGTGTGAACATTATGGGCTATGGAAAGAGCAGAACCAGCTAGTTTCCCTCTACTGACACACTGTTTCATTCAGTAAAAGATAAAGCAATCTCCTATGAATCCTAATTCTTTCCTGGAGGTTGAATTTGCCATCTACCGATGATAAGTGCCAGAGAATTCTAATGATAAAATACAATTGAAATGCATTTATGTATTTCAATTTTACTATATTCACATTCAATGTATGTATTTCAAAGTACATTGAAACAAAAATTATTAACAAGGTTGAGCCTTGCCATAGTAAAGGGAATTAATCGTGCTTTGTTGTTGAACTGGTCATGTGATTTTACGGAACTGGTGGCAAAGTATACGGTTATCTTAGGTGTTTGTAAAGAAAAGATGTATTCTGCCTTTGTCTATTAGCACAATGTCTTTTTTGTTGTTCAATCAGGTGTCAACATCTGGAGACAATACTGTTGAGTGCCAACTTGAAACGCACAACAACAAGATGGTTACATTTAAATTTGATGTTGATGGAGATGCTCCAGAGGACATAGCTGATTACATGGCAAGTTACATATGCCCTGCTTCAAAGTAGATAATTCCTTACTAGTGGCATTCAAATTATTTAGATGCTATATAGTTCAAATGCAAGTACCCTGTTTCTTCATAATATTTGCCAAATTATATAGACTCTTCTAAGGCCAAATCTTAGTTTTGCAGCTCATATGCCTACAGTTTATTTATTTGAGAATTAATTTTGATACTGGTTTTGGGGAAGAGTATAAAAATGGAGAGGATTAGGGTCTGTTAGAGAAATGTCTTGAGAATAAAGGATAGAAATATATGGCTGCACTTGACTTTTGGAAACATCAGATTTGGAATCTCTGAAAGTTGTTAGCTTCCTTTAGACTAGTAATATAATTCATATTTTAGTGCTAAATATTTTTTTTATTTGTTAAATGTATTCATGGCCCAGCCTGTCATGGGGCTATGGGGGGGGGCTTACAACAGTAAAAAAAAAATGGGAAAAATAATTTTGAAAAATCAAACAATAATTAATGAAATAATAAAATAAACAAGGAAACTGCAATAAAATGAATTTTAAAAAAGATGTGTGGAAGCACGGGGGGGGAGCTGAGGTCAGTTAATTAGTCTGGTACAGTGATGGCGAACCTTTTAGAGACCGAATGCCCAAAACCTGCCCCCCGCTCCGCCTCCCGCCCTGCCTGCCCCACCCCGTCTGCCCCGCCCGCCCGCAGGGCCACCCACTGCCGCCATGGCCTGCCACAGATCACCCAGGCAGCCCTGCAGTGCCATGGCAACCAAACCCTCCGCCCACACCCCAGAACATCATCTGCGCGCAACGGGGCACGAGGGTGGAATTTTGTCCCTGTTGCCTGGCCTGCCATGTCCTTGGCTGCGCTGCTCTGTGGAGGAGGGGGCTGTGGGGGGAGGCGGGGCTGGGGCGACAGCGTACGTGCCCACAGAGAGGGCTCCAAGTGCCGCCTCTGGCACGTATGCCATAGGTTCGCCACCACTGGTTTAGTAGCTACCTCCAGTTATGATGCTGCCCATTGGGTCTCCAGGTCAACTGGCAGAGCCAGATCTTCAGGGCCTACATTTAAATTAATGGAAGGAGATTTCGAAAGCATATACATGTCCTATTTGAAAACTAACTTTGCATCATGGACGTTATTTATTTATTTAGAAGCTACTTCATCACATGGGACGTACTTTCAGGTGACCATTCATAGAATTATATTTAGAATTATAGGGGTATTACTTCTAAATAAGTGTGTACTATCATCGATCGATTATTGAAGTCATTGAAATAATGAGATCACTTAGGGTATATTCACAAAATTGACAGCATGGTGTCCAAGGCTAATCACAAACCATGCATTCATCAGGAGACAAATAGATGTTGCTGCTTACCATAATTCTACTCTCCCACATGGTTCCCAGAGGCATTTGTATACATTAAAAAATTATGTCAGAGATTAGAGATTTAGTATTTTGCTTTGTAAGAGAAAAGTGGATATGATGGATATTAGTATTTCAAAAAGCTGCAGTTTTTCCACTAATACAAAATGCAGTAGAAGAATTGTACACTGGCAGCATGTGAGAAGAGATGGCATTTCATAAAGGAACAAACATTAGCATTATTGAGAAATAAAACTTCAGTACATTTTTTTAGAATACTTTTTCAAGATTAATATTCTTTTCAGTGTCTCGTAATAACTGTGAATATTTGGAATGTGAATATTTATGGGTGAGATCTAATTTTCTACAGCCTGTTGGAATGGTGATAGCCAGAATTTGAAGAACAAAATAAGGTTTGTATCCATATCGTCTATCCTGTTTCTCCTACCCCTCTTCCCTTTTCCACTTACTAGGTTGAAGATAATTTTGTATTGGAAAATGAGAAGGATAAATTTGTTGACGAACTGAGAGCTATTGTTTGCCAGGCTCAAGACATCATTTCTAGTCTTCCTATTGAAGAACGAGCCGCTGGCATGGAATCTGCTCCTTCTGATCCAAATAACGGCCAAGTAAGTTTAGCTTCTTTAGTAATGCCAGTTTTCTGGAAAGATGTGTACTTATATTGGGAAACTCCCTTTTTATATTTATCTATTCATTTTTAATTCAGGCAGGACCTTCTGAACAAGTTCAGATAAACCCAGCATCTACTCAAAGTGGCAGTAAGTAACTATTTTAAAACATTTAACCCTGCAGGACCAAAGCAACACTCTGAAGTCCACAAGATTAAAACCATCCTTATATTAAAACGAATCTATGGAACATGGTAGATTTTTGGCAAAGTTCTATTCTCAGCTCTTTCTACTTTTGTCCTTTCAATCCCCTTATGATAATTTATCTTTGACTCTCTGGGCTGCTGCAGAGAGTCAATAGTTGTCTCTCTTCAGCAGTCCTGTTGATTTTACTGGAATATTCTAAACATTTTAATGACATTATCATAGGTTGAAGACTGGCAAATAATGAGCTCCTAATGAGCGTTGCTATATTAGTATTATGTCTGGAGTTGGCTTGATGGAGCTTTAAGAAAATTAAGAAATGTTAGAAAACTAGAGTCCATTTGGTAAAAGGCATGCCTCATAGACGCATAGGTTGTATTCAGTATCAACTCTTTAAGATTATACCTCCCACCCCCTCCCACCCAAAATTGTTTAAAGTGCCCTTGTTAAGGAGACATTTACAATAAGCTGAATTGATTCTGAGTGATGACATTGGGAAAAATTAGTGGCCAATAAACCAAATTCTTTATATTCACTGACAGTTTCTCAAAGATCGTATAGCTAGCTAGCATGCTGATCTAGTAGGAATAAACAGCACTTTGCTAGATTTATCCTAAAAAGAGAAATTCTTAGACTAACTCAGTTTGAATGCAGAATCAGCTTTAGGCACTCCTGCATTTTCTTCTATATGAGAGTAACAAAAAATATTTAGAACTTAATTTTACTTTAATAGATTCTAGTACACAAATCAGGAATTTCATTCTAAATACAAAATGTACAACCATTACACATTGCCACATAGAACATTGACATCTTGACTGGATGCACTTGTTAGCTTGCAGAAATGCTGAAGCAATGTAAGATGGGTATTGTGTACATACAAGAAATGTGTTGGAAAAACTAAAAGTCTCATGACAATGAAGGATATTAGCTAATTTGCCACAGTGTGTCCAGTAACTAAGATGTAGTTATTATACCACTAGTACTATAGCACTTAGACTTATATACTGTTTCACAGTACTTTACAGCTCTCTCTAAATGGTTTACAGAGTCAGCATATTCCCCCCAACAATCTGGGTCCTCATTTTACCCACCTCAGAAGGATGGAAGACTGAGTCAACTTTGAGCTAGTTAGGATCGAAGGAATCGAACTCCTGGCAATGTGAGCAGAGTTAGCCTGCAATACTGCATTCTAACCACTGCGCCACCATGGCTTCATTATAGCTGATCTGTGCAGCCATGTTGCTGAGGTCCATTGAGACTCCAGTCACCTCATATTAACTATGATCAACCCTATTCATCGATAATATGTTTTTTGGGGGCCTATGCTTCACAAACTGGATGTGAAAAAGAAGGAAAAGAATAGTTTTGACTGGAACTATAGGATTGTGTATTTGCATGCCCACAGGAAAACTGCTACTATTCTGCAGTGACTTAAACCTACTTGTTGGACAATTTCAGGAAGGCTACAGTTGTGACAGTGGCAAAGGATATGCTATGCAAAGTAATAATGGGCAGAAAGTCCTAGATTTTTCTGAAGCAAACAGTTTCATCATTACCAATGTGTCACAAAGAAGAGGAGGTAAACCTGTTCTCCAACCAACATGTCCTGAAGGCGGGACAAGAAGCAACAGATGGAAACTAACCAAGTAGAGAAGCAACCTAGAACTAAGGAGAAACTTCCTGACAGTGAGAACAATTAATCAGTGGAATGACTTGCCTCCAGAAGTTGTAGGTGCTCCAACACTGGAGGTTTTTAAGAAGAGATTGGACAACCATTTGTCTGAAATGGTGTAGGGTTTCCTCTTTGAGCAGGGGGTTGGACTATAAGATCTTCAAGGTCCCTTCCAACCCTGTTATTTTGTGTTTTTCAAAAAATATTCAGTCATTTGGTCACCTATGCCAGCAGCAGCCAGATTGACTTGTCCTCAGCCAATGACACAGGTTGCCCACTATTATGGACATGAAAGTCATTCTATCCTCGCCCCACAACAAATTGGATGTTTGTTGCCAATAAGAAGATCCACAAGCGTGCAAAGAATAGCAACAATATGACAGATCCAGATCCACAAACCAAGGGGTGGAAAGTACAAGACCACAAGGTGGCTAATTAACCACATTGTGTTTCCTCCAGTCACCACAGGCTCGCTTGATGCCGCATGGACTGCTCTCTACTGCTTCCTAGTGCTCTACTCTCACTGAGAATAGAGAATATTCTCTCTTAGTGAGAATAACACTAGGAATAGCACTATCTGAATAACAACATCAGATCAACGAGCAGATGTGACTGGCTGGAGCAAGTGCAGAAAGTATTGGAAAAGAAGATGGAATACCAGAAAAGGTGGATGCAGAAGAACACCAGAAACTAGCAAAAATACATCACTGCAAGAAGAGTGGCAAAAAAAGCTCTTGCACCACCAAAGCCAATCACTGTCAGGACTTATATGTACTGCAGTCCACCACGGAAGGTGAGAAAAACATCTACAGGTAGTTCTCTACTTACAACAGTTCGTTCAGTGACCTTTTGAAGTTACAACAGCATTGAAAAAAGTGACTTATGATCTTTTTTCACATTTACGACCGTTGCAGCATCCCATGGTCACATGATCAAAATTTAGAATGCTTGGCCACTGACTCATATTTATGAAGGATGCAGTGTCCCCGGGTCACGTGATCTCCTTTTGTGACCTTCTGACAAGCAAAGTCAGTGGAGAAACCAGATTACCTTAACCACCGTGGTACTAACTTCAGAACTGCAGCGATTCACTTTAACAATCATGGGAAGAAAAGTCATAAACTGGGGCAAAACTCACTTAAGAAACCTAGCAACAGAAAAGTTAGGCTCAGTTGTGGTCGTACGTTGAGACCATTTGTATTAACTAGTGAAAATGAACGCCAAGGCAGCAAAAGACCTTGAGCACTACATGTGCATTAAGGAGAAAAATGGATGGCAGGGCAAGCTTAATCTTGAAAGGCTAGCAGCAGCAGCACTTTGATGAAATCTCTGATGTCAGATTTCCACACTTGCAAATCCCTGTTGGCTCATCTAACATTGGCCCAGTCCTGCACGTGACTATACATCTCAAGAGGTTATCAAAGCTATCAATGGCATGAATTTGAAGTACATGAAGTACGTGACCATGGTGTGCCTGAGCTACTCATAAAATGGGTTATTTTGCCAGCCAGCTGAGTTGGATGCGCCACTAGCCTTTTGACAACTTTCCTGTGAAAGTTGGCATGCACTAAGGTTTGGTATTATCTCCATTGCTGATAATACGCATCATGGACAGCATCCTGCAAGACCTGTATCGTAGTTTCCCCTAGGTCTTGCTCCAGGACAACTATGTCCTCGCAATTACCACAGGGAGCACTACTACAGCATTGCAGTGTTGTATCCAAACATGGAATGATCATTTTAGCCAATTTAGTTTGCACTTTAATATCAAGAAGGAAACAAGGAAGGAAAGAAAATGGAGGAAGGAAAGGAGGGAGGGAGGAAGGAAGGAAGGATTCTGATATTCTTTGCCATTTCCCACAAGGAAACTTAATGGAGAAGCCAGAAGGAAGTCCAAAATCACTCACAATCCCACTGCTTTTTTGCCCACTCCTGTCGTTCTGTTTTCTCTTTAACAAATTATCTCTGAAACAAGGACCCAACTGGTTATGGGTTGTCTAGTGTGAACTATGTATTGTTGTCCTCAATATCAGAGGTGTCAATCTGCCAGGTCGTGGGCCAGATGCATCACACAGAAGCCACATCTACTCCAGCTCCGGCAAGGGAAAAAAAGTTGTGACGCAATGAGTTTGACACCTCTGCTCTATATGATACAAAACCAGTCAGTTTCAAACATGATTGATTTCTTAATTTTGTTTCAATAATTGCATTAGCAGAACAATACTAGTTTTATTATTGTTCTCAAACTAAGCATCTATTTTTTTATTTTTTGTAATTTCACATAATTCTAGCATGCATGTCTTTTAGGTCCCCAGAGAACCATAATGCTTATGATTCTGGCCATAATCCAACGTTCCATAATTCAAACATTATCATAGTCAATCACAATTGGCAGTATTTATAATTCTTTTGGATTGAGCTGGCCAATAAAGCTACTAAATAAATATTAGGATACAACTTGCAAAATTTTCATCTGTTGTGGTGGCTGTCAGTTTGGAGAGGTAGAATTAGCATGTTGGGGAAGACTTAGTTGAGTGATAATTGGTTGTGTTTATAAAGCAGAAGTCTTTCTTATCATACATGAAGAGATTTGTAAAATATATTGAGCTTTCAAAAGCAAATTATGATTGTTACTTGGTTTGTTTAAACCTTGGTGGAGCTTGATACAGCTCTTTGGATTCTAATCCTTCAGTCTGTGGTGTGAATAAAAGTTATGGGTTTTTCTGGGTTAAGTGATTAATGATACAATCAGTGTAAATTTTGATAAAATAGAAATATGTCATGCAAGCCAGATGTGTATCGGAGAGCTTTCTCTTGAGAAAGAATAAAACTCTTAATTAAAAGGAAATATATTGAATTTACTAATAATCTGACTATTTTATTGATTACGTGTGTGTACACATGCATACACATATTCTTTATTGATTTGACTGTCTTTCCATGGAAATTAAACTCATGATTACTGTCTGACACTTCAGCAGTACTATTGATTGTTTCAGTTGAAATTAAATAATAGTACAAATGAATAAAGTTAATTAATACAAAATAGTTCTACTGAAGCAGGATCAAAATGTCATGTACCAGTACATTTAATAAAGGCAAGTAAAGCACAGATATGTCACATAATGCAGATTTCATAGATGTGTATGCAATTTATGATAAATATGGTTGAAATATGGCCTGAGAAGCATTGTTTTTACTAATGAACATCCTTAAACTTAGGCTTTGGGATACGGTGGTATCAAGCCTCTGTAGAATTTTATCCAATTAGATACCCTCTTTCTTCCAGATATTCACAATTTTTGGTCTCATTGTTGTATTGTTTTCTTGCAGTTAATGTTGTAAATCACCCAGAATGAGTTTCTTGTGGAATTAGGTGGTCTCTAAATTGAATTACTTAATACATTAACAACGAATAAACAAAGGTGTATGTATTGTCAGCCAGAAGATGAATAATTTTGAATAATCGATTTATACAGAAAGGAAAGGGAAAAGAAGAAAAGCTTTTCTGTTCCATTAATGGCTTCTAAAGGAACACTACTTTCATATTTTAAAATGCATCTAAATACTGTTTAAAAAAACCACGAAGGAGGAAAGACCACCTTCACACAGTGTCAGACTAAGTAAATACTTAGTAAGCAAATATTTACTCAGATGTATACACTTTAGGGTTCCCTTATGTCTAATAACTCTAATCCTAATTCTAATCCTAATATTAAAGATTATCACCTAACACAGGAATCCTAATTAGTTGGATTACAGTGATCCAGACTTGAAGGGGAAAAATTATTCAAAGCGTACATCAGTGTACACATTGGACATTTTAACTTCTTAAATAAAACACACTTTTTCTTAGCCTCTTGGAGCAGCAATCATGAAAATTCAGGAAAAATAAGTCTTTCCATGTGCTGTTATCAACAAGGGTGGCATGAGCACCCATGCATATTGCAAATCAGCTTTCCCCTTTCAAATCCAGATCTTTGGATTAGCCCTGCTGATTGTCTATCATATTACTTTTAAGATTCCTTTTCTGCAACAGCAGTGCTGTTCTTGTAATTACAAAAACAATGACATGATTTTCCCCTGCTTGCCTCTCTCTCTCCTTTTAGGTGATGCTGCTCCCCAGTCATCCCCTGTTGGCCGCTGGAGGTTTTGCATCAACCAAACGATAAAGAACAGAGAAACCCAGACGTCTTGTACCCCAGTAGAGTCAATGAATAGTGTTGAAGGATCTCAGACCGCAGGTGAATACTGTATACGGTTTAGGAAAAAAAATGCATATTTTTCTTAGGGGTAGTATAACATCGGGATGATTTTGGAACTGGGCTCTGCTTAAATAGAAGTGGCTCAAATTGCAAAGTGTTAGGTGAATGGTGGTGAAGAACAGCAGACCATTTGAGAATCTTCCTTTTCACTATTGCATTTACTTGAAAGGAACGCAGTCTGAATTTGAAACCACATCCCATCCCCCCAAAGATTAAACAAACTTACACACAAAGCCTTATTTGCCCTTTGATCACATTCCCATTTTGAAAGCAAATTGTTTGGGGGAAAAAAATAGTAGTATTTTCCTATGACGATATATTCCTATAAATATCTTCATAGGAAAATACTTCATTATTTTAGGGATAGCCAAACAGTTAATAGAGGTTGCTTGTTCTTTGAGATCCCAGCCTCTTAACTCTATGTTAAAGTGATTTATGTTCATATTTTGTGCTAATGTTTTCCATTTTTCTTAAGTTTGATGGAAATGTCACATTTTTTTACCATTCTTTTCAGTCACTCTTTAAAAAACAGTGTTTGTTTGTGGCCTTATTGGTTCATGCACAATAATTATGGTGACAGAATTAACTTTGCTATTTTTTTACTTTATTTTTTCTTACATTAGTATGGTAATGGATAGTCATAAAGAGTGACACCATAAATTATATAAAATCAGCTTTAATACCTGCAGCAAATCTTCATGTTTTAACAAAGAACACAGTATAATCAGCTTCACCCATATTCAGTTCACTACTGAATTTGTGTTATATCACCCCCGATGAAGAAAATTAATGATTTCATTAGGATTAGGGTTGGGCAAGAAATAAATATATCACTCTCATATAATAATTAACATTAAACTTATATATTTAATAAAACAATGACCGTTCCATCTTAATAAAATAATTGGAAATAATTTTAAAAAAAACCAACAACCTTTATTTGCCCAGACGTTAAATGTTATTGTTCATATGATCTTGTTTTCTTCCCCTTCCCTTCCCAACCCATCCTTTTAGTTTTTACTTTGCTGTTTTTTATTATTTTTAATCAAAGCATCTTAATGAGACGTAGCTTAAAAATAAACATTTTAAAAGAAAAAAATCCAAGATTTTATCACCTCAATCTGAGTTTTTGTTATTTCATTGTTTCTCTCTGGGCTCTTTCTGTGATATCTTTTTTGTCTAGATTTTCCCAACCTTGGTGCCCTTAAACATGTTGGGATTGTAATGCCATGAGCCATGCTAGCTGAGAATTCTGGGAATTTTGGTTGCAATATACCTGCAGGATACCAGTTCTGATGAGGATCTTCTTTTACAAATTCGTAGGGCTTAATTTAAGCGAGTCTAAAAATAGCGACATCTGAATTTTTTAAACCATCTCCCCCTTGGTCATAATAATCTTTAACGAACCTTTACTGTGAAATGTTACATTTTAAAAGAGACAGTAGTAGTAATCAACATGGACATGGGCTTTTAAAGTTTTATTAATAATGTGCTTTTTTCTGGAGTTTTATTTTGTCAGCCTCAGTTGTTCATCTGTTTTGTTACAGATTGCATAAAGGAAAGTACAAAAGAAGAGAGACCCAATGATTGTCCACAAGTTGTAGACAATCTTAGTAACCAACATAAATTTAGCCCTTCTTTCAGCTCAGAGGATTTGACAAATGACAGTGTGATATCTGAACCCCAAATTTTGGAACCTGAACATTCAGCTCTTTCTCATGAAGCAGAAGGCAGCACGGATAAATTACCATCTGTCTCTACAGGTGACAATAGTGACGTTACTACTTACGATTCCGAGGCTTGGCTGGACCCTTTGCCAGCAGAGACTCAGTCTAATGGAGCTCCCCTATCTTCATATGTACCTCATCCAGCATCTGTTGCGAATGAGTTGAATTTGTCCACAGAAGCCTTTGAATCCAAACCAACGTCTTGTCAGACTTTGACCACTGAGGAAGCAGAACATGTAATAAACGCTGAGCAAGGAGCTGCTTTGGTGCAGACTCCAAGTCAGGAAGGAATTCTCTCCACATCCATTCTGGAGTCAGACAGTGAGGGCCCTCCTAAGATGGAGTTTGTTGATAACAACATCAAAACTCTGGATGAAAAGCTGCGGACACTTCTGTATCAGGAACACAGCTTGTCAGGCACTTCTCCCGAGAGCCAGAAAGACACACAAAGTGCAGTGGAGTCTCCATTTTCCTCATCTGCTGAAGATACTTTCCCTTTCCCAGGACATGAAACACAAGACGCTAATTCCCCCCAAGAGATCGATCCTCAAGCTGCACTCATTCCATCCGAAAGTCATCCTGATAGCTTGCCAGTGATGAGGCAAGAGGCCAAGGTTATTACTTCTGCTCCCAGGGATTTCTGCAGACATGTGAGTATTGACAGGGTTGGTAAGGGCTGAAAATTGTTTTGCCCACTGAAGAAATGCAGAATATTGCTGAATCCCCGTATAAATTCATTTCCCTCATTGATCCTGGCAAATGAAAGGTAAACATTGACTCCACAGAGATGGTTCCAACATGTTTTTTTCCCTATTCATCAATTAAGGAACATGTGGTTTTTGAATGGGAACAGAAATCTGATTGTATGTGAATAGTAATAGGGAGGAGAGATCTGATTATATGTAAAATTAAATAAAATTGATTTAACAAGTGAATTAAATGAGGTTTTAAAATTGGGTTTTAAGCATTCCTAATTGTTTTCATTTAACCAATTAAGATTTTCAGGAATTGGACATTTAGATTTGTTTAGAGATTTGCTGATGTAACATCAAGTAAGAAGGTAATCTTGAATGTGGTTCAAGTGGTTTGTGAAGCATCCCCATCCTCTTATTCAAATATTGTTTATTTTTTTTCTACTTGTTTCCCTGCTCCCCTTGTTTTGTTCAGGAGATGTCCTTGGAGACTTCATTTCCTGAGAATCCTGTGGCTTGTCCTGCTTCAGAATCAAGTGGTGGAGCTGTGCACCTGCATGCAGGAGGTGGATATTTTGGCCTAAGCTTTACTTGCCCTAGTCTCAAAAACCCTATTAGCAAGAAATCCTGGACTCGCAAATTAAAAAGCTGGGCATACAGGCTACGGCAGACCAGTTTTTTCAAGAGATCAAAAGTCCGGCAAGGTAGTGTGCTTACAGTCAGGGATCTAGACTAGGTAACATCTGTTTTGATTTATTTAAGTATGTTTCTCTTTCCTCCTCCTCCTCCTCCTCCTCCTCCTCCTCCTCCTCCTCCTCCTCCTCCTCCTCCTCCTCCTCCTTTTTTTAAAAAAATTTGGGCATCTCCTGCAAATCCATATATCCCTGTGTAACATTTCATCTGTCACCACTTTGTTTTCCAGTTTGATTAACCAGTTTTTTCATTCCACATAGAAGCATAGGTCTTGGGATATTTAAAAAAAAGCCTACATGTATACTAGAATCTTATTTTATAATGCAGTACTGTTTGTAAGTGTTCACATGGTCACAGATTTACCTGACCCAACCTGTTTTGTTTTTCCTTTGTGTTTGTCCCCCCACCTGCCTTTTTTTCCTCCCTTTTTTAAAAATCACAACAGAGGACATGACTGCTGATGTTGCTCCTGATTGGATTTCTCTTTCTGAGCAAGCAATCAGAGAGAATAAAGTATCTGGTCATTCTAAATCTGGAGCTGGATCATTCCAGCGAGGCAGGTTTCAGGTAAATATAATTTAATTCATTCATTCATACTCAAATATGTCCCATCCAACAATGAATGTATGAGGGGGATCAAAAATAATTTATTGTTGATATGTTGAATAAAGGATGTATGTTCCGCAACAATTCTTGTTGGCTTTTCAGCAAGTGCATAGCTGTAATAATTACTTGAGGTATTGAGTTGGGTTCCCAACTGGTTGACTTCCTAATGTGTAGACTTTAACTCCCATATTTGACGATTCTGAAAATTGAAGATCATACACCTGGAAATTGCTAAAGTTGGGAAACACTGTTCTAGGTGGCATATGTTTTAAGTCATTATCTTAACTTGAGTAAAAATAACTGAGTAAGAATAACTGAAGCTCAGGTTTTTGGTTATAGCTTTGTTGAATGAATGATAGCTGGCTTATACTTTTCTGATGTATTATGAGAAGCAGATGAATATCATTTAATGCATGCTTCATTGCGAGTTCTATGCTGTATTATTTAAGAATTTGAGATACGCTATTTTGATCAGGTTTACATAGTAACACAGGCTTGTAGCTGTAAGCTACAAGGTTGCATATGTTATCTACTAGTACTGTGCAAACTATTCAAATCTGAATTGTCTTCAGTTGAAAAATTGATTCAAATTTGGAGAGATTTCTGAGAGAGTAAAACAATTGTTTCAAACTCAAAACAGGGCATTACAAATTCAAAATGGATTGCCTGAAAAAATTGTATATGATTATTATATGACGTATCCATTATGGGCCAATTGACTAAAAACCAAAAAACCATAATCTGATTTGATTTTAAGTTCAACCCCGGGCAAAGTAATCAGTCTTTTCTAATAGACATGAATTCAGCACATGTTTTATTGAAGTTCGTTTCTTGTACTTTTTTATTCATATTTCAAGGTATTTCTAGTTCCCTCCCTGCTTCCTCCCCCCATTTTCTCTATCACTGCTTCTCATTTGCCATTTTGAAGACAATTTCCTAGCTTGGTAATTAGGCTTAGAAAAAGGTCCCATTGCATCCAAGGGAGATTTTTCCACCCTCCTAATTGCTGCAGTTAGGAGATGATTCTCATCAGTATCACAGGATGCAGGGATATTTAAATTACCCCCCCCCCAGGAACTGCATCTAATTGGGTTTAGGAAAAGAACAGCAGCTATCTTAGTTTTTTGTTTTGTTTTGTTTAAAAAAGGGCTTACAGAAGAAGAAAGTGGGTCAAGAAGATGAAGCCATCGTTCATATTTGAATCTACTGCAGAGTGGAGCTTTCCTATTTTTGTATTGGGAAGCCTCAAGCAGAGGGAACAAATTTTGGGGACAATACATTTATGCCTTACTAACTATAGATGAATCCTCAGTTTGTCTTTTTTAATTTAAAAGATGCTTATCCAGTTGTCTCCAAAGACAGCAATGCTGGTTCAGGCATGTGTAGATATGATTCCATAACAATAGGATGAAAGGGCACTGTTATATGTTACAGCAGAACCTGTACAGTAGTATATAGCATTCTGTATAGAAATGTATATTATGCCAGGTCAACTATATCTCTGTCTGTCTAGTACAGGGGTAGGCAACCTTGGCTCTTTTATGACTCGTGGACTTCAACTCCCAGAATTCCTGAGCCAGCATGGCTCAGCTTGAAAACCTCTCCCTTTCCCCTCAGCATGGCTGGCTCAGGAATTCTGGGAGTTGAAATCCACGAGTCATAAAAGAGCCAAGGTTGCCTACCCCTGGTCTAGTACTTTATAACCTATGATGGTTCTTTTGCCTCTGCAGCAGAGATTTTTCACGGTGTAAATACGCAGTACTGCTTATCTTTTACTTGGAGATGATAGGAATGTAAGTTAGACTTTTGGCACACCTACTTCTGAGCTGTAAATTCCTTCCCAATCAGGGCCAATAATTGGTTCTAAATCATCTGCAATGGGCTTTGGAGGGCAAATGACAAAAATAACATAATGTGATCACATCATAAGCTCTGCTGCTCTTATACATGTGTTATGATGCTATGCTATGTATAAAAGGGCCAAGCTTGCACTGCTTTGGTCATTTGCCTTTCCACATTGTGATACTACTTATGTCATTTTGTCAAAAGCATTTGATTCTGTGGATACCTGTGCAGGATGCTAAGAAAATACTTGAACTAGAAGTCAGTTCTTTTGGTTCCAGATAATGCCAAGATTGATGAAATCTCACTCTGTTTAACCAATACAAAATTCTTTTGCATGCAAACTTTACTGCTGAAAAAATTGATTATGTGAGCTAAAGGAATCAACTTCTAATTATTGAAATCTGATAGGAAAAATGGGATGAGTGATTGTATTTCACTCTGCCTAAAATCAGTTTCAGAAATTAGGGTTCTAGTTTCTCCAAGCATTGGTCTGGGTCAACTGGCTTTGCAGACAGAAAGAAAATTTTGACTTTGAAACTGATCCTCAGTTTTAATGCAAGACATTTTATTGATATCTCCCAAGGGATGATATATATATGAGATTTATGCAAATTTCTACCTGCAAATGGATTTTGTGCAGGAATAAAATATTGCTTGAATGAGCTCTAGTTTATATCACAACTTGTTTATTTACATATAGCAAAATGGTTAACTAAGATAGTGTTTACTTATTTCTTAAATTTATATGGCTGGCCATTTCAAATACAGGGCTCTGGATGGCAAACAATGAATAAAAGGTAGATCCTGTGAAGGAGAAAGACAGTTCTGCAAGTAACCCAGCCCAATGCCTAGTTATATAGATAACTACCAGTAGCGTGCATTGAATCTGGAAGCATAATGACAACCAATGCAGTTAGCAAAACAGAGGTGTCACAGGCATGAAATGAAAGGCAGCTCTCACTGCTTGTCTGCTGCACTGTGTACCACTTGAAGTTTCTGAACGTCCTTCAAGGACAGCCCCACATAACGCACAGTCCCATCGGGAAGTGACCAAGGCATGAATTACTATAAACAGAACCCCCCCCCAGTCCAGGAAGGGATGCAATTGGCGTACAAAATGTATTTGTGGAAAAACCTGTGCCTGCCTATTCTTAGCCAGGAGTCCCAGAGGATTCCCACATAGTTCACAGATTCCATCTGAAGGAGGGCAACCCCATCCAGAGTTAAAAATGGAAAGCCCTCAAAACCAGTGGCTCCTAAAACCTAGAGCCACTTGGTCTTGCTACGGTTGAGTTGAAGCCTGTTGTTCCTCATCTGTATCCATAAATGTAGACATTGAGATAGAACATTAATGGCGTCACTCGGACAAGCCAGGGTGGAAATATAGAGCTGGGTTTCATCTGATGCCTCACCCCGAACTTTTGGATTACCCTCCATGTAGATATTTAGCAGGAGAGGAGAGAGGACTGAGCCCTGCAGCACCTTACAAACTAGGAGGCCACAGGTTGGACCTTCCCCCCCTCTCCCCCATCAATACACTTGGAATCAACCCTGCAGGAAAGAGGAGAGCCAGCATCACAGTGCTGCCCACTTCCAACCTCTTAAAGCTGGTCCAGAAAGATACCATGATCGATGGTATCAAAAGCTGAGAGGTTCAAGAAGAGATTTTTTTTCCTGCCTAATATTTTAGTAAGGGGTCTATTAAATATAGAATTGTCATCTGTTAAGATTTAGAAAGTTAGGAGATGTTATGTAACTTCTTTGTGTTGCTTCCTCCTCTTCCTCCTCCGTTATTTTTGGAATAAAATGTTGTTACATCAACATTTCATGCATAAATTAGCCCTACACTACAAATCCATTCTAACCATGAACTTAAGCATGGTTAGAAAATCTGCTATCGAAGATGTAATGCTACATCATAGTTAGCTCCAACAACAAAATGAAGAAGGAGAAATGATGGTGATACAACTAGTCCTTAATTTACAACCGTTTGTTTAACAACTGTTCAAAGTTACAATGATGCTGAAAAAAGTGACTTACAGATGGCCCTTGCCCTTACCACTGTAGAACTGGTCACATGATCAGAATTTGGGTGCTTGGCAACTGGCATGTATTTATGACAGTTGCAGCATCCCAGAGTCAGAAGCAAAGTCAGTGCAAAAAGCTAGATTTGTTTAATGAGCATGGTATAAAAAGGTTGTAAAATCGGGTGCAACTCAACAACCACATTGTTTAGTGTCCGAAGTTCCAGTCCCAATTGTGATTGTAAGTTGAGGACTACTAATATGTTGGAACAGATTTTATGTCTCCACTGTGCATTATGTTCTTTTACGCAACTGAAATTATTTGAAATTCAAGACAATTGTGCAAATAAATACTGTATTTCTTCCTGCTGCCCAATGTACTTGTCAGTTGAGTGCTTGTACCCAGATTGCATTACTCAAATGTAATCCCTTATTTATCGTACACAAAGTAAATCAGGAGAATTTTATGTGCTGTTTTGGATAGAATGAGGTACTGAACTATTAATTTGTTTTGGCAACTAGGGAAATCATCTGTTTGAAAGTCTTTCTAGAGAATTGCAGAACCGGCTTAGATATTTCATGTATAATTCTAATGTACGATAGTCTTCAGTTTACAACCACAGTTGGGACCAGAATTTTTGTTGCTAAAGGGAAAAAGAGCCAAGTAATACCCATTCACTGGTATTCCTTTCCTGCAATCATTTTCTGTGCAACTCTTTCTGTTCTTTGCTGCAGTAGCATTTTACTGTCATCTAGTATCTCTTTGAGGATAAATGGCATTCAGGTGCTTATTGCATGGTCCTTGGGCTTTAAATTGCTCCAAGTCATTTTTTACTCTTCCTCCTCCCTCTCCCTCCTTCCTCAGTCTGTTGCAGAAAACAACTGGGTGCTGTCCTGCTTCTTCATTACACGCTGGCAGATAGTTTAGCTGCAGTTTGAAGGCTTTTTTGGGCAGGCTTTACAAAACATATTGACATTCATAAATTAAATGCATTTTTAAGGGAATATATAAAAATTGGTTATAGTGTCATGATTTTTAAAATTATTATTCTCTATAGCCTTTTCTTCTTTGTGGTCTAATCCTCATACGTATTTTACAGGGTCATATAATATGTTTTCTTTTCTTTTTTTGAATGGCTTTTTGGCTGTAGAATCAGATGTGGTTTATATAATTGTAGTTCAAATCTGAGCTGACATGGCCTGTCACACTGTTTTCCTATTTTTTTGAATGGATATATTTGTTCTCTTGTTCAAATCCATTTATTCGCTTCTTATGAAAATATATTTTACTCTGTCTTGAATGAACAATAAATGTTGAACATAATATGTTTGTCATCTTTTACTTAAATTTATTTACTTTGATTGGCATTGTTTTAAATATATGGCTATTCATTTAAAGCATTTTAAAGACAGGGGTTTAAAATTTAAGTGAATGAAATAAAGTATCTGTCTCCTTAAAGTTTCTACTCATTCTTAGTTCCATCTAATTCCACCTACCAAGGACAGATGATTAATTAACATAAAGCTGAAGACAAGTAAGTGTTTAAATGTGCATAATGAAATGCATATATTTTTTATGCCCCGTGAATCTCACATCCTTTTATACCCGCTCATTTTAAGCTTCATTTTTGTAGAACTCTACTGAATTAAATCTGCCTTTCTTCTCTGTCTTTTTTTTTTTTTTTTTTGGCTTCAGGTCATTACAGTTCCACAACAGTTGTCCTCAGGTGTTTCAGAAAGTGAACTCTTTGAGATGTCTCCTTCCTTGGAGCTTGGAACAGAAGAAGGCTGTCCTAGAGGAAAAGAAATGGCTACCTTGCCCAGTGCCATGGGTGAAATTGATGCACGTTGCACTGCCACGGAACAGCAGGAAGTGGAGGAGACCTCTGCTACCGCAAGCAGTGGGCAGTCCTGCTCAGAGCTATGGTTGAGAGGGGATGTGATCCAGAAGCAGCCTAGCTCTGACAGTGAACTGTCTGCACCTATGGGTGGTGGCAGCCTAGAAGGCTGGGAGTCAAACCAGCAGTCTCAAGAGGAAAGGGGCGGCACCCACCCAAAGAGGCGTAGTTCTCTTTTTTACTCTGCATCTTCCCCAATGAGCAGTGATGATGAATCTGAAATTGAAGACGAGGACCTGAAATTGGAGTTACAGCGTTTGCGGGAGAAGTAAGGGCACTAACATTGAGTCTTATCCTATAAAGATTTGCATTGCATCTAATTACTCGATTGTGTGTGTGGGGGGGGGGGGAGAAATCAGATATGGTACAATTTTATTTTTTGCTCCATGAAGCTATTACTGGTGGTTTCTGTTTTGGGGTTCTTTATTTTGTTTGTCTGAATTGATTCTTTTTGTTCTCTATTATTATGTATTATTAATTACCTATTAGCATGGAGCTGCCTGCCTGTAATGGTCACTCGTAAGTTACACATCAGTTACTCCACTGAATTTACATAAATTTGCACATAAATGAATAAGTGCATTTAAAAGGAAAAACATTATTTTTAAATGGTACCTGTGCACCAAGACAAGTATGTCTTTAGAAGTATAATTTCCTTCTGTGGGAAAGAAACAACGGTTACTTTTCTGTGAGGGAGCCTGTCAGCTATAGAGTATTTCTTACAAATAGTTTTAATCAAACTGGAAATGTCTTTTTAATAAATCAGAAGATTGCATCCATCTAATAAGTGAGTTCAGTGTTGCATCCCTGGTTTCAGCATATAATTGCTTTCATTGCTTAAAAAAGAGCAGAAAGAACAACCTGTTCTCAACATCACTGGAATCACCACTACTGCCCACTTAACTCATGACCAGGATGGCAGTATCATAGATTACAAAGCCAATCCAATTCCATTATTCTTGCAGTATTGCTCAAGGAATGCCTTGCAAGCAGGTAAAGTAGAGGGAGCTGCTGGGTCTTTAAACCACACAATGAGCTGCTCCTATCCATTGTCTGGGGGCACAACGGCTTAGCAGTTAAAGACACTGAGCTTGTCAACTGAACAACTGACAGCCCAGGTTCAAGACCCGAGCGTTAACGCGACAGGATGAGCTCCCATTACTTACCTCAGCTCCTGCTCACCTAGCAGTTTGAAAGCATGCAAATGCAAAGAGATAAAAAGGTGCCACTTCGCTGGGCAGCTAATAGCTTTCCATGCACCTTGGCATGTAGTCTTGCTGGCCACATCACCACGGAAGTGTCTTCAGGCAATGCTGGCTTCCTTGGCTAAAAAACAGAGATGAGCACTTCCCCCTAGAATCAGACACAACTGGACAGGGGAAACCTTTAAATTACCTTTATCCATTGTCAGAGCTAAGAGAAGAGATACTATGAGGCACTTGTATTCCTTCACATAGACTGCAGAAAGTACCGTACCCTGGAGATACAGCTTGCTTATTACACACAAGGACTCCTAGATTTGTAATATTCTGTGAGGCAAGAAGGAACAAGAATACAAGGTAACAGAACATACCAATATGTCGACATTCAATCATAGGTTACACATAACTTTCAATTTAACAGTAGAAAAGTTGTTATTATGAGCATAACTTATATAATCTTTCCAGATCTGACAAAAATGTGATTCAATTCCTTTGAGAAGTCATTGTTTGAATTTTATCAGTTCTTCCATAAGAGAAACTGAGCATACTTCTGCACACCAGTATTCATTGAGAAGTTGTCTAGAAAATTCCAGTTTAGAGCAATTCTCAATTTTGCAGCCAGGAGTAAGAATACAATAAGGATATTTCTGCTTAGTTTAGAATTATCTCCCTGGTAAAAGGTAAAGGTTTCCCTTGTCCACTCATGTCTGACTCTAGGGGGTGGTGCTCTTCTCCATTTTCTAGCCAAGGGAGCCAGCATTGTCTGAAAATGCTTCTGTGGTCATGTAGCCAGCATGACTATATGCTGAGATGCATAGAACATTGTTACTTTCCCACCAAAGTGGTACCTATTTATCTAGTTCAGGGATAGGCAACCTTGGCTCTTTTATGACTGGTGGACTTCAACTCCCAGAATTCCTGAGCCAGCATGGCTCAGCTTGAAAACCTCTCCCTTTCTCCTCAGCGTGGCTGGCTGAGGAATTCTGGGAGTTGAAGTCCACCAGTCATAAAAGAGCCCAGGTTGCCCACCCTTGATCTAGTTGCATATACATGCTTTTAGACTACTAGTTGGTAAAAGTTGGGGCAAGAACAGGAGCTCACCCTGTCATGCGGTACTTGGGTCTCAAACTGCCAACCTTCCAGTCAACAGTTTGAGACCCAAGTACCACGTAACGAGGGAAACTCCCATTCTTGCCCCAGTTCCGGCCAACCTAGAACTTTTATGCAATAATCCCAATTCTAGAATACCTTCTACTTTTGCTTAGTTGTTATTCTGATCTCTTTGAATGGTGTCTTCCAATAAGGTACCACTTTCATAAGTCCTCCACGTATGAAAAAATGTTCCCTTCCGATTGCAACCCTTCCAGCGTTTGATGAAGGTTCTTAAAATATCATAGTGGGGGAAAGGAAGAAGTGCTGTTTCCCCAGAGCAAGTCAGAGCACTGATTGGGCTTCCTTCTCCAGCTTTTTCTGCCTCCAGGTGATGGTCTCATTCTATGCAGCAGTGTGTCCTGAAACATCTCTCCTTCACATCTTGAGAAACCCAAGCAAGCAGAGAGTAAAGGGGCCATTGGCCTGAGTCTATGTTCCCTACTTTCCCTTGTGAGGTGACTAAAGAGTAACTGAGAACTTATGTCTTGTCAAGGCTTTCTTCTTTTCCTCTGCTTCTGTGTAGGCACATCCAAGAAGTAGTCAGCCTGCAAGCTCAGCAGAACAGGGAATTGCAGGAGCTATATGATCGTCTCCGCTCCATCAAAGACAGCAGGTCAGAATCCTCTGACATCTCCCTGCAACTGTCGTCCCCAAGACGGCCTAAATCTTTCAAAAGCAAGCTGCGCAGTCGGCCACAATCACACTCTCATGTTGACAATGGCATTGTTGCTGCTGGTAAGGAAATGCAAGTGGGCGCCATACGCAAGCTAGGGGCCTTTTTGAGGATTGGTTAGGGGTTCCCTAATTCAGAACAAAAAAGTTGAATTCACTAGTTTGTGGATGAGTCCCTAGGATTTCATGTTGTTTGTCAAGGTTATGTCTGCCAACTCAGAACTCTTTAAGACTCTCCCATTTGCCACCTGGCTTTCTGTGCTTTTCCTCTAGTCAACTAAGACAGTTTTCAACCTGATTTTCCTAAACAGATTTATGCATATTGATTCTAAATGCAATCCGTGCCTTCCTTATCGTCCCCACACCCAGCCTATAGTATATGCTATTTTAGATGCTTCTGATTGTTTGTCTTTCCCTTCTCTGCCACCCAGAATGCTGTTGTGCAACCACTGCTGCCTCTGTGATTGACTATCAATTGAGCATTCAAGCCCATTTGCTGCACCAAAGCTGTTCACAAGCAGAAACTAACCAAGGTATTTGCAAATGTTATATATAAGAAGGGCAATTCAGATGCTAAACTTCCTTTCTTATTGCCGTTTCCCTCTTCCTCCTCACATAGAAATATGTCACAAACATTTGAATATTTTGTTAGATTCATTATTATACTCCTCCTCCTTCTACTTTATAAGCTGTTTAGAATTCCACTGTGACTGAGGCAGCCTACATGGGTAGGTGTAGTCTGCATGTAGGTCCTCATTGTGATAGGTTATGCAGCTGAAATTGGTTGGCAAAGTGGCTGACTTTTGCTTGTATGATATTCTCTTTCTTTGGGGAATTTGGGGAAGTTTTAAGTGCAAGACTTTGAGGAGAATAAATGCTCTCCTTCCCTCCCTTAAAACCACCCAGTCTTGTCACCCCAAATAAAATTAAACATGGGCAAATATGTTCAGCCCCACCTCTTTGGATGACAGTATGATACTGGAAGATCTTTTCCAGACCACAAATAGAGCAAAAGAATGGTTTGCATGATTCAGAAGTTGCTTGTCACTCAGGTTTATTTATTTATTTATTTATGAGACTTATATACCGCTTTAAGTGCAAGCACTCTCTAAGCGGTGTACACCAGTAAGCAATGTATATATATTTTACATTGCCCCCAACAATCTGGGTTCAATGTTTTGATACTACTGCTTGAAGAATACCTTCTAAAACCTTGCTCCTTCTTAGAACAACTCTGCATCGTGAGTAGCACTGCCTCTTGTCAGCAGACAACAGCCAGTAAAAAAGGAATGTTCACAGATGATTTGCATAAACTGGTGGATGACTGGACTAAAGAAAAAGTGGGAAACTCCCTCATCAAGCCAAGCCTCAATCAAATCAAACAGAACAAGCACCGGCTGGATAGTGACAGCTGGAGCAAAGTCTATGAGGTAAGAGGTCTTTACATGCAAGCTTTAGAGTTTGTGATGTATTAGATCAGGCATGTCAAACTGGCAACGTCACGTGAGATATCGGGAGTTTTTCCCCATTGCCAGCAATGGGGTGGGTGTAGTTTTGGTGTGACGTATCCAGCCCACGGGCCGGCAGTTTCACATGCCTGTATTAGATTCACCTTTCTCAACCTGGCACCTTCCATATGTGCTGGGTTTGTAACTTCCCAAATTCCCATCTGCTGCAACCAAAGGGAAATCTGGAAATTGCAATTATCCTCCCCTAATTTAAAGGAGCCTGGTAGGGTATTGGCTGTAGTAGATACTCTTCAGTGTAAACTTGCACTGTTGATGACTTACCGTATAATTTGATCTTCATCTAATACTAGATGAACTTTATTTATAACTAGAATTAGGAACTTGCAAGTAAAATCTACCACAGAATGATAAATGTTTGAGTAGCCAAGACAATTTGTGAAATGGTGTGGCATGACCTGAAACAAGTTGTTCAGCTTCCAAATACCTTCAAGTGAATGTGCAAAATTGATCAAGAGGCATAGAATATCTTTGTTTGGAGTCGATACGTATTGCTAAAGAAAGTACCACCATTTAATAAATGGAAAACATATTTTTCCAGTGAAAATGTTGAATGCTGCTTCAAGCACAGTGTAAAGCTATGACCCTTGTATGTTGTCTGTTTAACTAAATTCTCTTTATTAATAGGTAGATGAAACTTGGACCACATTATTATAAAACTATGGTTAATTCTAAAGGGTTCAAAAATTTTCTCTGATCATTCTAAGGTAAACAAAAGTCATTGTCCTGATGGGGTATTTTTAGGCCCTTCACATATCCCTCTGATTAAACTATTTTCACTGTCTGTATTTTATGAAGCCTTCTCACAATGGCAGACAATCCATTCTAAGCATTCAGAATAGCTTGCTCTTTTTCACCAGAGTTTACACTGGGGTCATCAAAAAATGTATTTGAAAAACTCAAACCGATAGATCCCCTAAATTGCTATGGCTATATATTCTTCACAGTTTCAGACCTAATATACCTCAGTGGCAGGGAGACATAAAAGAATGCTATTGTGCCTGTGACCTGCATTTCAATTTTCCCAAAACATCTGGTAGATCACTGGTGGGGGGGGGGAAAGGGGGAGAGATGCTGGAATAGCTCTGATTCAACCAGGTTTTTCGGTTTTCTGGGATTTGCTGGATAGATCACAACCAATAAGAGATTACTTTTTTTTTTCTCCTTTGAGTACATTGTCTCTGTTTAAAGTCCAGGTGCCCTATATGACTGGTATTGGAAAACAGCAGGGTTGCACACAGCCTTATCTGGGAATGGTAAGCTGGGAGTAGGTACTTAGAAAGGAAGTAGTGCTAGTAGGATATTAAAACCTGAAAGTTAAAAACTCCACTACGTGGTAATGTTTGTTCAAAAGTGTGCACCTTTCACTGCATCTTCGGTCCTCTTCCATGCTCTTCTGTTAGCAGATACTGTATTATTTAAAATGACTAAGATGTGCCACAGGCAGCTGTTGAGTATGTTTCCTTGCCTTTAAAATAGTTTCTGTTTTCCCTTGTGTTTAAGACAACAACCTCTACTGTGGGCTACACCTCCACATGGATTTCCTCACTTTCCCAGATCCGTGGGACTGTACCAGCTGCTTTACCCCAAGGACTTCCCCTGTCACCCTTTTCTGGCACACTATCGCCATATGGAATACCACATTTGTGCCAGTATAACACCATCGCGGGAACAACTTACCCAGTGCAATGGATGGGCATTTCTGGGACAACTCAACAATCTGTCGTGGTCCCTGCCCAGACAGTGGGACCCTTTCAACCAGGGATCAGCATGCCAGCATTTCCAGCATCACCCGTGCAAAACCCAGCTCCCATTCCCCCAAGTCCCAAATGAAGATGAATAGCAAAAGGATGCTCGATATGGGGACTGTGCCTATCTCTCATGACTCCATTCCTCTGCCTTGCATTCTGCTGCCTGGATTTGGGGGTGAATTCCCCAGTGCAGTGATGTGGGAATGGTAGGAGATTGTTTTTGCATTCTCCTCTTTGAATACTTGATTTCATTTTCTTTAGGGGATTTTTTTTTTTAAGTACTTGAGAGAGCTTCGGCCTGTGCATCTCTTTGTTTCTGAGATGGACAGCATGCCATGTGCTGCTTATTAATAAGCCTTCCCGGTCATTCCTGCCCCATATCCCACGTTTGCTTTTGTGACAACTGTTTTTGAAGTTGGTAGTTACTCTTCTTGGATTGTACACTTACTAGCATTTGAATTAATAATTTACAGAGTGGAAGGGATCAGTGGAGAAGAGTGACATTTATATTTGCATTACTGTTACGTTTCCATTTAGTTTCATTGGCAGCTCAGACTACAGGCTAGCTAAGGATAAAAAAAATATATTTGTAGTTTGTTTATTTGAATTCTATTGTAAACTCTTCCTTCCTCTGTCCCAGAGATAGGCCTTTTGGAAGTGAAGCCCTGCTGAAAGAAGAGGCATATAGCTGCTGCCTTCTCTTTGATTTGGGAAAGCTGTCCTGGACAATTCAGAACTAGTATTTGTAGAATGCAACTAGATGTCCTCACACACACTGTATTCAGTAGATACATTGGAATGTTGGCCTGGTTTATTGTACCTGTGTTTGGGACTCTGAGTTTTTTAAAGCTTATTTTGCAGCTGATACAAATCTTATATTATGGAGTGGGGGGGGGGAGGAGGTAGCATTGGAAAGGGTGGGAACTAGGGCTGGGGGACTATTGTGCGCCTTTTTTTTTAAACTTGTCCCATCTTGGCCATTTTCGCATCATTTGTGATCCATATTCAACATTTCTTTAGTTGTTGGAAAAAGATTATAAATTGAAACAGGGTCTAGTGCACATAGTTTTTGCATTTAATGGATTGCCTTACAGCAGAAAGTGAAATACAGTCTCCTAGTTTAGATGCCTAGTGTTGTTTCTCAGAGCATTAAAGTTTTTAGTGTTTACTGAATTTGATTGCCAAGGTGCAAGATCCATCTTTACATTTACAAATTTGTGTGTATGGCAGTAAGGATATGGTGCTGCAATCACTCACATGTGGCAGGCTTTCTGTTTTTTTAGTGACATCTAGTGCTGCTAATTGGATGTCATGTAAAGAAAAGTCTAAAATTTACCAGTTCAAAATCCTTAAGAAATATAAAAATTTGCTAAATAAAGAGGCATCCTCCCTTGGAGGTGTATATCTCATATAATCACTAATTTTAGCAACTGTATTTCAGCTGCCATGTGAATATTGCCATTATAATTTCATCTTGATAGAGAATTGGCTTAGTTTAATGGTACATGTTTAACTTAATTGGCTGTGAACTCCTGGTATGATGGAGGTCATAATTCATTGGAGCTAACATTCCTTGTTTTCTATAATACACAACCAGTTTGTTCCTTTCTTGTTGGAAATTGTATTCTTACGTGCATTCAGAGGTTGCTTCCTTGGTTGCAAGTCTTTCAAGCACTTGCTGAAATACCATCTAGCTCACTTTCCCTCTTCTTTACTTTGGAATGAAAATTGCCATGCTTTATTTTAAATTCAGACTTAAATTACTGTCTTTTGGATATTAAAACTGCCATTTTTGCAGCTGTCTGATATTTTGAGCAAGCAATAGGTTTAATTTCATGAAAATTAAGACAGTATTTAAACTTCAAGTGACTGAATGTTATCTAAAAGACCACATTTAAATCTGAAATTAATATACTATTTGGTTTAATGGTATTGTGGCCAGGAATATCAAGAGTTGCTGCAGATTATTTTATTTAAATCAGTTTCAGACACCAGCTACTTGTTTTTTGTAAAACAGCATCTGTAGTCTTAGTGATATATTATATAGACTATATTTCTCCCCTCTGCATTCTGGACAAAGATTCTGCTTGTTGTTTAATGCAGCCTCTTTGTTCGGCCTGCAAGATTTGCAGTGCCTTGTAATGGATAATCTTAGTATCTTTTCAGATTTTTACTGGAAAGTTGAAAAAAAATAGTTTTAGTCTTTTGATGCTTGAAAAGTACATTGCTGATTTGCAGCAGTAAAATCATATATAACTTAAAGTTTCAGTTTGAAGAACTTAGGCAAGAACAGTGTTATTTTTTAAAAAGACATACATATGATTTGTGGGAAAATCAGTGGAGCAATTTCCATGAGCAGAAGCAGCTTCCACTCACAGAGCAGTTGAGAGGTGATTATACCTCTTCCTACAGCCCCATCTGTGCCTTTATAATCTGCTCCATAAGGAGGGGGAGGGCACAAAATGAGCAGACAACTGATTATATGACATTTACTTCCATCTTTTTTTTTCCACTTTAAACTCTTTTAAATAAACTCTTGTCAGCAATTCACTTTGACTTGTATGAAAGCATAAAATGTTGTATTCTAGTTTGCTGTTACGTAAAAATGCAAACTGCTAGTAAGTACCCATGAGGGTCTTAAAGGATGGTTTATCTATATTAAAGGTCCCTAGCTCATTTAGCTCTCTCAGGCACACAAATATACGAATTGTTTTTCTGTTATGAAGTGAAAATGTGGTGTAACACTGGTGCATTTGTGCAATCCTGATTATTGAGTAAACCGTAGAGTATACTTCAGTGTTGGAGGGAAACCAGTGTAACAATAGCAGATATATATATATATACTGTATATATCAGGGTCACTTTGCTGCCGATTTTTTTGTAGAGGACAGGGTCAGTTTAAAGTGCTGTATGGTGCAAGGGTATACATTGAATTCCCACTTTCCCTACTTCACAAAATAGCCTCTCCTTGCTGCTTTTCTCTTGGTGGAATTTTGAAACCAGGGTATTCCCACTTGCAAAAAGCAGTTTTGAAGAGGAAAAATTGGGCACCTCTTGCCTTGCCCATGCCTTTTCTAATTCAATTCCTGATTTTCATGTAGAACTGGCACAACCCATAATCTGACATAGTTTGTCTCAGTTGAGAATTACAACATATATTGCTTCTTTATTTAAAAAAATGTAGACATCACAAACACAGACATGAGACTTTTAGTTTATTATGTTAAAAAACATTTATAACAAAATAAAATACCCCATTTAGATCAAATTAGGCTACAGAAAAAAGTTTAAAATCCTGCTTATACTGTTTAAAGTATGGAGCCTGGGACTTTTTAACATCAGGAAATTGTACAACTGAACAATAGTAGGCAAGGGAAAATAAACCTTAATTTACATGGATCAACTGTTAGATTTACCTAGCCTTTTTCTTCTTGGGTGGAATTCAGAAATAACTTGGAATTGAAGTCAAGCAGAAATTTGGCATAATACGCATTTTGCAAACAATGAGAACAGACCTATTTTCTGTATGTGGATAGCAAGGGTGAGTGAAGGAAATGCCTCTTAAGTAAAGCTTAGATACAGATTTTGCATTTAGTCTTTTCTTCTTTTGCTTTAAGTAGAATTTCCTCAAGGAGTCCACTGTTTTATAATTGACAGGAGCAGGCTTTCTTTGAAGCCTTGAGGAATTGGGAAATCCTTATGTGGCTTTTCTTTCTACTGATAAGAGAATGAAAGTGATATTCATGAAGTAACTTGTTTGACACTTCAAAATGGCCACATCTATTCAAAACAGTACCGTGTATCTAATTTCAGTTTAAGCTGGAATTAGATGCTAAGTAGTTGCTGCCGATAACCACATCCATACTTTCCCCTGCTTATTATTTTCATAAGCCTTACCAATATAGAACATATGATCTAACTTAATTATGTGCTGAGTTTCTTCATTTCAAGTGGAAAAGCATAATGAGATTGTGTTATGCTGTGGAGGGAGGGGAGAGATGTGGATTGGCATCCTTTTATAAAGTTTACTTCCTGTCTTCAGTGGCCAGAGTTCAGAGAAGGTGACACGGCCAATGTGTTAACTGTGATGTGGATAGTAATTTACTCTGCCCCCAAAAGTCTCAGAGGTTTTGATTTCATAGGTTTTTGAAACAGTACCAAAAACTTTGTAAACACAGGCAATATTAGTATTACTATATCTTTAGTTTGGGGGAAAAGATAAAGAAACCGGATTCTTTCTAGTTGGATTGCCCCCATCTTTGAAGTTACGTAAAGGCACCGGCAATGGAGGAAACACAGATACTTACTATGTTTATGTATTTTTGAGTCTCTGCGTTTAATGTGAAACATTTACTGCCCAGTTTTTCTTCTCTTCCCTGTTGTTTTCATCGTGTTTCTCTTTGAAGCATGCACCCTCTTAAAAAGAAATCAAACTGTGAATTTGGTTTGGGGGGATGTTTTGAAAGGCACTTTTCTGCTGTGAAGCTTGAGCCTGAGTTGTATGATATGAATGGAATGTATAATTTTAATAACTTTGTGGATTTTTAGTAGTGTTCAAACTGAATTGTTTTCTTTGTTGAAATTTCATGTTTCTTACCTACCTCATTTGTTAGTGCTGTTTAAATCTAGGCTGTGGCATAAACAATGTATTCTACTGTTTCTGTCTGTTTAAATTTGATACAGTGTTTTGGCACATGCTTTTTCACTCTCACTCTCCTGGTTGTTGTTGTTTTTTTTTTTTTTTTTGTAACTTGGCACAAGCAGCTCATTCTGTTTGCTGTTTTAACCAGGATGTTTAATGTTCACAAAGAAAATTTAACAAGTTTATTCATCAACCTGAGTATAACATAATGACAGATGAATGAAAAGAACAGCTCCATGCATTTTTTCTAGAGTATATTCCAACTGGTTACAGCAACTTAGCAAGGAGTGTGACTGACTGCCTCATCTGTCTTCCATTACCCAAGGTACCACCATCTAAGTGGGAAAAACAAGATTTACTTTCTTTATGAAAGAATTTCTCTCACAGATTGCTTGGAAGGAGTATGGACAAATTTCTTAGGTGTTAGATTTGTTAGCTCTTAACTGAAGTTGATGGATCAATGGGAGTGAGACCATACAAGCTATAGATTTAGCCTAAAAAGTCCCACTGCAAATTCCTTTTATCCTTCCTTTCTGGTAAGCATATTGCATTTTCTGTTTACATTAGCCCTAGATTCAAGCATGATTTAATGCTAAAAACATGGGTTGCTGTTCAATCTTTAATAAATCCATTACAATTTGTGCTGACATTAAGACTCATATAAGGAATATGTGTGTAAGAGGGAGAATACCAAACATGGATTCATGTCTTCGCAAAGTTTAAGGATCAGGTGTGTTTCACTGGCAAAGGGACTTTACACAGTAAGTTTAGGAGAGAAAACATGAAACCACATTCAGGCAGTAAACTCATATATTCCTTTTTAATTCTCAAACTCAGAAACATTGCTATAAAAATTCTGTCATGCTTCCAGATTGCATTGTCAAGAAAAACTAGTTGATTTAAGTAGTATTTTTTAGTTTATTGGTCCAGCTGAACATTTCACTTACAAAACTTATACAGCTAAACTTATTTTAGGGGATCAAACAAACTTTCATCACTTTCCTTTAAAAAAAAGGAATTGTGATTATTTTGAGTAGCATAATTAACTCTCAGAACCAAATAGCATATTGCATTTATACAGTTATTCCCAATGTACACAATATATGTTATGATTCTACTAGCTGCCTTAGAATTAAAGTGCAATGAACAAGAGTCTTAGCATACCTGTTTTTAACTAACCTCTTTGTGCATATACGTTTCCTTGAAGTTAATGGAACTGAGCCAATTTAAATTAGCAGTGGTTCTAGCATTTAGCATGCTGGAAGAATTCAATCATTTCTTAATAGTTTTCTTCCTTCCATTACAATAATTATATCATAGGAATTTCCTAAATTGTTCGTGTCATTATTTCTTTGATTGCAAGAGTAATAAAGTATTGTTTGGGAAGCCAATTCTCACAGGAATACAGTTGTAGCAAGTACCTTATATTTTACAACATGGCAAACTGTTTTTTCTGTAGTGAAATGATCCACATACCAAATACTAAATAGCCCTCAGTGATAGGCAATGAATTACAAAACACTCTACCCAAGTCTGAATGTGTTCTTGCCTTTTAGATGTCCAGCTGATCCCTTGAGGCTATCTGTCCAGCATTTTATTCAGCTATTTTTTCTCTCTTATTTCCATTGACAAAAGATGGTAAGTGCAGGAGGACAGCAAATAGTATCTTTGAGAGTTGTAGAAATGTACATCCAGGTTGTTATACGTGAAATTAGGTACATGAACAGCTGGATAGTAGAGCTCCTAGTTGCCGCAGATTTAATTTACTTCCAGGTATCAGTTTCTGTTCCACTTTTAAAGCATCCTAAACAGGATGTTTATGGCTCGTTGTTATGGTTAATTTAGGCCACACAGTATCCCTTACTAGTTGGTGTGGTGGTCACATTGGAGGTACTGTGGTTCTAAACATTCTAATACAACAAAGGATGTCTCTATTTTTAAAAAAATTGTATCCTATTTGAAGAGAGGTCTGTTTGTTTTTTCCCCCTTATTCTTTGCTAGAAATAACAGAAGAGCACGTGGGCCTATAATGTATGACAACATGATCAGGTATATCCTGTGAATAAATGTCTCCTTAGATTTACACAAATTGGCAATATTTCACTTTCAGAAATTGGAATTTTCTTATGTCTCGATGTGAATTATATCTTAATGTAACATCATAGGACTTTTCAACCCATCAACTTGGCATTAAAGCTGAGCTGTTTCTGACTAAACATAGAATGTGGGTGATCTGTTCATTATTACATGGATGAGGCATCCCATTCAGTTTTTAAAAAAACATAGTCCTAAAACTTTATGGTAGAAAACAAATGTCTTTTATCAGCAGTTATTTCCATGTGTTTTTTAATTATTTTTGCAAGCTGTGAGTTGACTTCATTTGTACACAACCATTAACAAATATTTTTTTAAACTGTTACAAAGGAAAATAAAGGCTGTGTTGGGAAAAAAAATGCCTGGTCTTTATTGCTAAAATAGGAAACACATTCAGTGTTTCTGAAAATGCATGTTTACAGCAGAAACCATACCTTTCTAAGGGTGTAATTATACTTATTTATCCAAATTTACAAACCACCATCAAAAAACAGGAAACAAAAAGTTTTCTTCGTATCACTACTTTTACCATGATGCCAACATGAACTTGGCAAGATTTAGTGGAGGGTAGTGTGGTAGTTCTGCCAAGGACTATTCTCCATTCTTACAAGATAGTTGTTAAAGTGCTGCAAAGCCTTCATTGCATTTGAATACTCAATTTTTAAATGGCTATTACTCCAGAATTTTGTTACACAAGAGTAATAAAATGCATACATGCTTCACTCATCATGCTAATCATAATGGCTTGCAATCCCCAGGGACTTGAGTTTGTGCTACATGTAAAGTCAAACCAAACAATATGGGATTCCAGTAACACAGGTTAGATTCTTGGTGAAAGATAAGGAATCCAGAAGGAAACCAGATAGGAAGTCTTTGAATTTACTTCAGACTGGGAGACTTTGGGCAAGTCACTCACTCTCAGCCCAACCCATTTCCAGGGTTGTTGTGGGGAAAAGAGGAGGAAGTATCGTATTCACCACTATTAGTTATTTATATATATAACAAAAGTAATAAAGGTGAGACAAAAATCTAATGATTGAAGGATGGTATAAAAGCTGGAACATAATGCTATAGAATTGAAGCAGGCACGTTTAAAGTAAAATTGAAGTCAGACGCTGAGGTGTACTAATAAGAACAATCTATAATAACTGGTGGGTCCTGGCAATTCTGCCCTGTTCTCGATAGTTTTGTGTGGTTGGTGGGTTAATAAAAATTCTCCTGGCAAAACTCTGGACTTTGGGCAGCGTTCATAATGAAAAGGTTACTACAATTATGAAAATACAGTGAAGGAGCTGTAAGCGTTGAAACATTCTCATTTAGCAAGAGCACATCCTGCTGCTTCTGACATCAGCTGTATTTGAAAATGCCAGCGCCGTCCCCGGTTTCATTCGCTGGAACATTTTAAAGCGAAAAGATTCATTCCCAAGGTCTGGTCTGGAGGGGGGGGGGGGAGGAGAGACTATATGCATCCGAGAGTGCAGACATGGCCTGGCTGTGTCGCAGGATTAGATGGCTTTCCGCGACGAAGTGTTTCGAGGTCGGAGCAGAGCGGGAACTGCTGGCTCTGGGGTGCTGCTGGCATCGGCGGTTTTGCTCCGCTCTGCGTAACCAGGTGGCGCCAGCTTAAGTTTCCCGCGTTCGCTAAACGTGGCGGACCGCGCGAGGTTGATGAAAACCAGGCAGCTCCGCCGCCTTCTGGTGGGGGGGGGGTTACGTCCGAGTAAGCAAGACTGCATGGGAGGATCGGTAGGCCCCGCGAGTTTTTAAGAAAAAGGACGCGAAAAGAGGAGAGCAGAAAATAATGTCACCCTTCCTTTCAACATGGCGCCCGGGACGACACTCTGGGGACCAGCGGGGAGGAACACATCTGCAACCCTGAAAAAGGAGGTGACAGACTACATCTCCCAACATGCCAAGCGCCATGCTAATATGGCTGAGGCGCAGCTCGAATGAAGAGCTTGCCGTTCTTTTCCCTTCTTAGGTGGCGGTCTCATCCCGCGTGTAGAACTAGGTCATGCTCCTGAGGGGCGGTAGAGGGCACCTACGTGGCAGAGACAAAAAAAAAAATGTAGGACGGATTTACGTTATGCGCAGAGATTGCTGGAAGTTGTAGTATTTTCAAAGCCATGTTTGGAATAATTGTTTTGACTTCCGCACCTAGCATGTGGCCGTATAACGTCACGGAAGACGGGTTCTTTCAAAAAAAGATGGTGGACGTCTGAAGTCCTCGGGAGTTGTAGTTTTAATTTACTTTGTCCGCAACATAGATTTTACGGGGGGGGGGATGCTTTTCTTCAATGGGACTACAAACCCCATAAATCTATGCGACGCCAGGAAACCACGAAGAAAACTTTACAACATGGCGGTTCTTGCTTTCTTTCGGGACTTGTAGTCCCACTGTGTGCTGACTAATAGGTAGCGGATTCAAATAAAACTACAACTCCCAATGAGCTACCGTCTAAACTGAGGAAAAGGAGGAGGGAAGAGGAGGAGGAGGAGGAGGAGGAGAAGAAGAAAGCTACAATATGGCGGTTGCATCCATTCCTCAGATCTGGGAACTGTAAGAAGCGAAGCCCCAGGAGCTGGAACAGCTTGGACTGTGCCAGGTCCTGGTTTCGGGGTGCCAGCCCCTCCTCAGCCTTCCCTGTTTGCCCCAGTGGACGTGGGCCGGATCCCCACAGTTGTGCACAGCCATGGGAGTGCAAGGCTTCCAAGAGTTCGTGGAAAAGCGTTGCCCAGGGGCAGTGGTGCCCGTGGACCTACTGAAACTGGCACGGGCTGTAGGGGGCCGGGGAGGCGGGGGCCCTGCCTACTGTACCACCTTCCACCCACCAGCTGGCTACCCCTATCCTGCCGGGGCTGCACCGGGACTGGCACCCATGGTTGGTGCTAGCCCTTACCCACACTCCCAGCATGCAGGGGGGTTGGCACCCCCAGCGCCATGCCCAGCTCGGCTTCTGGTGGATGCTGATTCTGCTTTGCAGCGTCTGTACGGTGGCTACCAGACAGACTGGGTGTGCGGAGGCCAGTGGAATGCAATGGTGGGTTACTTGGCTGCCCTTTCACAGGCTTGCCTGTACCAAGGTGGGCTGGAGTTAGCTGTCATCTTCAATGGAGGGCTTGGCAAGGAGAGGCTGCCTGAGTGGGCCAGGAAGACCCAGGCTGAGAGACAGACAGCTCAGCTAATTGCAGGGCATGTGGGCAACAAAGGTACCCCTCCACCGAGAGCCTGGTTTCTTCCTCCTGCCTGCTTGGGGCATTGTGTACGTCTGGCCATGATTCGATTCCGGGTTAAGGTAAGGTTCTATGGTAATCTCAAATACTCATATCGTATCCCTATAGAATTCTGTTTCTTCTGTCGTGACCATCTGTTTTGGATCTTGCATCTCTGTTACTCTATTTCTCCACTTAGATGTAATTTTATCTATATTTAGAGTGAAGTATTGTTTCTTTGCAGCCACAATATTTTCAAGCTTCATTCAATTTCAGATTTCTGTGTCTTTTGTTGCGACTGGCATTTCTGAAGTATTCTTACTAATTTTAATTTCCTCCCTTAAATAAAATGATTTTTCAAATAAAATTTTATTGTTTTTAAAATAGTAACAGAAAAAGAATAAAAACAGACACAAAAAGACATATAATAAAAATACATATCAAGTACTTTAATTTTTTTTAAAAAATAGAACAAAAAATGTATGTTGCAATAAACAAATACAATTCTATATATAATTAATGTAAATATTCATACACACACACATTTCTAATGCATTTATATAGCTATGATGCTTTTTTAATTTACTGTAGTTTTGCATAAATGAGTTCCATATTTCCACTATCTTTATTGATACAAAGTTTATGTCTATGTGCAATCTGTTCACAGCAGCAAGTATAATCACATCTTCATTCCTTATCATTTATGTTGCTGAAATCTCTGAGATCTGCTGTTCAATTGTCCTTCAGGCTATTTTCCAGTTGTTCTGTTAGGAGAAAAATAGCATCTGAATCAATGTGCATATAAGAAATAAACATTGCATCTCAGAATGTGGTTCATCCACTTTCAAGTTCAGAGTTTAGCCTTCTAAAGGAATCTATATAGCTTATGTTTATGCTACCTTGTCCCACACAACACATCTTTTTTACCATTTCAGTCTTTTGTCATTCTGAAATAATATGCTTTTGCTAAGAATAAAACATGGTTTATCAGCAAGAAAGTAATTCTTCCATATTTTGAGCCACTCATGTGAGCAGCTGTTTATCAAATTTATACCATTACTTTCTGAATCACATGTTTAGATTATAAGCCTGCCATAATGTGCCTTTTCTCCATGACATGCTAATAACGAAACTGTCCCTTAATTTTTAAGGTATAAGATTATTCCTTCCTTCAGAATGAATGTTAATGTTTTTGAAGCTGCAATGATTGGTATTCGTTTTACATTCATGTGCAGGGCAGACCTCAGCATAAGAATCTTCTGTGTAATGATATATGTGTTCCTTTTGGGGCAAAAATAATGACGAGATTGTTTGCATCATAAATCTCACCTTTAGTAAATTGGGAAGAGTCACTTGTTCTGGAATACTCTATTTTTCCTGCTAAGTTGCACAAGAAGAAGAGACTTGATCGAAGGGAGAGCTGAGATGCTCTTATTCAAGGTGTCCTGTAGAAAAAAAAAAACAGAGGAAATAGAATAGAAGAGCAGCATCAAGTACAGGGAAAAATAAGTAGGAGCTTCCCCTAGGGAAGCTGATGGAACATAGTGCACTATGAGAGGGAGCCGGCTAATCCTTGCCCCTCAACCACAACTCGGTTGATGATCATAAGCAAATGAGGCTCCTGCTTCTGCTTTTCAACAACTCTTTGATGTTAGAAGATGACAAAGTATATCCTAGTTGGAGAACAGGAGTATCATAGAAGACAAGATGTTCGTTAAATCTTGAAAATTCCAATTTTTTTACTTTCTCTAGCATACACACACACACACACACACACACACACCTTAAATTCAGATGCAAAACAAGTAAAGGCAAGCCTAAAGTCATTGTATACCCAACATTTAGGCTTTATATGTTATCAGGCTTTTCTAAGGGCTGATCAGCAAGTTTTTTCACATTTGAAGAATACCAGTGCTGCAGAATCACATGCCTATGGGGATTTGGAGTTTCACTGACTTCACAAATTAAATCTAGACACACTGTAAATCCTATCGTTTATGTTCAACAGATATTATTGACTTATACTCTGGGTGAATATGTAATCCTAATTAGTTTTTGTCATATAGTTATCTATAACCTACTTGAGGCCAAGTGTGAATTTGCAAGCAAAGGCCTGGAAATTAGCTGAGATTGAAGGAGCATTAGAAACAGCTGACCTGAAATATAAAGAATTTAGATATGAGTTACTTATAATATGATCAGTTGTTTGTATGTATGTGTTTACAGTGCCACTTTGAACATCTTTAGAAAAGCATTTTTAAATATATTTGGTATAATCTAATTAACAGAACCACTTTTTACTGAAATGTGTACTTGAATTTTTCCACTTAAATCAGGAGGAAATAAATATGTTCAACTTGAATATATTTCTAGTTTATTGGTGAAGGGAATGAACTGATTTCTTTTAGATTCTATTAATGTTAGTTATGGTGTATTTTACAGGTTAAGGATTCATGTTTCTTTTTTTCTAGAGAACCAGTTCTACATGTACACATTATTCTCTTGGTTTATGTTAATAGCAACCCCCATATGATATAGATTTGGTACAGATATTCCTCAACTTACAACTACAATAGAGGTCAAAATTTCTGTTACTAAGCAAGACAGTTGTTAAGTGAATTTTGCTCCATTTTACGACCTTTCTTATCACAGTTGTTAAGAAAATCATTGCTAAGTACAACTTAGACTTAGAGTAGACAGTGGGAAAAGTTGTACTTTTGTACAACTGAAAACAATGTGTTTGAATACAAAGCACTAGAAAATGAAGTATGCACCATGAAATTTAGACACCTGTTAGACTAGTCACTGAGATGTTATACTATTGAAAACCTTTAGAAGAAATGTCCCCTCAGGTTCCTCTAAATCTTTTTTTAAGTTCTTAAAGAAAAAGCTTGTGTTCTTTGAGCTGAAGAATAGACTTATTCTGTAATATTTAGCATTATTATGGCCATAAAGACTTTTAAGATCCACAGTCTTTTTGCTCTTCTGTAGTTTCATTCTTAGGATTCTGATATTCTACCTTTTTTCAGTTAGGACTATAATTTGACTGTAACAGACCTAATAACCAAAGTTGTGCTATCTTTTGAATGGTATTTTCAATGGCTATATCTACACTATTAGCTAAGAAAGAAGACAGTAATTCGAAAAAGTAGTAGCATAAAAATAACATATATCAATGTTTCAATTGCTTTTTTCTGATGGTTACATTAATTTCAATCCCCTCCCCAAACATCCGTCATACAAATAGCCTGCCACAAACAAAAAGTTCTAAACACACAAAATAACAATAGTTATTCAGCATCCAGGACAGCATATCAACAACAAGAAGAGTACAGATTTCCTCAAGCTTACTGGGCTCAGATGAAGGCACAAGACTAATTTGCCTCAACCATTTAATTTTCATAGGCTATATGTTTCTAAATACTACATGTACCTGCTTACTACAACTCATAAATTTGGAAAACCTTCCTCCATGAATTTGTTCAGCTTTTTTAAAAAAAAATAATACTATCTGATCATAAAGAGTTGAACACAAATGAAATATTTCCGTGACCCCCCAGGTATTTTGCTGTAAAGGCCTTTGGAGTGTTCCCATGCCATGATCCACAGCTTCCAGCTTCTGAAGAGTGAGAAGCAGGGGAAAAAAAGATAAAATCAAGAAATGAATTATTTCAAAGCAAGTACTTTATTGCAAGCTTGCAACGTCTTTGTACTCATCCATGTCCTTTTATTCCTTTCAGGTGTTCCAGAGCCTGGAGGATCATCATCAGGAAGTGGTGTCTTTCTTTCGGGAGAATGGCTTTCATGGGCTAATTGCCCATGACTCGGAATATGCTCTCTGCAACATACCTTCCTACTATAGTTCCCATGCCCTGAAGCTGAGCTGGAATGGCAAAAACCTCACCACTAACCAGTTCCTTATGCAAGAGGTGGCCAAGCAGCTGGGACTCAAGCTGAACAGTTTTCCTATATTTGCTGCCTTGTTGGGTAAATTGAAACTGGTTAGCCTTACATATCATGTTAGATCATAGTTTGTTGTAACCATGGTTTATAAAAAGCTATAGCAGGGGTATCAAACTCAATTTCATTGAGGGCCGCATCAGCATTGCGGTTGCCCTTGGGGGGCCAGGTGGGTGTGACCAGGGTGGGTGTGGCCTACTGGGTGGGCATGGATGGAGTGGGTGTGGCCTACTGGGTGGGCATGGCCAGCTTTACATTGTTTGTGTCAAGGGTGCCTGTGGGGGCCTGGGCAGGAATGGGATAGATCTGAGGGTCTCTGGCAGAAGGGGGTGGGACCGGGGCAAGCGCCAAGGCATGGTCCATTTCTTCATTCCACACAAAGGGTGACACCTCCCCGGCATGCAGCCAGGGGGCAGGGCCGACATGGCAGGGGCTGGTTCCTCGCTGTTTCTACACCAGGGCTTTTCAACCTTTTCACCCATTGTACCACTTTTAGAATATGGCAATATCCGAGTACCACCAGTCGCCTAGCAAGGTGTCAAAAACTTGATGACAAAAAAAAGGAAAAAAAGTGATGAAGTACAGGTAGTCCTCGACTTACAACAGTTCACTTAGTGACTGTTCGAAGTTACAATAGCCCTGAAAAAAGTGCCCCCCAAGCCACAGCCGAGCAAGACACCTGCCTGCCCACCCGGCGGCGCTCTTTCTCCTGTCCGAGGTTTTCATTGTTGTGAGCATTTCTGTTGAGGATTGGCAGCGGGGGTGGGGTGGGGGGAGTGTTTGGTTTTTATTCCCCCTGTCTGCTGGGTGGTTGCAGCAGGTTTTGGTCACCTCACATGACCCTAGGACACTCTGACCGCCATAAATATGAATCAGTTGCCAAGCATCTGAATGTAAATCACAAGACCCTGGAGATGCTGCAACATTCCAGCTGATCGGCGCTTCTTCTGGGCTCAGCAGAAGCGCCAGGATCAGCGCTGAGCTCCAGTTGGAGCCTGGCACTGATCCTGGTGTTTCCACTGAGCCCTGACAGCCCCGAAGAAGCGTTGATCCTGGCGCTTCCGCTAAGCCCCGATAGCCCTGCAGCTCCAGCCATCTCTCGCTCAGGCTTGTGTGGTGCTGCCACCGGTTCAGCTCATTCCCCTCTCCCGCTACCACTTTTCTAGGATGGTCGCGTACCACCTGCCAGGTGCCAATGTACCACAGGTGGTACCTGTACCACTGGTTGAAAAGCCTTGTTCTAGGTGGCCTTGTGGAGCTAAGATTGAATGCGTTTCAGCATAGATGGCCACCACAAAATTGTACATTGGCTCCTGGCTGGCCTGGGCCAAGGCCAAGGCAGCGGAGGCCGTTCCCTCACTGTTTCCAGGATGGCTTTGTGGGCCACATGAAACCACTTCGCGGGCTACATCCGGCCCCCGGGCCTTGTGTTTGATATGTCTGAGCTATAGTGATTAGAAAAATGCAGCTTTTCAGTGTGCATTGCTGTTTTATTTTTTTTCTTTCCTAAATGTATGTGAAAGAGCATAACTTTTTTCCCATGTTGTCAGATGAAAAAAAAAATAGGTTGCTGCTAGCTTGTAATATTCTCAAGGGCAAGGATGTCACATTTGCAAAATCCCTGATCTTAACTCTAGTCTTTTTACTGGAGTAGGGGCATCTCTATTCTTCATAATCTTTAAATAGTATGGTATACATTAAATTCTTGCTGTTATTTAAAATGTTTAGTATCATTAATTATCAGATCTGGAATTTAAAAAAAAAACAGGTTGGGAGGGTTACATATGTCTAGAGATTAGAAGAAATTGCTGCTATCTAGAAAGCAGAATATGATCTGAAATGATTCAAACTGAGCCACGTTTTATGAAGACTAACTAACCATCCTGAATCAAAAAAAGAGCTTCAGCTTTAACCAAAATAACATAATTCAATCACTTTGCTGTATTCTGAAGTTCAATATTGAAGTACAGATGCTCTGTTTGCAGAGTTTCAGACTTGGGATTCTCAGTATACTGTTCAAGATTTTTCTCCTCTTGCGAAACATAATTTGCAAATTCTTCACTTTAAATTCTATAACACTTTCTGTTGATTTCCATTTTGGGGGGAAGGAAAGGAGGGCTTGAATTCCATTCCTGTTGCTGACTGTCTATTACTGTACCTTTCCCCCTCTCAGGGAACCACATTCTTCCCGATGAGGACCTGGCTGCTTTCCATTGGAGTCTTCTTGGACCGGACCACCCGCTCGCTTCACTTAAGGTGACACTACCCCCTCCTTGTCCTGTCCGAAGGGCAGCAAGGCAGGAATTGAAAGAACTGCAGAGTCGTTGCCCAAAGAACTACTCGAGGGTTGTCTGGATTCTAAGCTGTCTCTGGCTTTCAGAAATAGCATCCTAATGGGAGGAGTGAGGAAATTTAGCAGTCAGTTCTAAGAAACAATTGCAGTCTTATATTGTGTTTACCTGAAGAAAGCTATGGTTTTTTCCCCCAAATAATGTATCTTTGAAATGAAAGGATCATCTTAAATACAACAAGAGATGATAATGGATATATATATGTGTGTGTGTGTGTTTTCTGAGGTTTTCGCGGGTGTTTGTATGTAGGTCTTTGGTTATTCGGGTTTTCTCCCGCGTCAAATTGGAAATGTCTTGGCGACGTTTCGACGAAGTCTCATTCGTCATCTTCAGGCTGGTGTTTTCGGCTTCGTGCTTCTAGGAGCAATGTGTGATTGTAGCTGTTTCTTCCTTTTAACTGCCAGTGGGGGTATGAACTGATTGGATGAGAGCTTGGCTATGTTCTGATTGGATGGAGGTGTGTTCTGATTGGTAAGAGCTTGGCTGTGCTCTGATTGGTTGGGGGAGTGTTCTGTTTGGGTGGGGGCAACTCAGACTAACCTGAGCACAACAAAGCCCCCACCCAAACAGAACACTCCCCCAACCAATCAGAGCACAGCCAACCCCCCATCCAATCAGAGCACAGCCAAGCTCCTAACCAATCAGAACACACCTCCATCCAATCAGAACACAGCCAAGCTCTCATCCAATCAGTTCATACCCCCACTGGCAGTTAAAAGGAAGAAACAGCTACAATCACACATTGCTCCTAGAAGCACGAAGCCGAAAACACCAGCCTGAAGATGATGAATGAGACTTAGTTGAAACGTCGCCAAGACACTTCCAATTTTACGCGGGAGAAAACCCGAATAACCAAAGACCTACATATATATAGATATAGATATATAGATATATAGATAGATATAGATACATACATACATACATACATACACACACATTTATGTGAAATGTGTAAATGAAGTGTCACAATTGTCAGTTCTTAAAAAAATGGAAAGATTTGTCTAATACTTAAAAAACAAAGAATTTCAGGAAGAAATAGAGGAAAAAATAGAGGATTGAACTAGATTTAAGAAATAGAATCAGTTGGGCATATTCATAGTGTTTCTCTAGCAGGACTGGAAAAACAAGATTTGTGTTGCTTTTTCTCTGCATTATAGTTATAGTTTTGTGTAGCTCTACAGCTTTGGCTGGGAGATAGCTGTAACCACAGACAGAGCAGGAATAAACAGGTCACATTTCTGGCATGGATTATTGCCGTCTTCTCTGCCTGATGCTCTCTAGTGTGACCATGTGCTGGAGACAAGTAGAGCTATAGTTAATATCACAGGGGAGGTTGCAAAAGATTGAGTCACTGAATTGTTTGGTGTGCCTGACCTCCTCCAGTTTACCCAGGTAGTCCTCGACTTAACAGCCACGATTGGAACCAGAATTTCCATTGTTTAAACAAAGTGGTTGTTGTGAGTCGCACATGATTTTATGATCTTTTTTACCAGGGTTGTTAAATCACTACAGTTGTTAAGTGAATGACATGGTTGTTAAACAAATCCAGCTTCCATTTACTTTGCTTGTCAGAAGCTAGCTGGGAAGGCTGCAAATGGCAATCACAGGATCCCAGAATGCTGCAACCATGGTAAATATATGCTGGTTGTAAAGTGCCTGAATTTTGATCACATGATTGAGGGGAATGTTTTGACAGTCATAACTGCAAGGACTAGTTGTAAGTCATTTTTTTTCCAGTGTAACTTCAAAGGGTCACTAAATGAACGGTTGTAAGTTAAGAACTACCTATATTGGTCACTGAGAATGAATTTAAAAAACAGCTAAGCCAATTCACATCTGATGCTGCAAGCAGCCCAATGTACCACCATGTGACTGTTAGCTACAGTATTTTTCCTCATTTAAAAATATCATCATTGTCTATGGTGAAGATTTAATTGTAATGTTACAGTATAAATATACAGAGGATTTAAAGCAATTTAAATAATCACAACAGTAAAATCAAATTCATGACTGATGTTTGGCCAAAAGTTTGATTTGACAGAAAAGCATTAACTAGATTGTTTTGGTTAGAAAGCTTTTGGTTTGAAAAGAGGAATCCGTTACTGAGAAGACCTGTTCTGCAATCCTAAAAATGATAGGTGGACATTTGGAGAAGCCATTTTATGATGTTTTTAGAGTTCCTAAATCAACATTTTAACACTTCATTAATAAGCAAGAGTACTGTATCTCATTGAGAGAGTACTCTTCTGGAATATTACATGTTTACATAAGATAGATAGACAGAAAGACAGACAACCTTTATTGTCATTTTTTACTGTTGGCACAATGGCCCACATTAACAATGAAATTTAGTTGCTTGCTCTCAAAGTGTACGCATACATAACACATTTAAACATACTATATACAACATATATATCGACCTACACCCTTACATATAAGTAACATATAAATATTAATCACTGTCCATCTTGAATGCATAACGGAAGGAGGAAGCTTTAGAGTTCACAAGGTTACTACTGTATGGAACAAAACTGTGACTGAATCTGGATATTCTGCTTCGGATACCACGAAGCCTCCTCCCAGAAGGTAACAAGGAAAACAGGTCGTGGAGAGGATGTGTAGTGTTCCAGACAATCTTGCGGACTCTGCTCAAGCTATGCTTATGTGCTATGTCCTGGATGGAAGGGAGGGAACTGCCAAAAATCTTTTCAGGCGTTCTCACCACTCTCTGCACCACCTTCCTGTCTGAAGCAGTGAAGTTTCCAAACCAGACTGTGATGTTGAATGAATGTCTTGATACCTTGAAGTAAAATCCTGACTCCAATGTAGAGTTGAGCTGAGGTTCCATTGTATGTCAGCAGACATAAGGAATCCATAGAGAGAGTTAGTCTATGATACCAATATTTTCTGATCATTGGCTGATGAGGCGGGGGAATTTTCCTATTCTGTTCTTCAAACTAATTGTACTATCGGTAATTGTAGTTGTTCAGCTCTTTAAACCATAAGAGTTGTTACTGTGTTGCCTTTTGTCTTCACTGAAACTTTTGTCTAGGTGTATGCTTCTTGTTGGTTCTAGGTGCGTGCCCATCAGTTGGTCCTCCCACCCTGTGATGTGGTCATCAAGGCTGTATCTGAATACGTCGGTGCCATCAAAAATCCCACTGGCCTGGATGTAATAGGGAGAGATGTCTTCAAACATTCCCAGGTGAGATGAGAATCGTGGAGATAAGTCTAGACTAGTATCAGGCTTAATATGTATATAGCATAAAAGTTACAAAGAGAAAGAGAGAAAATAGAAGCCAACGTGATGACAGACAACTTCAGTGTTTTTATTTTTTTATAGAAGCCAATGAGTTTCTAGTTTCCTGAGGCGCTTTCTTTCCTTCTGCTCTATAATTAATATAAATCTTATTTTGTGATTACATTAGAAACAGAGGCGGTAGTGTACAGTACATAGCTAACTATAGTAAGATTTCCACGCAGAATCCTAGGCTGTTGTTGCTGCACTCTTTTTTTTCCTGTCATTTCCATCGTTTCTTTCTCATTCCTCCCCAGTCCAGGACTGAAGATAAAATAGAACGCTTCAAGAAAGCAGTAGACTATTATTCAGTGGCCATGAAAGCACCTACACCAGCCGGCCAATCCCCGTATGTTCGTGAGTATCCAGGCGATGCTGGTCAACTTCACCTCTCTCTCAAGCGTGTTTTCTCCCGCTGGCCAAGAAGGTGAGGCCCTGCCTGATACCTTACAGCATCCTCTGCTGGGAGAGGTCAGGTCTGGATTTAACTCTGAAATTACCTTCTCTTGGCCCAGAGAGAGCTTTTGTGCCTTTTAATAACTACATGGCTGGAAGAGGTTTGGGATCCTTTCTTCAAAATAATGCCATAACAAGTTGGAAGTTCTGGTTTGTTCTTTGTATCATGGTTTACTTAAAGGCACAAAAGCACCTTTCCAAGCCTTATGCTGGTAATCTTACTGGGCCTCTCCTGGATCCTGCAGTCAGAGATCATAGTACACTATTCTTAATAGTCATCCTTACTGTCCATTATTATGTGTTTAATTTTACAATGCAGAAAGATTGTACAGAGAATGTATTTAAGCAATTAGGACATAATTGGCCCAAACGCCCCTTGATCCAGTATTCTTTAAGATACCCCCAGTATCTTAAAGAATTCGGTCATCTATTAAAAATCAACAAGGGGTTTGTTGATTAACCACTAGTTTTATGCTCCCTTAGATATCTATTGTTGGATTCAATGGCTGGGAGTTGCCTTTTTAGTCCATATTGTTGCCATTGTATCTGGCTTCTTTCTGTCCTGTTTCTGTCACCATCCTTTACTAGGAAACTTGGTCAAGTGTGTGAGAACCACTCTCCTAAAACAGTTCCCAAATAATGTTCTACGGGATCCTGCACTTCCAAGCTCCTCAAGGATTTTTTTCAGAGATAAATGGTAATGGGGGACAAAGCACCCTTCACTCTAATTTCAGTTTCATGTGGGACAACCAGTAAACTTGCTGTGTCCCGCTGTTATTCTCTATGACTTCAGGATATCCTCTAATCTATACCAAGAAATCTGATGCACTGCTCAGGCTTTTGGGGGTAGAGTTGCCTACGTATAAAGAGTTGCCCATGGGTACCATCACTAAACAACAGAAAATACAAGGCTGATTATGCTTCAGACAATGAAGATATGATTCCCATGCATAACTTCTGTCTGAAGTGTTTTTTTATCTACGCCCCAATTTAATTGACTTCTGTACTGGCAGAAGTCTCTACTCGGGGTATCCTGATAGTAATGTTGGGCTACTGTTTTTTTAATATAACAAGGTTCCCATTCTTTGTTTCAGTCCCAGCCTTCGGGCCTAACCACTTTGGAGGGCCAGCACCTCTGAACCGCAATCCAATGGTATCACTTCCTTCTGGGAAGGCTATGGTAAGTGCTCAGAATTGTTTTAGGCAGATGTTAAATTTAGAGTGAGATTCCCTTACTGCATCCATCTAGAATGTTAATGTTCATTGGATTAGAGCAGGGGTTCTCAACCTTGGCAACTTTAAGACTTGTCGACTTCAAAGCTGGCTGAGGAATTCTGGGAATTGAAGTCCACAAGTCTTAAAGTTGCCAAGGTTGAGAACCCCTGGGTTAGAGAAAGCCCTGTTGGTCCTTTTAGGCCCAAGCTACAACAGAGAGATGTAATGTATGCTACACCAGTTGAGATACTGGAGCTTGGCCTGCGTTCTTCAGACAGCAGGTATGTGGAAAAGTCATATTTCTGAATGTTCTTTTTGTTTATATGGCCCACTGCATAGAAGACATTAATGCATCGGGAAGTATCTTTAAGTTGAACTGTTCCCTCTAGCTTATGTTATATAAGCAACAAATATGAAGAGTCATTCAGGAAATTGCATCCCCCTTGCAGATGGGTCTGAAGAGATATTTAAAATGCTACCATATCAATTTGCCTTACTCATGGGACACAAGCATATAACTCCACTAAAGAGAACCGAATTATCTGAATGTAGTGAGCAAATTAGTGAATTATTGTGCATCTGTAGGTAACCTTTTTTTGCTACCATTTTCCAAAGAGTCCCCTGTGCCAGTCCAACCATACCATGGCTGTGTATGTTGCATTGGTGTCTAATAAGCACATGGAAGATATTTGAAACACATGACTGTGGAATCTCAGTACCCTTTCCTTGGAGGGAGGGTACTTTTTCTGTCTGTGGTACGATCTAAACATTTATATATTTGTAAATGTTCTCAGGAGTAAAAAAAATATGCAAGAGGATCTTGAGAGAAGAATGATTTCAGAACCACAGGTAGTTCTCAGTTAATGACCACTCATTCAGTGACCGTTCAAAATTACAATGGCGCTGAGTGAATGGTGGTTACAGCCAGTCTTTGAACTGCTGGTTGTCTCAACTCCCGCCCCCATTGTCATGTGACTGTGATCTGGCTCCATGGCAACCAGCTTGCACTTATGATGGCAATGTCATGCGGTCATGTGATTGCAGTTAGTGACTTTCCCTGCCAACTTCCTACAAGCAAATGGAAAAGCTAAAAGGAAGATTTGCATGATGCTCTAATAACTCCACTCCCCTCCCCCCGCCTGCATACTCTAGCAGTTTTGGATTGTTGTTGATAAATGATGCAGTCACATAAATTCACACTTTACAATCACATCACTTAGCAATGGAAATTCTGATCCCAACCGCCGTTGTAACTCAAGGACTATCTGTATATCGGAGGCTGTTTTGTATTGAGTTAGATCAGTGGTGGCGAACCTATGGCACGTGTGCCAGAGGCAGCACGTGGAGCCCTCTCTGTGGGCACGCGCCATCGCCCCAACACACGTCTCTAAAAGTTCACCATCACTGGCCTAAGGCCAGCCAGCGTGGAGCCACCATTGGGGAGCCCACCATCCCACCCGCCAGAGACCCCCTGGATCTCCCCCCAATCCTGCCCGGCTCCCACAGGTGTCCCTCCCCATAAGCAACATCAAGGTGGCCATGCCCACCCTAGCCATGCCCACCCAATCTGCCATGACTACTGCAGCCACACCCATCCAGTGGCCACGCCCACCCAGTCTGCCAAGCCCACTGTAGCTACGCCTGCTGTGTGGGCCACACCCACCCGGCACACGGCGATACATAAGTGGGTTTTGGGTTGCAGTTTGGGCACTCGGTCTCTAAAAGGTTTGCCATCACTGAGTTAGATCATTGATCCCACTTGGCCAGTACTTTAACTATTATGGTTCAAAGCAGTTCTCCAAGACTTCAGACAGGTCTTTTCTCTTGTCTGCTCTCTGTTTCTGTTTTAATTACAAATGCCAGAGAATTAATCTAAAACCTTCTGAGTGCTGAGGGTCTTTGTTAGTTTCTGTGCTACTGGGCTATGACTCCACCCTACGTTTGAATAAGTAGTTTTGATTGTAGTTGGTCCTCCCCCCCCCACCCTTCTCTTTGCTTCCATCTCCAGTTTGCACCCCAAATGGGGCCAAAGATGCAGTACCAGCCCCCTGTTCCACATGGTGGCATTGCTGCCTCCTCATCTTTCCTTCCGGGTCCTGGTTCCAGTTTTCTCTTCTCACCTCATGGCTTGGCGGACGCAATGCCCTTCCATGAAGATCCTGCCTTGAAGGGTGGTCACTTCAACAACTGGCCTGTATCCTATGATAACTGTCCCACCAAGTTTCCTAACCATCACCTGGGTTCCAAACCTTCCCCATCATCCGGGCCTGGATCTTCACCCTCTTCTTCTTCTGATGGAGAAGAGCACAATGGAGCCAATTCCAAGTGAGTGTAACTTATTGGAGTCTTGTGAGCTTCTTAGCGAACCTTGGGGTGACTGTGATAGTTTGATGGGGGGAAATGGGGAGAACTAGCCAGGTCTCAGACATGCTATATCCTTGTCCTGGGAAAGGAGAGGATTCTGAATAGTTGTACCGTCACGCAGTTGGAAGAAACAAGATTCCTGGATTTTAATCCCATTCTAGGATGACAGTATATCCTTTTCTTCCTCCAGCCACGTTTCTGAAACTGTATCTCGCAAGTCTGGCTGGGAGGATCCTACGGGTGAAAAGATAATGAATCAAGGCTGGGGACAATCACCTGGGAACACTGGCAACTCAGAAAGGACCTTGAGTGGACCTGAAGCCCACATCCCTTCATTGCTCTCTATGGCAACCCGCAACCACATGGACATAACCACCCCACCTTTGCCTCCTGTTGCTCCAGAAGTACTTCGAGTGGCTGAACATAGGCATCGACGGGGGCTTATGTACCCTTTCATCTACCATGTCCTTACCAAGGTGAGGTGGGCAGTGAGCCTTTGCAGTTCTATTAATTGGGTTTCTCTTAGGCGATTTTGAGAACAGTCAGGTGGTTGAGAATCAGTGATCCAGGATTCTCATTTCATTCCAGGGGGAGATCAAAATCCCTGTGTGCATTGAAGACGAATGTAACACTGAACTGCCACCAGCAGTTGTTCTTTTTCGGGCCTCACGGCAGTATGTATACGGTGTCCTCTTCAGTGTGGCTGAGACACAACGGCGAATGGAACGCCTGGCTGTGCGCAAGCGCATTCCCGTGGAAAGTAGGTAACTTTTTCAGACTTTTGTACATGTGTGTACAAGTTCTCATTTAGTGCTAAATCATAGTAATGTCACTTAGCCACAGTATATTAAGTAAGACATAGGGGCTGCATTCTTGTTTACCACATATGAAGCCAAATACAGTAAGCTGCGCATGCTGATCACTGTTTCTAGACTAGAGCTTGGTGTTAAAAATATGGGAGACAAGATCCCCAGAACCTATGTTAGGTAGCTCAGAAGGATGTACCCTGTCCTGGTGGGATTTGCTTGGTTAATAAGACTCCAGGTACAGATCCTATTCCTGCTCCCCTTTTCTCAAGGCAGCTGGGAGTCATTTGAAAGCCTAGTGCTGCCTGGCTGGGGATGGGCTAAGTTTCCTGTGTTTTTAAATGGGAAGATAGAATCCGTGGGATGTAATGTAGCCTCGTCCCTATGCGTCCTTTTTTTTCAGATAGATTACCTATATCAGACATGTCAAATACAAGGCCTGGGGGCCGGATGCGGCCCGCGAAGTGGTTTCATGTGGCCCACAAAGCCATCCTGGAAACAATGAGGGAACGGCCCCCGCTGCCTTGGCCCTGGCCCAGGCCAGCCGGGAGCCAATGTACAATTTTGTGGTGGCCATCTATGCTGAAACACATTCAGTCTTAGCTCCACAAGGCCATCTAGAAACAGCGAGGAACCAGCCCCTGCCGCGTGTTCCCCGCCCCCTGGCTGCATGCTGTGGAGGTGTCACCCTTTGTGAGGAATGAAGAAATAGACCATGCCTTGGCGCTTGCCTCGGTCCCACCCCCTTCTGCCAGAGACCCTCAGACCTGTCCCACTCCTGCACAGGCCCCCACCGGCACTCTTGATGCGAACGATGTAGAGCTGGCCATGCCCACCCAGTAGGCCACACCCACTCCATCCATGCCCACCCAGTAGGCCACACACCCCCTAGCCACACACCCCCAGGGCAACCGGAATGCTGGCCCTCAATGAAATTGAGTTTGACACCCCTGCCATATATGCATACGTGTAAATTGAGTTTCTGCCTTTCAGATAGTGTTGTTATGTTGTTGGGCTTTCCAGTTACCAAATGGAAATGCTAATGTTGCTTTCTTTGTTGGCTTTTCAGAGCAGATTATGAATGCAAAACTTCCTAATTCAGTAGTTTTCCTATAACACTATATGCATATGTGCATTAAGAGTTCTGAAGCCAATTGTCAGAGAGAGAGAGTCTTGTATGTTTTTATGGATTGGGTTGAGATAAATCTGTTGCTATTGCTTCTTTGCTAAGACCTTCTGAGATCTTTGACCAGGCAAATCACAAAGTTTGCTTGCTGTTGGCTGTTCTTTGTTATGGGGATTTTTAAAAGCCATTTTTAATACATTGGGTACTTTAATAGAATCGGAGTGGATTGCCTCTGTGGTTCTAGAACAGAAAACAAGAGGACTAGTGACTTTTTTTGAATTCCCATTGTATTTTAGGGTCAAACCTTTTGAGGGATTTTTTGCCAGAACACAGACTACTTGAAACATGTTAACAAAACTTCTTAGGTTGGCTTTAATTTAAATTCACAACAGAAAGAGCTTTTTTTGTTTTGTTTTGTGCACATCCATATATTCTGGGCCAGCTATTAACCTGCCTTTTTTCTCTTCAATTATTTCATCATAAATGGCTCAGGGACTAGGTTCTGCCTCCTGCTGTATATTTTGGTAGTACCATGGTTGATCTTCACATTTATTGTACATGTTTTGCTTTCCTAGCTGATTTATTTAATCCTGAAAATGAGTCTCATCTTATTTTGTCTGCTTCTATCTACTTTCTTTTCATTTGCATCCCCCAGGTAAGGCCTAGTGCCAAACCAGCTTTTTTCTGCAGCTTGTTCATAATTGGGTGGGCAGCACTTTGTGATGGTCTGTAATCATACCACATAGCTTTGGAATTGATATTCTGGGAGTCTTATGTTTCATAACGTCTCTCCCCTTTATGGAGCCATTTACTCCAGTTGTGATTAGTTTGTTATATGGCAGTGATGGCAAACCTTTTAGAGACCGAGTGCCCAAACTGCAACCCAAAACCCACTTATGTATCGCCGGGTGTCGGGTGGGTGTGGCTCACTCAGCGGGCGTAGCTACAGTGGGCTTGACAGACTGGGTGGGCGTGGCCACTGGATGGGTGTGGCTGCAGTAGTCATGGCAGATTGGGTGGGCATGGCCGGGGTGGGCATGGCCACCTTGATGTTGCTTATGGGGAGGGATACCTGTGGGAGCCGGGCAGGATTGGGCGAGATCCAGGGGGTCTCTGGCGGGTGGGATGGTGGGCTCCCCAATTGTGGCTCCAGGCTGGCTGGCCTTAGGCCAGTGATGGCGAACTTTTAAAGACCACGTGTGCTGGGGCGATGGCATGTGCCCACAGAGAGAGAGCTGCGTGCCACAGGTTTGCCACCATTGTTATATGGCATAAATCCCATAAGTCAGTTGTACATCCTTATATAAAGGAATACTTCATAATATTTATACAGTGAGGAAAATGTTTTTTCCCTCCCTCTTCCTCACTATATAGCATTTTATAATTACCTTGTTCAACTCCAAAAAGTGTGTTTTAATTAGCCTCCCATATTTTAGTGTTACCTTATGTAAATGGCTTCCAATTGCTTAGTACCTTTTGCAGCTAAGTGACATAAGTTGAACACACCATTCAGGAGTCCCTGATACTTTGTTTTCTGTGTTTGATGCTGCATAAAGAAATTGTGTCCTTGTAGTTTCTGGTGGGCATCTGTTTTGCTTTCAGTCTAATTATGGTACCTTTCTTGACTTGTAATAATGGAGTTGAATGCACTGTTTCATGGTGACACCTTTGGTGCAACTTGAAAGACTGGTGCTAGGATTATTGTTTGATGCTGTGGCTATTACATTGTGTATTTTATAGAGTTTCTTGCTTGAGCAGGGGGTTGAACTAGATGACCTCCAAGGTACCTTTCAACTCTGTTATTCTGTTATTCAAACATAAGACATTGGATGAGGTGATCTTATGTCTGGGGAATGCAACAATTTTGGCCTCTTATTTCCATCGAAACCTAAGAAAGTTGTACACATTCTAATTTAGTAACTGATGTTATTTCAAGTCAGTTAAAAAAGATGAAGAAATAGGGATTTCCCTTTGCTTCAGATGTTCAGCTTGAATGATACCCCTGTATTTAGCCATGAAATGGATGTCTAGCTTTTTTTGGCAGCCAAAAACATTTTTGCACAGCAGAGGCTAATATTGTAGCACTTGTAAATCTACAAGTGGCAAGATCAGCAGTAATGGTAATGTTGATGTCTAAAATGGCTCACAAATGGGAATTTGTAAAACATTTCATTTCAAGAAATGCCAGAACTTTACATTTTTCCTCTAGATCAGGGGTGTCAAACTCGCAATGTCATGTGTCATGACATATCACAACTTTTTTGCCATTGCCTGCAGTGGGGTGGGTGCGGTTTCGCTATGATGCATCCAGTCCGCGGGGGTAGGAGAAATCTAGAGGGGTTAGTGTATTAATATATATTTTGAGCATCTGTTGTGATATGTGTTGCTTTTAAGATAATTTTAGTTCAGGCTATGTGGTTCTATGTTTTAACTGTTTTTATGGTTTTTGGTTCTATATGCTGCCCAAAGTCCATTGGGTTTGGGAGGCTATAACAATTTTGAATACATTATAAGCAGAATTAAATTTAAAATAAGAGCAGTGTGTAAATCATGGTGTTATGGTTATTTTACCTCAGGTAACGCGTCAGATTGCCCTGGAATTATCAGATCAACTTAGTCTGTGAGAAAAATAGAATGTTCCAGTATTCCCCATAGTGTTCTGTCCCTTGAAGCCTACAGACATTTCAACAACCTACTCCTTGGCATACTGGATCAGAATTGATATAATGCAAAGAAAAACTGTATGCTCTACTGCAGGGGTCTTCAACTTTGGCCCTTTTATGACTTGTGGACTTCAATTCCCAGAATTCCTCAACTAGTACGCCTGACTGAGGAATTCTGGGAGTTGAAGTCCACAAGTCATAAAAGGGCCAAGTTTGAAGATCCCTCCTGCTCTAGTCTACTGCATTGAACTGTACAATAGAATCATAGCACTGTTTCACATTTTGAGCTTTTAATATATTTTTTGCTGTAAGTGTACATTCATTGAAATACATTTGGCCTAAAATATCTAAGTTTTGTTTCTCATTATACAAACTGGGGAAGTCATTTATCCTAATCAGATGTTCATTCCTATCTAGCTCATCCCGTTATTGTCAAGGAATGGTCGGCGTACAAAGGGAAATCACCCCAGACTCCAGAGTTAGTCTCAGCTCTTGCTTTTCGGGAGTGGACCTGTCCCAACCTCAAGAAGCTCTGGTTGGGCAAAGCAGTGGAAGACAAGAATCGGCGTATGAGAGCATTTCTGGCTTGTATGAAATCAGACACCCCCGGTATGCTCAACCCTGCCAATGTACCGACACATCTACTGCTCATGTGTTGTGTATTACGGTGAGTGGAGCACATCTGAAGAGAAAAGTCAAAAAAGAGTGGCAAGTAACATTGTGTGCTGGGATATGGCTAAGAAGAGCTGTGAGAGATCTGTACTATTGAAAAATCCAGGAATTGGTTGTGGATTGGAGGTAGTAGGTAAGAATGAGATGACAATATCTGAAAATATAAAGGAATAAGCATTATGCAGGAGTTCAGATGTTGAACTGGCAGTGGAAGGGCCCATGTTTTTAGTCCATCCTGAGCCACAGAAACTTAATAGGTGACTTTAGATGAGTCACAGTGTCTCAGCCCAACTCACCTCATCGGTCTTGTGGGGAAAAAATGGAAGGAGGAATTACTATGTAAACCAGTGTTTCTCAACCTTGACCATTTTAAGGCATGTGGACTTCAATTCCCAGAATTCCACAGCCAGCATTAAAATGGTCAAGATTGAGAAACACTGATGTAAACCATCCTGAGCAAATATTAGGATATAAATCTATCATATAAATGTATTTGGGCAAATGAAGGCTTATTGTTATATTTATGTTAGCTTAGTGATTTCCTGCTGTATGTTACTTGAAGATAAAACTACCAAAGCTTACAAGTCAATCTAGAATCATTTCCTGATTTTAAACATAGTGACAAACAATATCTGGACCATTTACTGAGGCACACATTCAGGATATTTGTTCTGCAAATGGGGACTATTTGAAGCATGAAACTTCATTTAGTTCTTTAGCTTTATGGCTCATAACTTTTGCTAACTGAACCTGTCTACCCGTGCTTTTTTGTCAAACTACAAATTCTAGATTTCAACATTAAAAAAAAAAACAATTATAATTTTCTCCAAGGCCCAGCAGTATCCAAAGGTACAAAGTATTGTAAATTTTGATTCTTGTTTAATAATGTTTTTCGTACTTTTATTTGAATTATTCTTTTTTTAAGATACATGATACAGTGGCCTGGAGGCCGGATCCTCCACAGACATGAATTGGATGCTTTCTTGGCCCAGGCTGTGTCTGCTCAGCTATATGAACCAGATCAACTTCAAGAATTGAAGGTTGGGGTTGTTTATCCCTCCTTTATTAGTCCTTGTAGGGGGAATAGGAAAGAAGAGAGAAGATAAGGTTAGAGCAAGGGGGCCGAGAATAGAGAGTGTCCAGGTTTTGCTCTTGCTAATGAAAGGTAAATTCCTCTTACATTTTCACAGGCATAGAATTAGCTGTTTGTTCATGCATCCCTGCTGCCCCTTGCTCATTTCTTCCATTTCTTTTGACTACCATACTGCTTTGGTATCTCAACCCTTCCAGGTTCTACCCTATACAGACTTCATCTTGTTAATCCAGCTGTTCTGATAAAGAACAACTGAATTTGCACAAATGGGTGCTCATACGATGAAATGCTTGTCTGTAAAGAACAATTCCTCACACATAAGAGTACCAAAGTGTGGGGGACAAGGGAGAGGCTGTATTATGATGCACTAGATCTCCTATATGGCAGGGTACATTTCTTTTTGTCAGTCTGCATAAATGATATTGGAATGCTTACGTTTGATGCCTGGTTGCTTAAAAGACACCTAGAAAGGTAGCATAAAAGACAGTATTTTAAGATGTTACAGGACAAATGCTGTAACATTTTTAGTAGAAGTAAAAATGTTCCTCAACCATTTTTTTCTTTGACTGTCACCAGTCCTGCTTTCCTTAAGAGTTCTGTTTGAAGGTCAGTACTGTGCCTTGGTCATGGAATAAAGCCTACTCCTTAATTCTAAAATAAAGGTACAGAGGACTCCTTGAAGCTGGAAGGTCTCTTATACATATTCTAAATATTCTAAATTCTCCCTCCTTCCCTCCCCCCTCAATGGGACGTGGCTTCATTAGAAATGGGTAGAAAGAGGAGTTAGCGGTTCCAAAGTACATGTTCACTGCAGAGGAAATAAATGGCCCTGAGTGTTGTCTGAGAGATGATGCAAAGATGGGAATATTGAATGGAGGTGACCTCTGCCTTAGGAGGTTTTTTCTTGAAGTAAATGCTGTTTTCTCCCCCACCCACCCCCCACCCCACTTGGCTGAACATTCCTCGGTGGTAAAATATGCTTCACACCAGAAGGCCTTATGACTTGAACAAGTGAACAGTGTAATCCATAGCCACTGTGGTGCATTGTAGTTTGTTTTAAACACTTAATGTATCTGGGATGGATGTCGGCCATTATAGACAAACCTGCTTATGTGGAATAGATGCTCAATTTGAAGTTTATACTTTTCTGTTGTAACAATATGATTATAGGGGCGTCTTTGGCTTTGAATTGGAACAGAGGCCTGGGTTGTGCTGCTTCTAATACTGCTGTCTTTGATACTGAAATAGTAGTAATACTGTATCCTGCCTTATAAAGACACTTAAGCTGGATCATGGTCTTGAAGGCCAGAAGAACAGAGGAGAAGGAATGCTAAAGGTTAAGGGATGTTGCTGCTTTCCTTGCAGATTGAGAAACTGGATCCCCGAGGAGTTCAGTTGGCTGCTCTGTTTATGAGTGGAGTGGACACAGCCCTCTTTGCCAATGATGCTTGTGGGCAGCCTGTGCCCTGGGAGCATTGCTGCCCGTGGATCTACTTTGATGGGAAACTCTTTCAAAGCAAACTGATTAAAGCTGTCCGAGAAAAGGCGCCTCTGATAGATCTCTGCGATGGCCAGGTAAGCAGAGAGGCTTTCTGTAGCAAGCAGTTGTTTCTGCTCCTGACTTACGAAGTTGTGGCAGCAATTGTTTCTGGTTTTCATTTGTAGGTGTTCTGATGCACAAGAGAGGGTCCCAATGCTGCATATATGTTATTCTCTCTTAGAAATAACAGCCATTTGAGCAAAGATACAGAAGTTGCTCTCAAATTGCTTTATAAAATGAATTTTTTAAAAAACTAACTTTATAACTTGCTGATATTCCAGATAACATTGTCTTTCAGTTTTGTCTCCGTCATCATTAGCTGAATGTGCACTTTATGTTTATTAGATTGTACACAAAGACAGCAGAAAAACAGTGCTATCATTCTCCTTGGCTTACTGCCCTAAATAAGCCTTGGAGCAAATTGATAGCCCAGCTATCTTTCTTAGCTTGTATAGGATGATCTAAATCAGTGGTTCTCAACCTGTGGGTCGGGACCCCATTTGGGGTTGAACGACCATTTCACGGGGGTCGCCAAACAACGCAGTCCGCCATTTTTTCCCCCCTTTCCTTAGCTGTGCTACTCCCTTTTATTCTATTGGCTTTTGAAAGCCAATAGAATAGACTCTCTTGAATAGAGTCTAATTCTATTGGCTTTCAAAAGCCAATAGGAATTGTCCAGGCTGTCTCTGCCTTGCTAAGCCCGCCAAAAGTCCCATTCTGCAAACGGTGCTGCACCAGTTGACTTACGACCGGTTGAGTAGTCCTTGACTTACGACTGGTTGAGTAGTCCTCGACTTATGACCGGTTGGGGGTTGCGGCATTAAAAAGGTTGAGAACCACTGATCTAACTAAAGTACTTGTGGCCAGCAGAGCAGGCCTGCTGAGGATCCTGTCAGTCAAGGAACTCTGACTGATGAGATCAAGTAGAAGAGCCTTCTCTACTGTGGCCCCAGCCCTCTGGAACTCCCTACCCCCTGGGATATAAGAGCCTGAAGCCCTGGCTCTGCTGGTTGGCCTGGGGGTTCCCAATGGAGGTGGTTACTAGACTAACTTGCTGACCCCACCTCCCCCCTGCGCTTCCTGCTCTCCCTCCGCTCATCTTTTTAATTTCATATTCTCTGCTTCCATTGTTTGTTTTTTTATTGTTTCATTCCTTTACTTTCTCTTTTATTGTTGTACGCTGCCCAGAGCAGCCCCACGGAGAAAGATGGGCAGCAAATAAATGTAATAAATAAAGTGAATCAATGCTCGAATCCTGTTGATTTCAGTGAGAGAGTTGTGGCATAGGATATTATCGGGATGTATCCTCCTTATCCCAATCCCTGTCAGTCTGTGGTATGATTTTTGCTGTGGGCGCTTTGCCTGAGTTGTGCCAAAGGAATATGCCCTGGATTTCTCATCAGTTGCACTTCCTTGATCTTGGAGGATATTAGATAGACTGTAAGAATATGGAGATTTCCCCAGAATTCTACCAGATACCTATTCTGTGTGTTCCCCTTCTATTTGGTCTTGATCAGACCGAGCAGGTATCTAAAGTAGAGAAGATGAGGCAGAGTATTCTGGAAGGCATCAACTTCAATCGCCAGGCTCCTCCACCTCTTCTTCCACCTCCACCCTTTGTGCCCTCTATGGCAGCACCTTTTTATCCAGTGCCTCTTTACCCTCGCACGATTGGATCAATGCAGCCTTCAGCCCCTGGGAGGACTAGAGGCTTCACAGGTGAGTGGTTGAGTTTCAGATGCCTCTACTGGACACATAATTCATATTTATGTGATTCCTATTTTTTTTTAATGTAAAGTCAAAGTTTTAAACAACAAGCTTAATATAGTACCAATATGAGAGTCTTTATTAATACAGTGCTATCCTGGCATGGAATTCTTGGGAATGTTAAATGCTAATTCTCTTATGACTTCCAGCTCATGGTTGTATTTTTAATGTTGAAAGGATGCAGCCTAATGTACAGTTCACCAACAAAAACATGCATGCACATGCTTTCCTCCTCCCCTGTCTCTTCCAACAATAAATTTGATTTATGGACCCTAGGTCTGGGGATAAGCTAATCACCTGTCCCCCTGTCCTTCCGTACTTTTCCTCTGACTGACTGTGCCTTTCCTCTCCAGGACTCCATTCAATCCCACCACAAGGAGGCAAATTGGAAATTGCTGGGATGGTGGTGGGGCAGTGGGCTGGGAGCAAACCTTCTCGGGGACAGGGCTCCTTTGGCATGCAGGTGGTGTCAGTTGGAGGCCCAGGGAAAGGGTAAGTAGCACTTGTAGAATGGCTTTGACTAGCACCGATGGCGTTACCTAGTTAGGGTAATGAAACGTCTGCAAGAAAATAAGCAGGCTCAGAGAGCACCAAGGACCCCCAATTAGTTGCTGCTGGATTCTCTCTCTGTTCCTTATAACCTGTAGAAATGCTAGGGCATCTTGACTACAGGCTACAAGTGGATATTTTGCTCTGGGATTATTATTACTTCAACAGAGCTAAAAGGAGAAAGAATGAAGATGGGAAAGGAAAAAGCATTATTTCTTAAAGATACATTTTTCTTATAGTGACCAAATTTGATGGAAACAGTCAAGGTAGGCTAAATGGCAGTTTCAACTTTCAGCTGACTGTTTCCCGTCCGATGGATGATAACTAATGGAAAGGAAAATACCAAATGAAATAAATGCAGCTATTCGTGTTTAATATTTGTATGTAATGCCAATCTTCTGAGACTCTGACAAATACATCCATGTACATAAAGGACGACCATGGTCTTTAACTTTTATCCATGTTTCAGTTGCTTCCTGAAAAATTGCTTAATGTGAAAAGCAACTTTATCTGGCCACGATTCATATATATCCTGAGTGAAAGGCTCTTTAGAAGTTTCAGTCGCTATGTTTCTCAGCACAGGAAATGTATTTATTTATTGTGAAGAGATTAAATTATTCTAATTAATTAATGTTGGATATTTTAATTATTTTGATCTTGTTCGTAAAATGCTAAGAGTCTATAAGTGATAAAGCAGTGTACACCCAATAAATAAATAGGTGCTCTCTTCTATCAGTGAACTTGAACTTTCAGCTTTTTTTCTTTTCCTGTTCTGCAGTCGTGGCCGTGATGGCCCTGGAAAAATCTCCAAAGGAAACAAGAAAGTAAATAAGCAAGTATGTCTCCCTAAGTATTGTGGAAATTCATTTTATTGTAGTTCTAAGTGAAGAGTTTTTCTCTTTTGCTGATTGATCCATACTGAGTTCTGCATCCACTATGCAACGTTTCCTTAAAGAAGGAATGATCTTTGAAAATGTACAACTGCATACAACAAAAGTCAGCTACACAGCGATTGCTGGCACCAGGGCAATCAGGATTCCGTAAGAGAGTCTCTTCAGAAATCTGGTGTTAATGCATAACAAATATAATCAACCAAAACAATGCAAGATTGCCAAATCCTTTGAAATAGATACAGTATATATTTTGTAAGCTGCCTGAAACTATTCAGAAGTGGATGGCATACAGATTTACAATGTAAAAAAACAAAATCTTACAACATTTGGAAATTTCAGCTCTTCCAGCTGTGTTTTTAATCTTTTATTTGAGTCTTCTGCTTCCTGATTCTTTTTCTAAAGCTGTCCCTTGTGTTTGACAGAGCTTGACCGATGGAACTGCAAAAACGTCCGAATTTGGCAGCAATGGCAGTAGTAGCTGCACCCGACCCCAGTCCCAGTTGAATGGGGATGGAGGCCCCCCCTCCAGAGCCAACGAAGATCCCACTGTTGGAGCATGCCCTTCAGCCACATCACCTTGTGCCTTAGCAAGAGACACTGACTCATGCAATAACAAAAGCCCCTTTTTCGGGACGCTGGGTGGGGACTCTGAACGGTGTCCGGAGAACAAGCTTCCCTTCCCAGTTCTGCAGAAAGAGGAGTGAATAAATGCCGCTGTGGGTCCAATTGGCTGGCAAATGGGGGTGGGGTGAAGTGGGGTGACAAGGGAAAAGATTTTGACCTGCCAAGGATGGGATGGGGAAATTCAGCCCTTCAACCCATTAGTAGAATGTAAATGCAGTCAAGTGCTGGAATGGAATTATTAGCTAGGCAGGGCAGGGACAGGAAGATTGCTGTCTTGATAGCTCACATTACAACACTGGGCTAATTAATCTGATTGCTCTTCTACAGCAGCTATTATGATATTGTGAGGTCAAGCAGCTTGCTAGGACTTTTGTCCCTGCTTTAGAGGATAACATCAGCTTTTTTGCATTCCGCCCCTTCAAATTTGCCACTGTGCCAATCGGATCCATAAAGGCGGCAATTTTTTAAGTTTATTTGAATTTATTTTTGTTTTTTAATTTTATAGGGGGAAGACTTTTTAGGGGGCAAGAATTATGAATATTGGATTTTGGGAAGGGGGATATTTTTAAAGGAAGAAAAAGCCAGGAAGGTTTTACTTTAAAATGGGGCAGATTTTTCCTGCCTGCCTTGTTTAATTTCTTGCCAACTCCCCCACCATCAGGCCAAATAGCAGTATTGCTTTGAGGGATGGTGATGTTGGTATGAATTAAGGGGTGTGTATGAGCGGCAATGATTTTTAAGAGAGAAAGAGTAGTACCACCACTGCAAATTATACACAAGATGTATATAGCAGTTGGTGTGTGCTTTTTATTATATATGAAAGAGAGAGAGAGAGAGAGAGATTATATTTATATATAACATGAATAGAGCTATATATAAATATGAATGCTACAAACCCGGAAGGGGTAAAAATGTTCCCGGGAGACAACTTGCGTTCCAAAGCGCTACATGTTTAATGAATTAAAGGTCTGCTTTGCCAGTTGCCAGCAATTGGGCTGTATCCTAAGGCTGCGGCAGTAGATGAGGCAGGCCTCCTGATACCAGATAGAACACTTCTTATCCTTAAACAGACAAGCACTTACTGTTACAATTCCAGGACTGTGAGCAAAATGGCTGGAGATAGCTGGGGCTGTAAAGATGTGTGGATGGATAGCCATCCAAATGGGAAAGTCATGGGGTGAGGCTGCAGAAATATTAATGCTACCCAGAAACTAAAGGGGGTGGGGTGGGATTCTAGTTCTTGTTGCCATTAAAAGGGTGACATGGGGGGGGGGAGGTTGGTTGCAGTTGCTCAGCTGGTGATTCTTTATTCTCTTCCATGGGAATCCTGCAAGTTCAATACACAATCTGAAATTTAGGATGATCGGGCCTTTTGGAAATCACCGTGCCCACCCCCCAGGCTTCACACAATCTGCTACCAATTCTTATGCTGAGGATAATGGGGAAAATTTTCAAAGACTTTCTGGAAACTGTTGAGGTTTTCAGTAGTGGAGCTAAACTCCATTGTATACACAAGTTTCTCTCCATCTCCCTGTCCTTTTGGGTTGTCTAATTTGAATTGCACCTATCCTTGCAGATCTTGTACAATCTGAAAGCCTTGAATTTTGGAAACCTGGTAAATCCATTAGAAATGTTGTGTACTGAAACAGATTTCAAATGCAGAATGTTTATATAGAGCAGGTAGTCAAAGTGGGGGGGGGCTCATATAATTTGGGGAAAGAAATAAAACAGGCTGAATATTCTGTTGGAAAGAATTTTTAAACCAGTTTCCCAGCTGCAGACATGTATGCACTTCTGCAGTGCATGTTTCTGTTTAGTTTCTTACAACTTCTATGGCACATACGTCAGATGACTTGAATAATCTAAAATGTGTTTTGATTTTTAATTTGTCATCTGCAATCAGTATCCAGTCGGCTGAATGTTTCCCTTTCTGCTTCTTCCAGCAGAGGGGCACATTAAACCACTGCCTGGAACAATATTTGGTTCCATCTCAAACCAAAATCAGGAAAGTATTCTTAATAGTGCAGAGTAATTGTATGAAATTAATTGACACAAGATAAATGTTGGTAGCTACAGCCATAGATTCTTTAGTGAATGATTCAATATATTATTGGGTAACAAGTCATGGTAACAAAATGGAATTTACACGTTCATAAGAAATATTTTTTTAAATTTCAGTTACTGCAGAGGAAAAATAAGATTGTGTTAAAAAGTGAGGGAGGGTATTGTCCAGAGGTTTAACAAATGTATTTGCCTTACTTTCTACAAATGTATAAAAGGATAGATTAATGGGTTTGAATTCTAAAACGGGGCAGGGTATCTTAGTTCTACTGCTGCCTCCATTCCCTTGAGTGAGTTATTCACCTACCAGAAGCCAAAGTAGGAAGCTCTGATCTTCCTCCTCTTAGTTTAGCTGCCAGATCATCTCATCAAAAGATTTGAACTGTTTGCTTCAGACCATTTTTGGAATCTATCTGTAACCAGTTGGCTATTTTTGCTCTACAGCTGTTGGCTCAAACTTATTGAGATGGGAAATTTCTTATATTGCTCTAAGAGCAATAGAACCTTTGGAAATGATCCATAGTTGCCAGAAAACCGGTAATACCTGAAAAAGATTATCCCTTTTAGGGGAGAACTTGACAGTAGCCAAAAGAAAAAGTTGCTTTCACCTTTGGGAAAATAGTTAGAGCGGTCAAAAACGGGTGGAGAGCATTTTTGTTTGAAAACTATCGTAGCTGTGGAATATGGAAAGTAGACTCTATTTTAGAAAACAGAGAGCTGCTATTTAAAGTAGTTTGTGATACAGAGTTTGAATATTAAGAATTACTTGATTTTTAAAAAGTATTTCTGGTAGGTGAATTTTGGAAAATCAGATGTTTTTTAATAGTCAAGGCAGTACACTTTTCAGTTGCAACAACTAGTAATTCTGATTGGCTTGACATTCTAAACATGTTGAAAAGAGAAAACTTTTGCTGGATAAACTGAAAAACTGGCAAATTGGCAGGCTTTTGTGTTCTGAAGAGCTTAATGGAGAGTTGACAAAGAGAATCATCTTATTTAAAGATAGCAGTACTACCAAGAATCATATATTTGGAGAGCATCTCACAAGCTTTTCCCCCAAAAAACAAAAATAAAATCTTTTCCTTTTTTTAAAAAAAACAATATTTATTTGCAGAATTAATGGAACTATTAAGAAGGTCTTTTAAAATCTTGATTGTTTTGTTTCTAGTCTTTGCTGATCATTTAAAGCCAGTTGTCCAATGCAAAAATTGTCTTGAACAGTCAAGCCACTTTTATTCAGAATGACTTGCATTCTATCAGTGGATTCCACTGAGCACTGATCATCTAGATCAGGGTGTCAAACTGCTGGCCCATGGGCCGATTGCATCATGCAGAGGTCGCACCATCCCAGCTCCGGCAATGCAAAAAGTTACATGTCACGTGACGCGGCAAGTTTGACACCCGTGATCTAGATTGCCTGGATAAATCTTTGATACTTGGAGTATCTATTTTTTTTTAATTACAATTGTCCCCTCTTTTCCATTTCTCTTGGTTTTTTTTCATATAACATCTTGTTGCAGTCCCTAAATAATATCTTAAATGTTCAACTTTCTTCTGCAAGAAAGCCCCAAATAAAACCCAGGTTTCCAGTAAGCAAAATGAATAAATAAATCCCAATGTACCATTTAGAATACAGTTCTTTTAGTCTTGGTATCTAGTTAGCATCCTATACCTAGAGTTATAATAGCAGATATTAATCCCAAGCTTTTGAATTTCCAGCATCGGGCATTAGATGGTATTTGGAGGGGAGATATATGTCTCTACTTCTTGCATGAAAGATCCAGCATAAATTAATAACTATATTTGCAACTATTACCTTTAGCTAAATGTGGAATCCAGTCCTGAGTTTCTCTACAGTGGCCTTAAGATTCATGCTTTTGTTTCTTTGTTCTGATAGCAGAACAAGGCAGAACTTTAAATAGCACATCAAAGAAGATTGGGGGAATCTGCTTTTTCTGCTAATATCCTGGCCCCGGTCTCAGTTGAAGCAACTGATTTGAAGAGACGGGGGCTCTCTATTATGAAATGTGCTCTAATCTGGGCCTAACAAGGAAGTGCCCTTCTATTCCCAGGATCAGGGATGGGAAAAATATGGCTTTCATGTAACCACCACAATATTTCCTGCTGCAGGTTGTTTTAACTCTTCGATTTGGAATGGGATTTCCAAGTGAACTTTGATGAATAGCTTGATATCTTCCTTTATGTCAATTTTAGTTTGACAGTATTCATGGAGTTCTTAGATCTAATCTCTGAGCTATACGCTGCTTGTTTATATTAGTCAATTATGCAGGTTTGTTAATGTGCAGATAATTTGTTATAATATCTTACAGTTTAGGGGCAGATAAGGTTGCCTCAGTTTTCTGTTATCTACAATTTCTAACCCTCTATTATTTCTAATGCTTCAGAAGAGGGAATTCCTGGGAATGGGATCAGAGTTTGATTGACTATATTGCTAAGGTAAAAAGAAAAAAAAATCTGGTCCAATCCCCATTTCCAAAGCTCTACAGAGGAATTCATGTGGTTTTATGGTCTGTTTGGGCTGTAAAAATTAATGAGTCTTGGGTGCAAACTAGCTCATTTTGCAAATAATAATAAAAATATCACAGAGTTCTGTACTGTGCTTCTAAGAGAGTGTGGAATGTGGGATTGAATATAAAAGTCATTTTGATTTTTTTAAAAAAAAATCCTAATTCTTCATGTTAACAAAGATACTCTATAAAAATGTAGGGGCCTGGGTGAAATTTCAGACCTTGAAGATGATGCCTAAATTTAATTTGGTACAGTTTTTTTTTTAACATTTTAGAAAACGGGTGTGGAAATATGCATTTGGCCATTTTATACCAGTGACAAAATTCAGTGTTTGAAGATTAAATTTTACTTGGTTTTGGTCTGGAGTATGCAGACGTAAGCCAAGCTAGTAAAAAATAAGGTTTGAAATAATGTTACTCAATTTCCCTTGACAAACATCCTGGATAATTTTTTAAATGTGTAGATGACTGAGGCATGATTTTGTTTGGAG